CCCCCCCCCCCCCAAAAAAAGACATCATAGTCAACATCACTCGGGTTGTTATCGTCATCACCATCATCATCGTTGTCATTATCGTAATCAACCGTTTCATTCGAAAGTAAAACCTATATAAGCTAGAGACTACACTCCTTACCCAATCTTACCTTACATACCAAGTACCTACCGAGTGAGATGTTGCTACCAGATTGATATACTCAGTCGTCTTGCTGCCTTTGAACCCCCATTGAGCCGCGCAGTGCTTTTGCTCCCTGCTCCATGGATCATCGGACTGGCCCGGTGGCCTAGATAGCTCTTAAGATCTTAGTTGCGGTGCCGTCAACGTTTTGGAAACCTAAACGGCCTCATTACGGTGGTGTCCAGCTCCAGTAGCTATAGCTCCAGCTTGCGCAGTACTAGGTAGTCTGCTTTCCTTTTCACAATACCAAGGTTGCCTAGTCTTGCCCTCGCCGTCAAAACACACTTGACAAGAGCGCCCCTTCTGAAGATGTACGAGCGGAAGCAGAACACTAGACATGCACGCATAGCAGGTGTTCGTCATATACATAGGTAAATTCGTCCATTTTGACACCCTTGTAAACTAAACGTCATCTATCTGACATGCCACATTGACGCCAGCCGAATTCCAAATGCAATCCTCGCTACTCCATCTAAGCCGTGAAGGCATCGGGGAAGCGACGCATGTTATCGGCCAGAGAGCCGTGGTTGCTGAGGAACTGGACGTAAGCACCGTCGTCCTTGACGCGGCCGGAAGCCTTGCGCTCGAGGTACTCCTCACGGCGCAGGGGAGTGAAGCCCCAGTTCTTGGAGACGATGATCTTCTGGCGACCGGGGAACTTGTACTGAGAACGGCGGAGAGCCTCGAGGGCAAGGGCGCGGTCTGTGGGTGATGGTTAGTAATTGGCACAGAGAATGGGTTTGCCAGACACTCCTAGGCTTCATGAAGGGCGACGTACTAGAGTCACGAGTGCGGACGCTCATGATGATCTGACCAATGTTGACACGGGCGACGGAGCCGTTGGGCTTGCCCCAGGCACCACGCATACCGGTCTGCAGTCTATCGGCACCGGCGCAAGACAACATCTTGTTGATACGGACGACGTGGAAGGGGTGGGCGCGGACACGCAGGTGGAAACCTTCCTTGCCGCTGTTCTTGACGAGGTACTTGTTGGCGCAGATACGGGCGGCCTCGAGGGCCTCGGAGCTCAGCTGCTCATACTCGTTGGAGACGAGGTGGATGCACAGAGGGAAGTCGTCGACGGCGGCACGCTTGCGGCCAAGGTCGAAGATGCGAATCTTGGGGTCGGGGACACCACGGTTGAAGCGCGACTTGGGATACGGCTAGCGGAAGAGGTGTTAGTATTTTGTCTTGCGCATTGCGATTCTCCATGTCGACGTGATCCTGCGTTCCGACTCCTCGCCCAGTGTGTTGCGCCGTGCGTCATCCATTCCCTGCAAATGGACCCTCATATCTCAAGTCTTGGGCGGTCGGTTCGGAGTCGGTTCGCAGGCGACGAAAATTTATTTTCAATTCTCACCTTGTTCTTGCAGTAGCGGTAGCAACGAGCGGGACGGCGAGCCATCTTGTCGGATTTTTTGCTGGGCTTTCCGTAAAGTGGTTGTTGGTGACAGGGGAAAGATGACTCCAACAGAGAGGAAGCCGAAACACTTTCTTTCGCAGTGCCACCAGGATTGATTTCAAAGCTTGCTTGGTAATCTGGATCGGTGGTGTTATCGCTTAAACGTCGGGCGTTTAGGGCTAACACTTAGTCGCTGTTGAGTCCTGATTGGCTCGCGTGGGTGCATGCAAATGCAGCCCTCGCCCCACTACGAAATTTTGGGCTACCCAAAAATCATGGCCCGAGAACAGCCATCCAATCTTTTGAGATTTTGTTCTGCATCAAAGACACGGTCAATTTCACAACACCGAAAACAACACCGTCGAGATGGCTCCCGTTAAGAAGAACAAGAAGGACTCTAACACCATCAACTCCAAGTTGGCGCTTGTTATGAAGTCTGGCAAGGGTTCGTTGTTGCCGCCGCCTGCCACATTGTCTCGGCCGGTATGCTAACATTCGCTCAGTCACTCTTGGATACAAGTCGACCCTCAAGAGCCTGCGATCTGGCAAGGCTAAGCTGATCATCATTGCTGGCAACACTCCCCCTCTTCGCAAGTCGGAGCTCGAGTACTACAGCATGTTGTCCAAGGCCCCCATCCACCACTTCTCCGGCAACAACGTAAGTGCCTTCCCCTGCGCAAATCCTTGCGGACTTCTTCGCCCAGACCAAACGTGATGCAACCTGTTTCGATTCGTAACAAGCAATCCGATCGTTTCTACGACGTCGCTTGACCGAGTGAGAGACCTGAGATTCCTCCAATGGAGGTCAGGTCTCCGTCGGGGTCTGCCCAGCGAAGAAGTCTTGCCTTGACTTTGGAGGGTTCACATTGGCTTACATGTATTCTTCTTCTCCCTACAGATTGAGCTCGGTACCGCCTGCGGTAAGCTCTTCCGCTGCTCCACCCTCGCCATCCTCGACGCTGGTGACTCCGACATCCTCAGCGACCAGGCTGCTTAAGAGATGGTCGATCGCCAAACAGTTCAAAAACCAAAAAGCGTTTCTTTCTGGCGTTGGGGGTATATCGGGTCACCGGCACGTACCAGTCGATGTAATGCGACATGAGGCAACGGGCTCCAGAGTTGAGGTGATGAAACCTTGTCGTTGAAATTTGCCCTGTGCACAAGTGTAATTACACTACCTTCTATGTATAGAAGTGCTGAAATAGACAACTCAATGAAGAAGCAAAGCTCAATACTGGTCTACTCCATTTGACGTGAATGTTGGTAGTTGGCGCTGGCGGCGTCCTTGATGTGGAGCCTCTCGCAACGATGTAATATCATGGATAGCCACACCTGCCGTTCTACATATGGGTAAATTCGTGGTAAGGTGGCGGTTCTCGTGTTCCAGATCTACAGAGTACAGTTCCCTAACCTGCGGTATCGTTTTCTATTTCTGCCTAATAATTCTGCTCTTTTGAGGGATTGCCCCCTGCTCTCTCCGTTGCCGTCCTGCATCTTGGCGGATCATCAGGCCTTGATCAACATGCCAAGATTAGTTGCGCAGAAGCATGGGACAGCGAGGTGCTCGAGCCTTTATGCCTCGCCATCATGCGGTGGATTTCCAGCAAAGGATAAAGGACCGGCTCTATCAATAACATAAGAAATGATATAGAGTTTCCCCGTAAATTATAGAAACCTGCGCGGGGCTCGTCCAGGAGCCCGGTCGTCACTAAATAGTCGCCTGTGCTACTTTCATTAGACACAATGCGTCATGTACATATGTACATAGGCCACGTTGCTGGCAGTGAGAGGTTTGCACTCCCTACGTCGTCTAGCCGATCTTTGCGAATATTATTGGCGCTTTATGCTGTTGCCTTTAGCCCCGGGAAGGGAACACGTCCGACTGTAGGCACCCGTCTCGGACACTAGTAGAGACGAATGGTAATTTGGACTGGGCCATGTCAGATCATGGCATGTGAGGACTGTCTATGCATCCAGCGGGCAGGATATAGAATCCCGTCTTTTTGCACGTGTAGAACAGTTTTTGCCAATGCTGCGAATCTGCCACGTCCGAGACATGGAGTCGTGTTTCGGTGTTCCTCTCTATGTGCCCATGGCAACACAAAGCCGCATTCCTAAGCTTGCTGGCGTAAAACTAGCACGACGTTTAGGCAGGGCGCGGAGGTACTAGCTACCGGCGGTGACTTGGGGGGTCCAGCGACAGAAAGCCTGAAACTGCTTGCTTTGCAGCGTACAAGGTACAAACCTTTCAACTATTGGGCGCAACCTACCTAATAATAAATCTGCTGCGAAACGCCAGGCTGAGCAGGGCCACTAACCCAGGCTGGTTGTCCCTGAATCACAGGCCAGTTGATTATATGTGGGGACATGGCACAGGGCGCTGTCAGTCGGAACCCCATGTTTTGTTGTGCACCTTCACTGTCTCCGTACTACTTACGTTGTCCTCCTATTTCATCCTTGACATTTCAACAACCCATCCTCAAGATATACGCTTCACAACTCCCGTGACTGCCTCTGCTGTCGCCTCAGAATTTTTACCGTGCGTCTAGTGCATTACTTCGCCGAGGCTCTCCTCGCCTACCGCTGCATTTAGCGACATCTTATACAACACCGCTAGTCGCTTCCTGTTCAGAGTTTCAAAAGTCGGCGCCATCATGTCTACTGTCGCCAAAAAACCACCTGGCGGTGTTGGCCGCATCTCCCACACCGAGACCACAACATCACCCAGTGCCTCGCCCTCGCGAACCGCCTCGCAACGTAACTCGACGTCGTCTCCCGTCGGCCACGCACGCACACGCTCAACTCGAATGGGAACACCAGTGTCCGCCCGGGCTGCTGCCGCCGCTCGCAAGAATAGCACCGCTGCAGAGGCAGACGCCCACGCCGAGGCTGCTGCCGCCGTTGAGGATCTCCAGCAGCGTCTAGAGAAGGAGGAGAAGCAATCAGAGTCCTATAGCAAGCAGATCGATGTCCTCCAGACCAAGTTCGACGATGCAGTCAAGGAGTCTGCCAAGCTCGAGGAAAAGGCCCACGAGTACGAAGAGCAGCTTGAAGCCCTCACCAACGACAAACGAGAGGCCACCCGCCAAATCCGCGAGATGGAAACCATTTACGAGGCGGAACGCAGTTCCATGCTCAAGGAAAAGGATGACATGGCCAACAAGGAAGAGGAGATGCAAACCATCATCCAAAGACTCAAAGACACCCTTGCCCAACGTAATCTTGGTGATGATGACTCGCGCCCCTCTCGGACAGGCAAGTACCCCAGCACATCTTCTAACACGCCGTTCCATCACATAATCACATAACCACTAACCTCGTTGCAGCCAACGCTTCGCCTTCGATCGACGGTAGCAGCTTTGCCCCACCATCCTCGCTTCAGAGAAGCGACTCCCGCAGCAGCTCAAAGCTCATCCTACAAAAGGATAAGCTCATCGAATCACTCCGACTAGAACTCGCCGAGGCTCAGATCAAGCTGGTCGAATCAGAAAACCAGGGCGGTGGCCGCCTCCAAGAAGTCGAGCGCCTGCTGATGGAGGCTCGCATGGCCAACGCCCGATTGATGGAAGACAACGAAAGCTACCAGCTTCTTCTTAAGGACAAGACACTTAAGGGTGACTTTGGCCAGAGTGACTTTAGCTACATGAGCTCCAACCAAGACGCCCTGGCTGCTCTTGAAGGCAAAGTCCCCACCGCCTCTTCGCTTGCCGACGAGCTCTCCGATGCCACCGAGGCTGAAGGAGACGCTGACCGTCGCCTCGAAGCCGAGCTCAAGTCCATGAAAGAGCAGAACAAGGCTCTGACTCTATATATTAACAAAATCATCGAGCGCCTTTTGCAGCATCAGGATTTCGAGTCCATCCTCGACCAGTCAAGCGATAGCAAGGGCAATGTCAACAAGGAGTTACCTGCCCCTCCTAACGGCGCGTCCCTTTTGCAGCGTGCCAAAAATATGGCCATGGGCCCCCCCAACGGCAACATCAAGTCGAAGCCGCGCCCAATGTCTGTGGTACAGAACAGCACTGCCAACTCTGCGCATACGGATCCGGAGCGGGCGCCCAGCATTCCTATTGGAAATCTTGGTCGCTCCACTAGTGTTCGACGATCCCGGCCGCAGAGCGAGCAGTTTGCCGGTGCCGCCAGCCTGGTGAGCCAGATGTACAAGGGCCCCGATGGTCCCCTCTCGCCTCCCCTCGGTAACCCTCGAAACTCGGCAGGCTTCTATTCGGGGACCAGTGCTACTGGCAGTGGCGCACCACGCATACCCAGCGGCAGCAGCCAGGCGCCATCTTCGTCGGGCAACTTTCCGGGCATGCGCAGCGAGACATCAAGCATAAGCGGCGAGTCCGCTGATCTCACCACACCGCCGTCCCAGTCGCCTCCGCGCTCTTTGCACGACAAGAAAACCACCTTTGTGGGCGGCACGCCTCGCCCTCTGCGCCTCGTGCAGGAGAATGCCGAGGCTGTCAAGGACAAGGAGAACAAACGCGCGAGCTGGTACACCGGCTGGGGAGGCTGGGCCAAGAAGGATGACACGGCCGCGGTACAGCCAGCGGCTAGCCAACCTATCCCTGAGTAGTAACGTGGAATGACCCGGATTGTCGTCGCATGGCCTTCCTTTCTATAACCCACCTCTCGTCTTTCTCATATTATTCCCCCTCAATTTTGACGACGGAAACATGCAAACAGGTTTTGCTTCCTTACGCTTGGTTTAGTTTCCTGCTGTGCCGGTCTCGGCAACATGCATGATTTTCTTACTTTATTCTCTTTTTCCTTCTCTCTGAGACGAGGTGATCTGGGCATTTGGCGTCTGTTGGTTTTTACATTTTACGCGAAGAAATGTTATTTTTTAACGGGGTTACGTGAATGGGATTATACTGCATGTATCATACGCAAAGAGAGGAGTTGCCAGGCCCGGCCGGCCTGCTCTCTCTGGTGGTCAAGTCATTACCTGCTTATGGAATTTTACGTTTTGTTATGGCATCAACAAGGAGGATGTTGGATAAAGCAAACCCTTGTATAAACAAAAACCAAGAAGAAAGAGGTGGCGCGAATTGGGAGGATACTATTGATTGGATTTTCTTGCTTTTGTGTTGTGTTGTGTTTGTTGTTGTGTCCTTTTTTCAACCCTTGTGCATAATGACAAACAAAGATACCACGCCCGACACTGCTTTTCACCTGGCGTGTGCTTGACACGGCAAGCTGCGCTTCTCTTACGATGATTATTGGCGGCATATCGAAGCCTTTTATATATACATAGATGTAGAGTAGACGAAAGACACCACATGCGGTTCCGTCACGATTCGTGTGCAAAAGAGTTGTGAAACTGTGACCTGCGAGAAAATTCTACAAACTCACCCGCAGCTTACGCAGCGAGCTTCTCGACCTCGAGCGAAGCCAGCACAAACGCGGCCGACCCGAGCAGCCCGTTGGGCACCAGCGGCCGCGACGTGTAATACTCAAACGTCGCCGTCGAGTTGAGGCTGCACACGGCGACGGTCCCGTTGAACCCGACCGTGCCGTTGCCCGCATCCGTAACGAAGTTGGCCCGCGCGTAGTCGTACGCCCGCAGCGCCGCCCGCCGGATGCGGTCGGCACCACCGCAGCCCTCACCGCAGCAGCCGCTGACAGCCTCAAGAAGGCCGAGCCGGCGCGCCTTGAGCAGCGCGAAGACGAACAGGGCCGTGCTGGAGCTCTCGAGGAAGTTGCCGGGCCGGCCGCCGAGGGTGGGCAGCTGCCACCAGGCGCCGGTCTCCGCGTCCGCGAGGGCGACGAGGCGCGGGGCGGCGTCGACGACAGCCTCCCTCATCTCGGCGCAGGGCGCGTCCCCCTCGCCGCGGCGGTCGTGGCAGTCGAGGCGCTCCCAGGCCTGCACCAGCCCCGCGAGAAACCACCCGAGCGAGCGGCCCCAGACGAGCGGGCTCGCGCCGGTGACGGGGTCGGCCCAGACGGCGGTGCGCGACCAGTCGTAGCCGTGGACGTACAGCCCGGAGTCGGCGTGGCGGCAGCGCCGCGCGAGCAGGCGCACCTGCAGCGCCATGTCCGCGTAGTCGACGGCGGGCCTGGCAGCTGCCATGAAGGGGAGCAGCGAGTACATGCCGTCGAGGTAGCTCCAGTCCGGGTAGACGTAGTACCAGAAGCCGCCGTCCGGGTTGCGCGGCTGCAGGGCCAGGGAGGCGTTGACTGCGAGGTACGCGGCGTCCACGGCCGCGACGGCAGGGATCGGGGCGGCGGCGGCGGCGCGGGCGGCGTCGATGCCGGTGGCAATGGAGAAGCGGTCGAGCGGCACGGCGGCGGCGTCGTGCGCGGCGTCCCCGAGCGCGGGGCTGGCGACGGAGATGACTTGCCCGAGGTAGTCGGCGTATCGGGGGAAGGAGGGGGAGGAGGGGTACTGTGTGATGGCGGCGGCGAGGGCGGCGGCGAGGAGCCCGCTCTCGAGGGTGCTGGTGACGGCGCCGGAGGAGGAGACGGTGCCCTGGCCGCGCGACATGATGCTGTCGAGCATGTGCAGCGAGCTCGGGATGGTGGCGGCGGCGACGCCGGACAATGCGACCAAGGGAGGTGGAAGTCGCATTGTGGAAATGTCTTGACAAATTTTATCTGAGAGAATGGGTGAAGGAGGGCAGGACGCCGGGCTTTAGCTACATAGAGATCGGCAAAATGAGGTCAATGCAAGGGTTGATACATTATTAGTCAAGTCGCAACGCTACCTCGTGTATGTCGGCTAAATTGCCGCCAGACATGGCTCAATGTACCGAATCACCATGTACTGCGAATGCTGCAATTCTATCAGACATACATCGTAATTGTTTTGGTGACTGTCTGTTGAACAAGTTCGGTGCAACTTCGACGCCGGGCAACGTGTCTCTGCTTCAGAATACTCGTCAACATGACGCCGTCGATTCATCTCGGGTTGGCAGACTGGCGATAATGTACATTTCAGGTACGTTCTGACGCCTCTTGATAGTAACAAGTCAATAAATACAAATTGATATGCCACATCAGTCATTCTTTGGGTGTTTTGCTTCATTGTTCGGCTGATGTATCAAGTTACTATGCAATTCTGGTCGACTGCTCCCCATCACGATGGGTGCCTGATAATCATCAAATCAGACAGACTTCTTAAGTGATTGCGTCTTTGAATCAGCTCCTTCCCAAACCTGACAGCTTGTCTCCGTCGCTGCCACACTTACTTTGTGTGACCAAAGCAAAGGCAGCTGCAGCGCACTACTTGTTGCCCGGCCTCCTCAGACGCTGGGCGACCAGGTTTGCCTTTTCTCGTTTCTCATCGCCTTACATTCATTCTTTGTTTATTATGCAGCAAAAGTGATTCCACGCGATGGTTCCAACGCCTCCCCCGTACACCTTGGCTAACCGGTTGATAGTTACTCTAACCAAGCGCACATCAACAATGCGACCCTTCGTCCGATTCCGCCGCAGCCGCCGCCACCTCAGCCGCTTGAGCCGAGGGTGAGGACGCAGCAACAGCTGCCGTATCGTTCTATTTATCAGCAAATGCAATACCAACAGCGTCTGCAACAGCAGCAGCAGCAACTACCATGCCGCATGAGCCTGCGGCCGCCACAGATACCTCCGCAACCACCGGCGGCCGTGATGCGGCACGATGTTCTCAGGCGGCGCCCTGCGCCCGGGGGCGGGTCCTTTCCACCGGTCTCTGCCCCGTCCCTGTCGTTTCTGCTCTCATCGGCGTGCAACTCCTGCCGGGACCTGGGCATAGTGTGGCGGGAGTGGCAGGCGAAGCGCACCAAGACGTGCGCGCTCTGCGCCGGCGTCGGGGTGATCAGGGAGACGTGGGCGAACGCGGAGGGGCCCTGCTGGCACTGCTACGGTGAGGGGGAGACGCACTACATGGACTTGAAGGGTGACTATTTCCCGTGTTACTGTAAACTGCGACAACAGCAGCAGCGGCCGCCGCCACCATCGCTACCAGCTATAGGCCCAAGATTATTGTAGCGTATTGCGCAGAAGGCTGCGTCACTGGTACGCCCGTAGCTCTTTGTTGTACTTTTGTCTGTTAGTGTTATGTATTCAGCTTTGTTTTACCAAGAATTCCGGATATGTGAATGCGAATGCTCGATGCTCGCTCAGTGAATCGTGGTAGCGCGCGCATGAAGGTACTACTTAGCCACGTTGCACAGTCTCTTTCAAGATGAATCACGTTGACGGCCGTCATGCAAGCAGCCTTGTGTACTCCTTCTAAGAATTCTTTGATGCCTCTGCGATGATTCATCCGCCGCTGTGCCAAGCCTCTTCCTACACCAAACACCATAAACGTGAGCTTCGTCAACGTTGGCTGGCTTGTTTTCGGTATCCTTTCGTGGTCAAAGTCATCTACTATTCAGGAGGATATGCCTCGTCCATCTTTCTACGGCAAAAATGTCTGTCAGTAGTGGCGACGATACCAGCGTGGAGAAGGATGTCAGTTGGGAGGGTGAAGAAATTGGCCGTCGAGAGAAACTGAGCTTCGAGCAGTATCTGTCAACCTTCGTCCAAGACATTGAGCCGCGGCAAAGTTTTGCTTCGAATGTATGCCAAGCAGTCAGATCTGGAAGGCCGCTGTCCTTGATGTAAGTTGACAGTTATGCGACGACATGGTCGGTGCAGGCTCTAACCGTGCAAACCAGTACCGATCGCATATCGCCGTTCGACAAGCCGAATGCCTGGGTCAACAAGAAGATAGAGGACGCGTCTCCGGCCATCCGCAAGATCAAGGAAGAAGGTCGAGCGCGCGCGTTGGCGAGGGCTGAGAGCAGGCAGGAAGAAGTGCATCGCAGGGTGGACGAGGCAGCCGGAAGGATCTTGATTGCGCTGGACAAGGGGCACTCGCCTGTGTCTGTGGACGACATGGCGTATATGCGAATGCAGCCACGTGCATTCGGGTTCGTCCGATACGTTGTGAAGGACGAAGCAAAGTGGGCGAGGTTCGTAAGGCAGGCTAATGCATGCAGGGGTGTTCTTGACAAGAAACTAGACGAGGAGACTCAGCATTGGAAGCTGTGGTCGATCTCGGACTTACCCTATACTTGGATACAATATGGCATTTACTCCATGTTTGGTGGGCTTTTATGAGATTTGGTAACTGGGTACGTAGGGTAATTTCATAGGCTCCGGTTTATTTGCAAGTCTTTTTTTAGACGTGTATACTTCCTTGGTGGGAGTGATTGTCAGGTCATTGAATGCATAGCCGACAAGGTGATCACAACGAGTAGCCGCGCGTTCTTATACGCACCTACAGCAGGACTGTAAACACGGACTTGGTATCCGTACTTGTCAGTCATTCACTGATTTCGTTTCATTGACAAGCGCAGCTAGCCCGCAACAGACTTTTTTGTTTTGACAATAATAAATAAACACAAGCGAGTTTTACACGGCTCAACACATGTTGCAATCGACCAGTCTCACTGTGAGTAATATACGCGACACTGTCCTGTCTTCGATCAAGACATGCGACCTGAATGCATATGGTTCGCAAAAAGACTGCCTGCCCTATCAGGCTGCGTGGGTTTGAGTCGAGGAGCTGGTTCCTTATTAGCGCGCTGAGAGGCTGACGAACTAGCCAAAGCATGTGGCCTAGAACGGAAGCACGGAGAGCGACATGTCTCCGAGAACTGGGTAAACGAACTACGAATCGACAAGTAGGTATGTATGTACATGTACATCCCACATGCATAGGGCGCGCTTGATCGCTGTCATCTGCCGGCAGGAAAGATTGCAGAGGCAGCCTTTATGGTACGCGCAATAAACTGACGAGTCGTCGATGCTGGTTTCATGACGACCGTCGTGGAAGTTGACGAGTTGGACACGTGTGTGTCTCTTCGCTCTCCTTGCGTGTCCTGCCGTCGGAGGAATTCGAATTCGTAAGCAGGCTTGCAGCAGCCTTTCCTACTGGGCGGGTTTGAAACCCCCGTCCCGCGTCGGCCACACCTGGGTGATGTGGGGTTGGTAGTCGAAACGAAAAACTCATTTACGAGTGCCTCGTGAAAAAAAGGCCAAATTGCTGCACGGGCGGGCGGGTAAAGTCGCGCAGCACTTATGCTTTGGTGAGCGGATCGGCAGATGGCTACTAGTCGTAGACTCGGGTGTACAAAGGTAGTAGAGGAGGCAGAGCCTAAGCGCATTGGCTCGTTAAAGAGGCAACAAAAGCAGCACTCGTACGTGGTCAGTCTTGAGGCCATCGACGATGTAGCCGGTCGGGAATCAAAGACGATGCCTCGAGATGCGCCTTGCGGATATTCGTGCTGCATGCAATCCCATGCCATGCCATGCCATGCCATGCCATGCTATGCTGGTGCAGCAGCCAGGAGGGAGGGCATTGGCGTTCTCATGGGCCGGGCTGGGGCTGTGCCGCTGCCGGTCCCAGGGCAAGGGCGCGGCGGGCGCAGGCTGAGGTTACGGCCAGGCCTAAACGGGACTGGCTCCATTTCCGTGTGACTCATTCTTCGACTCCACCCTCGGCCCTGGAGGAGGTACATACACCTAAAGTAGTTCCTTAGCAGTATTTGCTATGAACCCTATACTATCTCGTTACTGCCCTATCGTGCTCCTTCTCAGCCACAGGTACCTCCCGCCGGAGTGGCCTCGTCTCCGAGAGTTGGTGCCTGAGAGATACATAACCTCCCCATGATTTTCTTCACCCACATTTTCTCTTTTTCTCTTCTCCTTACCCCCAAACGCACCTTATACCTACACATTACAAGATACACAGCGCCTCAGGCCGCCTTCAAGATGCGATAAATTACCTCTTTTCCGAGAGCTCCCCTTCTGAACCCGTCAAAATTCAGTCTCACGACATCAACAACATTTACTCCACTCAATCTTCCTCTCCCCGTTCAGCTCACCTTTTGGTCGACCTGAACTTTAGCCCTGCTCTGAATAGCATCAGCTCCAGTTCCCTTACAACCGCAAACATTTCATCCCAAGACTTCCCAGTCTTCACCACGGATTCCCAACCACCATGGCTTCCCCAATCAGCTTCCGCCCTGCCGGCACCACCCGAGCATACACCACATCTGAGCCCAGCACAGAGCCCCCAGCAGGACTTCGTCTTGTTCGACAATCCTCCGCCTCGCAACGCTAATCGGTCTTCGGTTTCGCTGTCCAGTCAGCGTCGTCACTCATCCTACAATAATCGTTTAGAGAAGTCTCCCGCTACCGGACTTCAAAATCCGCGTGTCGTACAGCTCCTCCAATCGTTTGGAAATCCTTCATATCCTGTCAACGCCAATCGTGTCTCCAACAACAATCAGTTTTACGCCTCCTCGGCCCCGTCCTCAACTGTTTCCCTGAAGCAACGGTCTTCAAGCGCCCGTCCCCCCGTTCCCCTCTTCAACCAGAACGTCGGTGACGTAGAGCAACCCGGCACGATGATGAACGCTGCAGATGTCGTCCTGGACGACCTTCCCATCTTCGATGGCGAAGTCGTCAACTCTGCATTCTCTTCGCCCGCGATCCCCTCGTCCTTTGATTTCAGTGGCAGCATCTCTAGCTCCACCTCAAACTTGGGAACTGTCTCGCCCCATGACCTCTTGGTCCAGGAGCCTTTCATGTCTGCCCCCAACTCGGCTGCCCTTACTGCATTGACCTCGCCGTCAATATACAATGAGTCCCCCGACTTTGATGGCTACGACGTCTCTCCCAACTTTGAGACTGCCGACTTTGGTAACCCAAGCGACTCTTGGTACCCCCTGTTCCCTCAGGAGTCTAGCGCTCCCGAGGCGGGCAACCCTGAGGACTCCCCCAACCAGGCATCCGATTCTGATTCTGCTGGCCAGGCTTCTGGCAACAGCAGACGCAAGCCTAGCGGCTCGCCCACAAGCGGTGGCCGCCATGCTGCGGCTGCTGGCGTCAACGCGCGCAAGCGTGACAAGCCTCTGCCTCCCATCGTTGTCGATGACCCGAATGACGTTGTCGCCATGAAGCGAGCTCGCAATACCCTCGCTGCTCGAAAGTCGCGTGAGCGCAAGGCTCTGCGCTTCGACGAGCTCGAGGATAAGATTGCGAAGCTCGAAGCTGAGCGCGACCACTGGAAGAAGATTGCTCTGTCTCAATCTGGTGCCCGATAAAAAGGGTGCTCTTCCTGGTGTCAAAAGTTTTTGTTTCGATCTTTTCTTTTTTTGATTTCGATGGTCAACCTATGTTATTACTACTTCTCCTACGGTCTCTTACTTGCTCTTTCTTTCTTGTTCTACGCTGGTTAGCCATGGTGGCTGGGAGACCCGATGGATGCTTCCGCCCTTTTCAGTTCTTAGTAGGCTACTCAGCCTGTTTTTAGTGTGCAATAATTGAGTTGTCTCTTGTACCAAACTGTCTTGACTACCTCGCATGGTCGTGTGGAACATTACAAGTGAAGCTTCTGTAAACGTTTATCGTTAACGGGATGAATCCGGTGTGGTGGAAGCATATCGTTTTACAACATGCATGGATATACTATGTATGTGTGTGTACATAAATAAATATTTGGAACATGTACTGTGAATTTGACCTTGTATGTACGGTTGATTGTTCCAGTTCCTCGCTATATACGTCCCGGCAGACGTTCGCGTGCTGACGGTATCATAATCTTTTTGTGAACAGAAACAACACCAAAACCAGCGATAAATCCTGCCTAGAATTCCCCCAGCCCGGGTCCAAAGTATTCGCCCGGGGCCAGCTTCATGAGAGGACACGAGACGCCATCGTCACAGCCAGAGCCGACGACGCTGTTCCCCCACCAGTTAAACTCGATGTTGTTGTACGCCAGCCCAAAGAACTGAATTAGGCCGGAGATGGCGATACCGGCAGAAAAGGCAGCTGAAAGCACAAAGTTGTACTACGGATTTCAACGTTAGCAATGGATTTCTCGTTACGATTGATAGGGAATCGAGAGAGACATACCTTAGACCAGAAGCCGAGGAAGCGCTTACGGACATAGAGCCAAGAAAAGGCAGCGACTGGAACGGCTGGCCACATGTAGGAGAGGTTGTAGGGCGCCCAGTGCAGACCACCTGTCATTATCACAACAGGGTGGATGTTGCGGATGAAGGCACTCTTAGGCCACTTCCTGCCGGCCACCCAGAATGCCAGCACAATAGCAACGCCAAGAGGGAAGCCGAGCAGGGTGACAGTGTAAGTGCCACCAACACCCCAGAGACGCTTGGGACCAACAGTACCCCACATCACAGCGGCGGTAAAGAAGGTGTTGATGCCAGGACAGGTGAAGCGGAAGGGAGCGTTGGCGGTGCAGACGTCTTTGAGGTTGACTTGGAATTGAACAATGCCAACGTAGACAAAAGTGGTGATGAGGCTAGGCACCATTTGCGCGAAGAAAGTGAAGCGAGGGGGGATCTTGACGTAATGAGCCATCTTCAAGTCATTGCTGAAAGCCAAGGCGTGGGCGCAGGTGACGTAGCCGTACGTCTTGAAGAAGCACATGGCTAGAGCGTTGCCCTCGACGAAGGAGCCACCGATAAACTGAGCGAGGACGTTGAGGGTGACTTCGACGCCTGTCATAGCGTAGACAATGCCGACAGGGACGACAAAGATGAGGCACAGGAGGACGCCGTAGAACACGACGCCAACCGAGGTATGCGTAGGATACACAGCGATGGCAGTGCAACCAATGGCCACGGCAAAGACGAGAGTGCAAAAGTACCACCATTCAGGAACCTCCTTGTATGCCTTCATTAGGCGGTTATGGACATCAAGCACTCGACCCTCCTCGATCTCCTGCTTCTTCGAGGGGCGGAAGCTGTTGATGAGGTCGCGGAAGCCCATCATGATCTCGATGCGGTGGAAGAGGATGGCGTAGGTGACGACGGCGCTATAGGCGCCAAAGAACATCATGTAGATGAGCGTGTTGGCAGATGAGAGATACGGCGGCGAGTAAGCCTTGTACTTTTCGATATCCATAATACCACGGTCGTCAAGGATACGAGTAACATTGTAGCGCTTGGCGAAGCGATCGTAGGGTTTGTTTGAGTTGATGGGCAGATACGCGCCGCCCCAGGCATTACCATAATACATGGCGGCGACGACAGGCAATGTGATGGCCATGCCCGCGAAGTTGTTGGCGGCGCTGAAAAAGGGTAGCATGAGCGGATCCGTCATGAATGTGACGATGTTCCAGTCAAAGGTTGGCAGAGGGTTGAGGCCTAGGCCACTGGCGCCGGTGATGACGGCCAACTTGGCGTTATTGGGCGCGATCCAGGCCATCCAGGTAAAGAGCGCGAGACCCTGGAAGATGTAATTGGGGAACCAAAACCACACGAACATGGCGGCGAAGGCAAACACGAAGAACTTGAGGCGGCTCATGCGCCAAAATGTCCCGAACGGTCCCGGCACGGCCGGGTTCGTGTCCGCGTGGAAGGCCGAGTTAAGCGCGATGGTGACGAGGGACTGCGGCCAGACGCAATAAGAAGGATACACAAGGAACCGCCGGCAGATGCCCGCTAGACTATAGCCGATGAAGTTGGTGGATAGAGCGATGAGGATCTGGTAGCCAAAGCTAAGGGCCCAGCTCTGGTTGAAGAAGTTTGGTAGGTACTGAATAAAGATGACGTAGTTTGTGTAGGGCGAGGACTTGGAGATGGCGGCCATGATGGTAATGAGCATATGCTCCTTGCGATTGAACGGGCCAGGGTTCAGGCTGTGTCGGACGCCAAAAAGTGTGAAGCCGACGTCTGGGAGGACCTTCTCCCACAGCTTGCCTACTGGGTATGCGAGAAGCTGGGGCACGTTGGCAGTGACGTAAATGGCCGGTTGGCGAATCTCAAAGAAGCCGTTGATGAAGGCAATGGCGATGGAGAAGAAGATTCCAATGACCCAGGCGCGAATCGTCGAGCATGGCATGGTAGGGTCGTCGCGGTTGCTTACGACAGCGCGCACCTCGGCATACGGCGAGTTATTAGTAATGAGTGCCGCCTCAATCTTCATCTCGGCAATCAGCTGCTCGTGCTTCTCAGGGTTGTCAAACACGTTGTCATTTTCTAGGCGCGCAGGACGCAGACACGGTTAGCTGGGGGAGGAGGAGGAGGAGGAGGAGGGAAAAGAGTGAGAGGAGGAATAATCAAGGACAAAGACGAGGAAGAAAAAGAAGCAGGAAGTGGCTTACGCAGAAACTCTTCGATTCGCTCCAGGATAGTTTGAGGAAAGTTGGGGTCACGGCGGTGGAGCTTGTACACCTGGGTCATGAGCTGTGCAGTAAAGTTAGATGAGAGTCATGATAATCATGGTCGTTTTGATTGCCCTCACATCGCGGGTGCCCTCAAGAGAAAACGTGGCAGCGAGCTCCTTGGCCTCGAGCAAGTCGTCCTCGGTGACATTGAGGTCATGCTCGGCACGCTCATCATCAGCTGCAGCAACGGCAGCATCGACCTGAATAGAATCTCTCAGACCCTTTCAAGGGCTGGTCAGCTTTATGCTTTGCAAAGTGCTTCAAAACATCACCGCATACCTCTTTCTCACCGATGATGCCGCCGCGAGGCTCCTCATGGACATTCGCGATGTCGCTGCGCTTCTCACCGTGTTCGGCCATGGTCAACGACAAGTCAACACGGGGCGGTGGTAACTCGCACAAGTTTGTTACCAAACTTTACCGGAGGCGAAGTATAGACGGGCCAAGAGTCAGTATTGTTCAGTGAAGCGGGAGCTTGGACTCTTTATATGTTCGGCTGCGTGGCTCTGTGACGCCTACTCATCATCCCTTCTAAGCTGGCGGAGAAGTCGCTGATGTAAAAGGGCAATGTTCGAAAGAGACCAGAACGCAATGGACCGCCAGTAACGGGAAACAACCACCACTGTGGCGCTTCCTGGGCATACCAGCCTCGTTGGCCGACCTTCTATAAAGGGACAAGGCTGCGCTGCGGCAATCATGGCCATTGCCTCCTCCAACTCTCTCCGCGTAGCTGATCGAGGGGGTTTGGTGCCCAATGCTGACTGGCCTCTCCGTGTTGAGGGTGAGCACTGGGGGCGACAAGCAAATTAGCGTCGCAACGGTACCCGGTCAAATTAAGCTTGGCAGATAAGGTTGTGTGTTAGTATGCGCCAATCACTCTTCTCCTCTCTTCTCTGGAGGTGGCGTCTGGTGAGCGGTTCCAGTGGCGTACTACTCAGGGACTTTGCTGGGTACGAGGAGCAAGCTATTCTGTTGACTCGGGATTGCTGCGCGCCCTTCTGCGGGCTAGAGGAATCGAATCCCACGCCCGTCGTTTCCCTCCCACACCATTTCCTACCAGGAGGAGGCAACCGACGAGCGATGAATGAAAAGGCCGTCAGCTGAGGCGCATCGGCTAATTGCCCTTCTCATTCGTTGACGTTGACCAAAGTACCACGGCGAACAGAGCTTTCGAAGAGGCTGTGTGGCCGCCCTGACCCGCAAAGAAGCTAATCGACGACGCATCCGTCTCGTTTCAAGGCACCTAATTTGCCCAAGTTCGTTCTCGCCATCGATGCTTGCCATCCGAGACTCGATATTCAATCGCCCTAGCCAAGCGGTGCAACCGGGCTCAACATCCCAACATCGCATGCCGGATGTGTCCGGCTTGCATTGTGCCGGCTTGTCTATTGCATGGCGATTCGGCGTATTGGTAGTGTCCTTGGCTCGAGCCGTGGCCGCTGCCCAAGCTGCCCCTCACGAGGAACTTCCTGGTTGCCCGCGGCGGCGATGCCTGCACCGAGGACGGGGCTGCAGTCCTGCCAAGCTCAAGGACAAGATAACAGCACGCCCCGCACAAGCGCCTAATAAACAACTATGTATGTAGCCGGTCTCGTTTTTCGCGGAAAGACTGCCAATTGTGCGGGCTGTGCTGGTCATATCTGGGCGCCAAGAGCGGTGGCCTCCGCCAAGAAGAAAAATGACACACAGAAAAGGGTGAAGCTGGCTGCGTATGTTGTAAGGACCGAGGTTATCAAGAGATTGAGAGTAAAGTTCACCAAGGAACAAGTAAGTACGGATAAACTTTCGTGGTTTGGTACAGTGCAATTGTGTTGGTGATGCATGAGGCTAGGAAGGTCAGCTTGACGTGAAAGAGGCAAAGAGGCGAGGAGGCGAGGGAGGCAGGGTGCAGGTTGCCACACGTGATTCGACATTGTGACCACGAAACATTTGAACATTGACTACTCCGTAATCCGAACCCGTTTTGCATTGCAAATGCAATGTTGTAACAATTATCTCACGCCACGTCCGTCTGAAGGTATGAGGGAGGGACGAGTTACTAAACTTCCCCGGGCACCACCACCGACTGCCAAGCGCCATGCTGTTCGGGCTTGTAAGACGAGCCCAGGACATTCGGTCTCGTTTCCCGCGATATTTAAACCAGATGCGGAAATCAGCCGCAAGCCGACAGGACATGAATAGATTGCATGCACATGCAGCCCCGAGAAAACGGCACCCTTCTCCAGATTGGCTGCTACCCTCCGCGTCGTACCAGCTGCGCGTGCAGCCGAATTACAGTACAACGGTAGTACAAGGCGAACGAAGCTGAAAGCTCGAGGCATCGACCAAGTCGTGGCACGCCCTCCGCTCACCGTTCAAGCGCATGAAGCGGGAAGCTAGGATTCCCACTTCATAGCCTACACAAGTCAATCAGCAAACAAAGGGAATGGTTCTTTTGTATCTTCGAGACCGTGTAGCCGCTTGGCTTGGAGCACGAACCGCAGGCTAAAAGGTAGCCATGTGTCTTGGCAGCGAGCGTTTGGCTTCCGCCCCGTTCCTCAGAGGAGACAAGGCTCCATACGGCGCCACGGGATTCTGTAGATATACTATTACGAATCAAGAGGCGGTTCAAAAGTTCCTCTTGGCCAGACTTGTAGAGGTGTTGGTGGTGTCACGATGTACAGAACCGGAGCCGTTGTTCTGCGGAGAGATACGTGAAAAAAGGGGAAGTCGGTGGCACGAGGCGCAGAATGCCCAAATTGGGAGGCTTTTAGGCTCGATTATTGATATCGAAGCCGTAGACAGCCGAGCATAAATCATAGCTAGAGTGTTAGACGGTATTATTGCGGCGCCCTTCTCCCATGCCTCACGCGGTTTCCCTCCCGAAAGAGCAACGCGCGTGGATCAGGCAGTGCCGCGCTGTCTGGGGTAATCTGCTCCTCCCCCGTTTTTGTTTGGGGACAGAAGTTGATTCGAATTACGTTACCAAGGAAAGCTTGAATCATATTCGGTATTCGAGTTTGATGGTCAATTTTTCACCGCTGGAGCCAGCCAACAGTGCAGACAGACTACTTGACCAAAGCGCCCGCGACCTGGTGCATGTCATGCAACAACGTTGACTAACCCCTCTGCAGTATGGGTTGAGCTTCCAATGTAGATAATTCATCAACTTCACGAATTTGAACACAAATCGTTGTGAATCATAGAGTCTCGTCTAATGCGCACCGAGCGTACACATGTTCCACGGCAGCTTCTTTGGTCTGCGCCAACTCCCTTCTCAAGCTCTGCGGGTGTATGTAAGTCTGTCAAATGAAGAAGACTGTGAATTAAAACTACACAAGATATGGACTAACTTTTTACTTTACCAGTTCGAGAGAAGTGTAAAACTTCAGAGTAACCGACTGATGCTATGGCCTTGTTGGACCAGATCTTAGAAGCAATGGAAGCACCATAAGAGTCTGACGGCACAATCACCGATACAGATACACCTAATTTCCACGCTAAAAGACCCAACTATTGAACATCATCTCAGGTAAATGGTGCTTTCCCCAGTAGCATCATTACCGTCTCTAAATGGTTCTTCGCAGGGCATTGTGAAAGCAGTGTCAACTGGCTGCGAGCCATCGGCCCTTGCCGACCGCACATATCTACAGTTTAACCTCTCACTGAATACAATTGTTCTTCTTTTCAGCTGCTGAATACTTTTTAGGCATCATCCTCCCTACTGCTAGCAGTCCAGCCCATGGTGCGGTCGACCACAGCCAGTGACAGTGGCACACCGAAGGCCACTTACACCGTCGCTCACGCCCACTCCGATATTGCTGTCATGGCCGCTGTCCAACATTCCTCTCTCCAGAGAATTGGCTCCCTGAAAGCCTTACTGGTAGGCCGACGAATATTTACACTTCCAAGCTGGCTGCCTATTTTATGGCGGCCGGCCGGCCAACTGCACGGCAGCCTGACACAGAAATGCTAGTTTTTGCTCGCCCGGCCATATATCCAGACCTGCTTTTTGGTCACCAGACCGCAGCAGATGCAAGTGAATTTCACATGCAAGAGTGACGACTGCTGTGAAACTGGAAAAAAGGCAATACTTCCAAGCATCACCTACGTATTCCCACTCTGGTACATTGCAAACACTTGATTCCACCAGGAGCCCGCCCTATCATGCGGCCGTTACGCTTCAGAATTCTGCCTGGAGGCGTCTTGTAGCATATCATGTAGGCTGTCGTACGGAGCAGCAATTGAGTCATAGCGATTTCACTGCGCGATTCTGCTTAGATGGCGTGAAAATGTACTCGCAATGGGGTACCAATGGGGCACATATCGGTCAATACCCGCGCAGCCTCCCACCTCGTTTTTCAAGTCATTCCACCAATCTACCATACAGAGAGTCTAGGCAGCAGCCGGTTTATTTCTACGATTTCATACACACATAGCGTGGCTTGCGTAGGCGACGCCGACCGATGCTTGTGTATGACCTCGAATGCGCTCTCACGGACGCTTATATCTGGGTTGTTATCAAATATGCGGTGTCTTTGTCCTTTTCCTTGCTAAATTTCCAAAACTCGTGTTTCAATTGAAAAAGAAATGTAAAATAAACGCAGTTCCTGCTTACCTTTCTCTGTTTGGCATGTGAGGCTTTCTCGAAAGGGACAACCTTTACTTCGCATCTGCTGCATGTACTCTTGTGATGGGAGGGGGAAACATGAGTTGGGCGATTGCTGACATTGAAACTTGACCGTAGGACGAAAGCTCCATGTCAAGTTAATGAGTGTAGGCGGTGAGAGATTCTGCCACCTGGAGCTGTGGTGGGGTGGACAGGTACCTTGTTACATACCTCCGTACCGCGCCACAGGAACCCGTTGATTGACAGCATACGTGTTTGATAAAGGACCATCCAACCGCAAACACCGCATCGTCGCCATCTGTCATTCCTGATTTTCTCGTTATTGCGCAACTTCCACATGAATGACAGCTTCTAAGCCTGTGCTCGTCCTAGAGCAGATTGTGGGACTGGAGGAAAGATGACGACACAGTTGCTCGCGACTGAGCTAGCTAATCTCATTCAGGAGAGCAAGCGAAAGCACAACGACTTGCGACAGGTACACGCTCTTGTTTCTTTCTGTATCGAAATCTATAATTGACCACTTGTAAGATAGGCCGCTGAAAAGTCTCTTGAAGAGCTGAAACAACTTGGGCCCCTCTCTGAGAGCGCAGTCTCCGATCGTGAGCCCGCCTCCCGCACCACTCCGTTTGCTGCATTCTAAACCCTGCCACCAGAGCTGTCGCAAAAGACCAATTTCGTCAACCCATTCATTATTGCTTGCGGAACCAAAAATGCAAAGTTTACTAGCATTGCCATTGTGTGCCTGCAGAGGCTCATTGTTGCCAGTGCCTTGCCACGGTCAAAGCTCAACCAGGTTCTCGAAGCCTTGATGCAAGCATCTTCCGCAGCTTTGGATGTCCAGCTCAAAATTTTGCAAGCCTTGCCGTCGCTTCTGCAAAATTACGCTGCCGAACTTCAAGGAGAGCTTCTCGTTACCACACTCAATATCTGCTTCATCCTGCAGAGCAGTAAAAATGCAATTGTCAATAACACATCCGCGGCCACGCTGCAGCAGCTTGTAGTAGCCGTCTTTGACAAGGTTGTTACCGAAGATAGTACGTTTCCCTAGAAATTTTCCTGTGAAACTCGCTAATATCTCTAGAAAACGGTTCCAGTGAGCCGTTTGTCGGCGAGGCTGCTACCTCCAATGGCAAGGTCCAACTACGTGCTGCAGCCCTCGATGCCTACAGAGTGAGCCGCATTCGCCCCTAAACAAAAGCCTGCGCTCACTCACATATAATAGATATTTAATGATTTGTGTCTTCTCACTGAGAACCAAAGACCAGAATACATGCGCTTTGCCGGCCTTCCTCAAACCTTTGGGCTGGAGCTCATTGAATCTGTCATCACGAACCATGGCAACTTATTGGCCACACACCCTGAACAGGTTCAAGTACTGAGAGCACGTGTTATGCCTCTTCTCATGAGCGCTCTTAAAGGAAAACCTACTTTCTCGACATCGGTCAGACTGGTTCGTATCTTGTACACTCTGCTGCGTCGCCACATTAGTCTGCTTCCAGCAGAGTGCGGCGAGGCGCTTGACATATTGACCCATTTGATGGATCACGACTCGCTGCTCTGGAAGAGAGCTCTTTGCATGGAGGTGTTCCGTGGTTTATTTGCCGAGCACGCTCTGATACGAGAAATATACTCCCTATATGACGCCAAGAAAGGCCAAAAAGACGTCTTCAAGGCACTTGTTGCCATCTTTGTTCGACTTGGCACTGAGAAACCCGCCGTCATAGGGCTTAGTCACCAGTCTACCATTCCCGCTTTTGATAATCGCGACGGCCAAGATGCCTCTGATCAAGCCGTTCTAGAGGCTAGTGGTGTTGGTGGTATTATGAGTGGCACACCCGGCAACGAATTATCACACGTCGGCATCAGTTCCAAATGGAGCACCGTTCGCATTCCCTACATCGACCAGCTGGATAAAACCGAACCACCTCCGATTCCGGAAACATATGTATACAGCTTGATCTTAGCGTGCATCTCATCGCTTTCAGATGGCCTTGCCAAGTTCATTCTCCCCCTTACTGTCTCCAATGACAGCAAGGGCCGCCGCAAGGTCTCTCCACAAGAATCGGACAGGGACTTGCCAAAGTTGCAACAGCTGGAAGCCGAAAGCGCAACAATTCGAACCAGACCAGAACGGTCGTCGTCCTTTAAGAAGAATCCGATCCCTGTTAATCCGCTCACACTTGAGAGCCATCCCCTTCACGCAGAGGTTAAGATATGTTCGTCCATTGTGGATGAGTGCTGGCCTGCCATCCTGGCAACTTGTTCCAATTTCCTCTACGCGTCGCTAGATTCAGAGTACTACCACGGACTTGTGCGAGCCTTCCAACGCTTTGCCCATGTCGCTGGATTGTTGCAGCTTGCAACTCCGCGGGACGCTTTTCTCACAACACTCGGAAAGTCGGCTGTGCCACCCTATGTATTGACCGCTTGCCTCAATGCCGGACAATCACGTTCGGTCACAACTGGCTCTACCGCCGAAACCCCCGCTTCTACAATTCTGAGCAACGCAAGGGGTCTTTTAAGTGTCGAGACACTCCAAAGCCCCCAATTAGCCGAAAAACAACGCCAAATGAGCGCAGATATGACCAACGCATCGTTAAATACCCGAAATCTACTCTGCCTGCGAGCTCTCCTGAATCTCGGAATTGCTCTCGGACCGACTCTTGGCACGTCATGGAGTATCATCCTCGAAACATTGCAACAGGCTGACTTGGTCCTCTTCTCCACGAGCAAGGGCTCGACAAGGTCCCCATCGATCAGCAGGGCCCCCGATCAGGGAGGCGATTTTGATCAGAACTCTTTGATGGCGAACTTCAGCAACGAAGTTCGCTCCGTTGAAACTGCTGCATCCCGACTCTTTGAGAGTACAATTGACTTCCCTGACGAGCAGTTCGCCCAGGTAATTCAAGCCATTTGTGGACTCTTGACCGTACAGAATTCTTCAGAGAGCCCCTCGGTGCAGCCGCAAGCAAAAGTGCCACTGAAGCCTGGCCAAGGTCATCACCGAAGGGTACTTAGTTTCTCCAATCAAACAGTCACGGATACCAACCAAGAACTTCTATTCGCTTTAGCGAAACTTGGTGAAATTGCATCTATCAATTCAGAAAGGCTATTGACGAGCGACCCGGATAAGTCTGGCTGGGATTTACTTGTTGCTCAACTTGGCGCCACCCTGGACTCGACTACGATGAGTACCCCCGTCCGTATCAGAGCAGCGGAAGTTTTAGCGAGATTCATGCTTGAATCTGGCAGTATTGCAGCTGGTCTTTCAGAGGATCTACGTGGCTCCATCCAACTGCGTCTTCTTGAGGGGTTGCGTGATTCGCTCACAGCACTGCGAGGTAAGAAACGAGAGGACTCTGTTGCTGGTAATGCGACGGATCTGGAGATCCATCGGGTCATTCTCGAAGGCCTTCGCCAAATTCTGGAGAATTATGGTGAGAGCTTGGTAGAAGGCTGGGATGTTGCCTTTGATATCATTGGCAGTGTGTTTGTGACCACAGATACAATCCCGGAGGATAAGAGAGACTCGAGCAAAGCAGTTGGAACGCGTTCATCGAAGCTCGTCCGCTCTGCATTCGGCTCACTGCAACTGATATGCTCTGACTTTTTGGCGTCGCTTCCTAATGGGTGCTTCTTGATCCTCGTCGATGCTCTGTACAATTTCAGTTCGCAAGATGACGATTTAAATATTGCTTTGACGGTAAGATGGCCTGTGAAATGGTCGTGTGACCGTGCGCTGACCGCAACATAGACTGTTACTTTCTTCTGGATGCTTTCCGACTTTTTATCCGGTCGTTCGAAGTCGCTAGAAATCACCGAGGAGCTGATGAAAGGTGTTGGTTCTACGAGCTTAGTAAATCTGGCCGAGAACAGTGAGGACAAAAACTCTTCTGCGGCGCTGTGGCTGTTGTTGCTACAGCGTCTCACCGCCGTAAGCTCTGATACCAGGCTCGAGCTTCGCAACAGCGCCATACAGACACTACTTCGCATATTCGACGCATATGGGGACCGCCTTACACCAGAGGCATGGTCTATGTGTACCAAATCTGTCTTGTTTAGACTTCTGTCATCACTTCAGGAGGAACTAGAGTCCGCAAACGAGGACGGAACTGACGACTCTCGCCATGAATGGCATGACACCTCAGTTGTTATTCTCAATGGTATATCCGCTCTATTAGCCAACTATCTCGATGTCCTGACAACGCATTCATCTTTCAACGAGTTGTGGAAAGAGTTGCTCGGGCATTTCGCACAGCTGCTCGACTTCGAAGTTCTTGCCCTTAATACCGCAGTTTTCAAGGCACTAGCTCATATCCTATCACAAGCAAATGGAGAACGCAAGGCAAAACTCAACAAAGATGCGGTTGACTTGGCCTGGGAGTTGTGGGCGCGCGGCGTACCCGCTGCTCAGTCAAGTGAGGCACAGGGCAAAGACAATCAAGGCTGTCTGCTCGCATATGTCGGTGCCTTGACGGAGCTATATAAACTGATTCAAGAGAAACTTTCAGTCAAGAGGGTTGAGAAGATTCTGACTCTGCTTCATGCATCGGCACAAGAGGCTTCGTCTGACTCACCTGCATCGGATCTGGACAACCTGACGCAGCTTCAATCCAAAATTATAGAAGCTGTAAAGATGATACGAACTGACGTAGATGGGGTTCCGTCTGCGATGTTGTCACATGCGTCGAAACTCGCCACACTGGCATTCGAGCAAGACCTGAGTCAGGACAAGAAGCCTAAGCGCACATTTATTGCACTTTCCAGAGCAAGCATATCCTTCTTGGAAGCGGTGGCGTTGAAGCATGCAGCGGAAAGAGATATCTATACCAGTGGATCGCTAGCGACAGCCCTTGCAGCCCTTTGCAAACCGGTCACTTTGAAATACAGCTTCCCGCTGACTACCAAAGCAGCGCAACCGTGGAGAGTGGCAACTATGTCTTCTCTGGCTGTTTTGGGAGCTGCTTTGCCGCAACTGAAGGAGTTGAAGATCCCAAAAGAGACGGCGCAGCATATTTGGTCAAATATTGCAATCCTTGGTGACAGCATTCTTTGTGCCGACTGTGACGATGCAGTCGGCGGAACGGATTTTTCTGCCGACGAGGAGTTTGACATTGAGTCGTTCAAGCAACTACGCAACTTGATAATCCCTGACCTCGGCGCGGAGGATGTTCCCGACACGGCTAGAAAATCCCTTGCTTCTAGCCTGTTCAAGACATCGATCATCCATGCACCCACGGATATCGACTATCAAATTATCAACGGGGAGAGCGAGAACGGACTCTCTGCGCTCTACGAGACACGAACTGGCCAAACTGTATTTGTACCGCCAACACGCCGAACAAAGATAGCCTACGTCGCATTTGAGGAGCTCTTTACTCTGGTGACCCAAGAAGAGGCCGTTGCGCCCTCCAAATCAAAGCAAAAGAAGAAGGGCGAGAAGAAGGAAGCTATTTCGCCATCGTCCATGAGGGCACGCATTGCTTCATCCGTGGCGCCATTGTTTGTCCTGCGGTGCGCGCTCCCCTTGCGGGCGTACGTGGCCGACCAGCCGCTGCGAGGCCAGATGCCACAGCCTCTGAGCCAGAGGAACGAGTTGCTGTGGATGCTGGAGAAGCTTGTTGACTTGCACAGCGAGTCTGAGGCTATTCCAGCCCTTAAGGGAGCGCAAAGTACGAGTAGGAAGCACCTGCTGCGGCTGTACCCGCTTCTGGTCAAGGGATTGGTGGCGGGAGGCGATGAGAAGGTGCTGGAGCTCCTGAGGGAAGCGTTGGACGTAATAGGAGGGGAATTAGGCATTGTTTAGAACATAACAGGCGGGAAGGAACATATTATGTACGCTATCACGACGCATGGCGAGAATTGTATTTGATCCTTGACTTGGAAGGGGAAATAGGCTGTTAACACCCTTTGATTTCGTGATCTACTTTAACATGCGGGAATGGAACCTTTCAGGCCAGGTCTATCTCAGCCGCGCTGCTGTGTACATGAGTTAAATGGAACTGACGAATCTCTAGTTATGGCCAGTGGCTGAAGCGAAGAGGTGCTGCCGACGGCTGCAGACACTTTGAAAGTAGAGGGGCCACTGGGCCACTAGCACGGAAGGACCTGGAAACTTTGCTTGAGAATAAGACAAGTCTGAGAGGATGAAAGCCTTTGCCTCTGGGTAATAGAACAAATTTCGTTCTTGTAATAACATTAACCCAATATCTCTCTTATACCGATTTGCCCACTGTTAGCCGTTGCGTCACTGACGTGGGGTCAGCCCATCGCGGGGCATTTTCCAACATGGAAGAAAAAAAAAATCATCCTCCACCTCCGACCACGACAAAACAGCTTCCAACCCCCTTCCACAACCCCCAAACACCACTACACACAACGCCCACGAGCGGCGCAAGACGAGACGGCCACGATGGGCAAATCGTCCAAGGACAAGCGCGACGCCTACTACCGGCTGGCCAAGGAGCAAGGCTGGCGCGCCCCCCCCCCCGTCCCCGGTCGCCAATTGAGAGACTTGCAGCCTCGCTAACCTCGTTCCTGCTTCTCCCCTACAGAATTCGACCTGTTTAGCAACGTCTCCCGCGTCGTCGACCTCTGCGCCGCGCCCGGCTCCTGGTCGCAGGTCCTCTCGCGCGTGCTCATCCAGGGCGAGAAGTTTGGCCGCGCCGCGTGGCAGGACCGCGAAGCCCGTCTGCGCCAGCAAATGCTCAACGTCCTGCCCCCGGCCGCCGCCGACGACGACCAAGCTGCGACGGACAAGCCCCTCCACCGGGATCATCAGCCCGCCGCCGCCGCCCGCCGCGACGACGTCAAGATCGTCTCCATCGACCTGCAGCCCATCGCGCCCCTCGCCGGCATCACCACCCTCCGCGCCGACATCACCCACCCGGCCACCGTCCCTCTCCTCCTTTCCGCCCTCGACTCCACCGCGGACCGCCACCCGGTCGACCTGGTGCTCAGCGACGGCGCGCCGGACGTCACCGGCCTGCACGACCTCGACATCTACGTGCAGTCGCAGCTGCTCTTCGCCGCGCTCAACCTCGCGCTGTGCGTGCTGCGGCCCGGCGGCGCCTTCGTGGCCAAGATCTTCCGCGGCCGCAACGTCGACGTGCTGTACGCCCAGCTCAAGCTCTTCTTCGAGACAGTGGTGGTGGCCAAGCCGCGCAGCAGCCGCGCGAGCAGCGTGGAGGCGTTCATCGTGTGCAGGGGGTTCCGACCGCCGCCGGGGTTCCGCGCGAGCCTGGAGGCGCCGCTGGGCGTCGGCGCGCGGCTCGGGGACATGGTGGCGGACAGGAGGCGGCGGATGCCGCTGCGGGCGACGGGCAGGATGCAGGACCCCACGCGCGGCACGTGGGATGCTGCTGTGGGAGGTGGCGACGATGATGATGAGTACGGGCACAGGTTGGGTTATGACGAGGTGGAGGAGGGACAGGTATACGATGGTGATGAAGACGAGGCGGACACAGCACGGACGGCGACGACGGATCCGAGCAAGAGATGGATCGCTCCTTTTATTGCGTGCGGTGACCTGTCCGCGTTCGACTCGGACGCCTCCTACACGCTGCCCGAGGACTACGTCTCGCTGGACCCGGTGCAGCCGCCGATTGCGCCGCCATACAAGCGAGCGATCGAGATGCGCGCTGCCCTATCCAAGAGCCGCTAAATACATGAGAGACGAGACATACAAGGACGTTTTGATGCCTTAAAATATAGAATTCCCAAAATAATACCCAGGATTATACCTCTGCTATTTTTTTCTTTTGCGTTATCCCTAGCAGAGATGTTTTGAAGTCAAACGATCCTTGGATACAACACAACAAAACCACCAGAACTTGTAACAACGAAAACAGGGATAAATAAAGAAGAGAATTTTCCCCAAGTCTAACAAGACCGAATGAGGCGCAAGCTAAAAAAGATATAAATGTAAAATAAAGTGCATATGTGCTTGGTCAAGACCGAATCTGAGGTACGCTACCATGTTCGAGGACCGGTGGTGTAGGCCATGCTGTGTAGCCAGACGTAGATGAAACAATCTGCCACGTGGAGATTGTTTTGATATAGGAGGGTGAAAGTTGGACATGGACTCGTGAATTGCCGTAAATGATTTATACTCGACGCCTTTTGCTCGAGGGTTGTTTTAGTGGTCCTCGGGCACGTCCTTGACACCGTTGCCAGGCATTTCGAGGACGACGAGGCCGGCAGAGGGGCCCTCGTCAAAGCCGAGGGCGCCGAGCTCACGCTGGTACATGCGGGCGGCGGCCGAGTCGTGGGTCATGAGGACGAGGCCGCGGAGGTTGGGCCAGCCGTCGACGACTTCCTTGAGAGCGCGCATCATCCAGGAGGCGAGGCCGCGGCGCTGGTAGTCCTCGAGGATGAAGACGTCGGTCAGGTAGGCAAAGGTAACGTAGTCGGTGACAACGCGGCAGAGGCCGGCAAGTCTGCAGTTGGGGCCGGATGTTTCGCGAGGGAGGCCACCATTGCCTGGAAGGTGGCATTGTTAGTCGAGGGCTTGTCTAGGAGAGAATGGAATGCCAACTAGACACGAGGAGGCGACTTACTCTTCATCTCGGCCGCCGTGTCGGGCACAGAGTAGATGGCAAGGGTCATGCAGTTGGATAGCATCTTGCGCATCTGGTCAATGTCGAGGGGGTCGTTCCACCACATGAGGTCCGTGTCAAAGATGTCGTTGACGACAAAGGGATCGAGGAAGGTCTTGTCGGTGGTGAGGAAGAAGCCGTCGCGGGCCCAGTAGCGGGCAGGGCCTTCTTGCTGGAGGGGAGCCGACTTGGCCGGACCGGCCTCTGTGTGGGAGGATGCTGTGCCAGTGGTCATGGTGAGATGTGCGAGATAATTAGGCGTGACAGTGTGAGAGAGGAGGAAGAAGGAGGGAGACAGAGAGGAAGAGAGCGTCGATGTGTGGGTGTGTGAGAGAGGTAGTGTGTTGGTGTGTATGGGAGTCTATGTGTTTATGATCCGCTGTGCAAAGTAAGGCTGGAGACGAAGCCAGCAATTGATTGAAGAGAGGCAGGCAGAGGAAGACAAAAAGTAAGTTTGTGTAGAAGAGGCAAACGGCAAAAGGTAAAGTTGGGATGGAGGTGAGGAAGGAGTGTACTTGTACTAAGCGGGCGGACGGTGCACAGGCTGGGGTACTTTTTCCAGCACTTGCCTACATGGGACATACAGCCAGACCTACAGTACAGGAGCAGTACGCTGTGGTACGGAAGCCGAGGGGACCCGCTGACCTGTAAGAGAGCGGATCAAGGGGGCCCCATCGAAAATCATTCCGGAGATGCAGTTGTATTTTGATTATTTTACGTTGTTTTTTTCTTTGAAACTAGGCTATGATTGCGGGTAGTAACGGGCGGTAGGAGGGGGGCGCGTGGTTGAGGAACTCGTGGCCTTGATCGTTGGCTGATAAGGGCTTGTACCTACATGGGATAAGCCATTGGCTGGGGGAAATGGCGATGTTGCAAAGGACGATGGGGGGAAAGGAGCGAAAAGACGGGGAACAAGATTGAAACTAACAAGGCTCGGCGACCTCGGCGGAGGAGGAATCTGGGCGCCCTAATTAGCTGGTACTGCAATTCTGCGATGCTGTGAATACTGTACATAATACACGAAAGCGCCCCCCGGTGGCCGGACCGCGGAGGCGCCGTTGGTGAGTGCGAGCCCGGGACACGCACTGTGAGAGCGGAAGGCTCTGTTTTCGAGACAGGGAATTTTTATTACACGTTGAGAAAAATGCCAAAATGATCCTTCTATTCCAATCAATGCACTTCTAAATAGAATCATATTTTTTCTCGCTCAACTGACCGCGGCAACAGCCACCCCGGTCCGGGCACGGCCGTGTCCCGCCACCACTACTCCGGCACAGTCCCCGCTGTAAACACACTGTGTACCTGTCTACTCCGGCCCTGCCACGCCGACGGACGGACGCAGCTCCATCACCAAACCATCTCATCCCCCCTCCATCCACAAGATCCCACCTCCCTCGACATCACGAAAATTGGCTGCGACCAACCCGACATCCAACAACCCACGCCACCTTTATTCCGTCGAACGGCGGCTGTTTTCGGTGCTTGGAATCTTAAAGTGAATGCGAAACTCGATTGCCAAAGATAGGCTACTTTTCGTCTATTTCTATGGTACAGTTTTTCCCTTTCGCTGGTCAAGACGATATACGCGGTCTGATGGTGGGCAATTGTCCTTTTCTCCTTGTCTTGTCATGGATCATGACTGAATGACCTTGGTGTTTTTTTTTTTGGCTTCGGTTCCAGAAGTTATCCGCCTTCTCCACAACTGATGATGGTGGGGCACCGCCATGGTTTTGTTCCTCTTTTTTTTTAGCCTGGTTGCTGTGCATTTCTCAGCCCGCCCCCTCCAGACAAGACGCTGCCGTCGAGCGAATGGAGACAAACGAAAACGTTGCAAAATTGTCCAGTATGCTTGAGAATTCAATCGAGAGAAGGGGCAGGAAGAAAACGAAAACCCGCCTGCTACAAGTCCAAGCGCCAAACAGCTGACCATACGGCCTCGAGCAGAGAACCAGCATCTGCCTTCCCCGGAATCCAGACCGCATCTCAGATAAACCAGATCCTGGGCCAAGTCACACAGCCGAGACCACCTCGCACACTACTAACATGAACCGGGTCTAGGCACCGGTCATGCACCAGCCATCGCAGCACAAACTATTACAAGGAACGGAGTGCATGCATACGAAGTACACACACATACCATATCAGACGCCCGCAGCTACCCGTACCCTTTGCGTCAGTGGTGGCCTAGCAGGCCCCGGTCGATGGCTGACCTGCATCAACAACCTTTTTGCGTTGCCTGCCCTTGGCCGACAAAGACGTGCCAGTAGACGTCAAAGGCTTGTCACGCGCCGGGGGCCAGAACCGGAACCTTTGTTACAGGTTTGCAACCACAACAACACACGAACCAGACGCCAGCCTCAGCCACTCGCACACACACCTGTCTGCCTCTCTGCTTTTTCTTGACGCCCAGCCCGGATACCTGGTTGGCTGGCTTACCACATATGCTGGCGACCACATGACACACCCTCCTCGTAAGTTGTAAAGCACAGCTACTGTTGCAGGCCAATTATCCCCGATGACGGAGCGGATAAAGTACATGCATGGCCGAGAAAGGTATCCGTAAATTAATCCAGGCTGCATCGAGGCCGGTTGACGTACCGTGATGTAACTCGCCCTGTGCGTCTGATGCCATCTGACCAAGTTTGTAGCTAACTCATTTTGCATCGCGAGTAGGAATCACGCTCAAAATCGATCAAAGTTGATGAAGTGCATGAACAAGAAAAATAAGAATAATAGAGAAACCGCCAACACTGGTGCTGCGTTCCTCGCACCTCACCTGCATTGGTATAGGTTACGGTATGGGGACATTATGAAACGCCCGTCACGCGACAACGCGGCACGAAGCAACACAGTATTTTCGCACATTTCGAAACGTTATTTTTGATCCAAATCGGCCGCGAGGCCGCTCAAACCGCTCACATAAATCCTCCGACATGACCGCATGCCCCAATCGCATACGCTTCTTGCATATCTATATATATAATCATACTTCGTCTAAGTAACCATGCAAAAGGACGCTTGTCCTCGAAAATGAATTGTATCTCCGCGAAACAAAAAAAAAAACAATAACAAAGGCAGAAAGAATGATACGAATAATACGCTTCTAGCCTGTATCTGCCGTACCACACATCCACCACAGAAAAGAAAAGAGAGAACAGATATGCAAGCGAGATTAGAACAAGACTACCCCGTCCTTGCCGCGCATCTCCTTCACTCGCTGCTGCCGCTTCATTATGCTGCGCTGTCAATCCTTTTTTTGGGAGGTTACATCCAGAATCCAGATGCAGTTCTTGAAAGGTGATGTAGCTGAAGTGTAACCGCTGTTGTATGAGTGAAAAATTGGCAAGGAAAAAAAAGGAAAAAAGATAATAGAAAACCCTAGCTGTAGAGTTAGAGCTTGCCTCAAGGGCCGAACCACACGACAGGTCGACACTTACCATCAACTCCGAGTGTAACGCAAAAAACAGGCTAGCCAAGTGTCTAGACGGGGGCGTTGTTGAACAGGAACGAGACGGACTCGCCGTTGTGAGTTCGGCGGATGGCCTGCACAGTTTAGCTATTGACCTCCGATTTCCAAATCGAGCAGCTTACCTCGGCAAGGGTACCAGAAACGTCAATCACCTTGAGCTTCGGGCAGCGTTCAGCCTTGTCACCAACTAGGAAATGTTAATATGAGGGCGCACGGGTGTACGACTTTGTTTCTTTGACATACGTGGAACAGCTACGGCAGGTTAGCACGTGATAGTAAGATATTTCAATCATAAGGTAAACTCACTGTTGGTCACCACTACACCAGCAAGGCACGACTGGTTGATGATCTCGATGGCCTTGCCGCTCAGGATGCCATGGGTGACGATGGCGAAGACCTCCTTGGCACCGTTCTCGTTGAGGGTGGCAGCAGCCTTGGCAAGCTACACACGAAGGCATTAGCACACATACGGCAGCCATCACGAGGCGGCTTCGGAAAGACGTACCGTGCCGCAGGTGTCGGCCATGTCGTCGACGAGAATGGCCGTCTTGTCCTGGACGTCGCCGACGAGGACCATGCGGCCCACGACGTTGGGACGCGGGCGCTCCTTGTGGATGAGCGCAAAGGCCGTGTTAAGACGGTCAGCAATCGAAGTGGCGCGCTTGGCGCCGCCCGCGTCGGGCGACACAATGACGCAGTTGTCGACCCGCAGGTTCTCGCGGATCCAACGCAGCACCGAGGGCTCGGCATACAAGTTGTCCACGGGGACGTTGAAGAAGCCCTGGATCTGCGAGGCGTGGAGGTCCATGGTGATGACGTGGTTCTACCAGGACGGAGGTTTGGTCCCTGCGTTAGCCATGTTGCTACTTTTGTACTAGATGGAAGCGAGAAGGCAAGAAAAAGAGAAACGGAAAAAATGACTTACGCAGCCAGACACCTGCAGCATGTTGGCAATCAGCTTGGCGCTGATGGGCGCGCGAGACTTATCCTTCTTGTCCTGGCGCGCGTAGGGAAAGTTGGGGATGACGGCCGTGATGCGGCGCGCCGAGGCGGTGCGGCAGGCGTGGATCATGATGAGAAGCTCCATAAGCCCATCATTGACGTCTCCGGGGGCCGTCGATTGCAGGATGAAGACGTCCTCGTCTCGCACCGACTCGCCAATGGAGATGCTTGTTTCTTGGTTGGAGAAGTTGAGGCTCATAGTGTTGGCAATATCAATGCCCAGACTGCAAGGGTAAAACAGCAACATCAGCCATCTGGTCTTATTCTGGCCTGAAGCTGTCCGCGCGCGCGTACGCGTGTAAGAGGCGGGCGCTTTCCTGATGGGTGAAGAGGTCCAGCGAGCTCCAAAATGAGCTCAGCTCATCCCATCGTCACAAAGGCGCGCGCCCGGCGGTCGGCGAGAGGACGGACGACAAGAGACGTACCGGTAAGCCACCTTGGCGCTCAGCTCCGGATGGGAGCTACCCGAAATGAGCTTGATCTCGTTGGCCATTTGATCCAGCATGGTTGTTGACGTTGAGACCGGCTATCTCCTTCTCGTTGCTCGGTGTGGCGGGGCAGGGATATTTTTTTTTCTCTCACGTTACGGGCTCGGTAACGTAACTGGACTGAGACGGCGTGGGCTAATGCAGCCGGGTAACAACTATTGGTGCGGGTTGAGCGAGCTCGGTATGAGAAAAGGAAAAAGGTAGATGCACCGTTGCTTGATAAGCCCTGTCAGATTGGAATTGAAGCGGTGCGAGGCTGTGTTGGCGATGATTTTATATCCAAAGAGTTGGTGGACAGAAGGTGCAGTCAGAGTTTTGCACATTTGATGCGTGGATCCAAAACCGGAAGCACCCGCTGGAAGTTGTCTGGGACAGTGACTCAACAGTGACACTACAGGCTTGACAGCCCGTGTTCCAGGCCTGCTGCAGAGTTCAGCGGCTGTTTTAGCGGCTACCTCTATCGCAATCGTTACTGTAAGGTCACGTGCCGCCACTGCATTTGGGCCGCCTCTGTGCTGCCGTCTTGTACTTGTAAGTACTTGTTTAACTTATTATGCTCAATATGGCCGGATGGACCAAAGTATAACATCTCGAGTATGACCTTCTCAGGCCAAGCTGTGTCATTGCAGATGGCGCTACTGCAGAGGTGGCTGCCTCGTAAACACAAGCCCCAAGCCTCCGCGCCCATGTCGCACAAAGTTTGATATGAGGGTAAGGCAGGTCGAGCGACACACTCCAATCCAATCCGATATTGCCCCAGACACATCTCCCCATGTCGTCGTCGCCGGCACACGCAAAAAACGCAGGACTTGTCCTCGACTATAGATTCGGCTTGTCATCGAAATGTGAGGGCTATATCTGCATGTCTCAGATGCCCATCGCCAATATCTGGTCAAGCCCTCTCGCCATCACCGCCACGAGCGGGTCGCTAAACTAAACCCTCATTTACTCATTCGCTCTGCTACTCGGCAAGCATAATGAGCATCATGGAAGCAGAACCAGCTTGGCCGATACAGGAACCGCCCCTTCATTCCCGCTGCGTTCTGTTCGACGAGCTGGCCGTGCCCCCCAAGCTACGCCTGCTCATCGTCGCCACCGGCCCACGCGACACCTCGTGGGCGCATGCCCTCATTGTCCGCTTGTCCAAGAACCCCGATATCGAAATGCGCGCCATTGTCGACGATGTTGTGCCCAGAATGACCCAGACCATCATGGCTATGCAAAATATGAGCTTCGCTGTTGGCCGGCCGGACCGACAGGACGACGTCGAATTCTTTCGACATCAGGCATTCGACCTCGTCGAGTGGGCTCATGTTCTCGTCTGCTTGCCACTGGATGCTGATGGCATTGCCAAGATGCTCGCAGGCATTTCGGATACTCTGATCGGCGATGTATTGAGAAGTTGGAACTCTCAAAAGAGCATCGTTCTGGTGCCAGGCATGAGCAAGCCCATGTGGTCCAGTACCACCACCAAGCAGCATCTCAACAAACTTCGCCAGTCTGGCAAATTGGTGCAGATCATGGAACCTATACTATGGCACTACGAAAAGGGCTCTAATACAAGACGAGTGCCAAGCTGGAACTCCTTCCACCAGGTGCTCCATATCATACAAAGCCGTGCAACTCTGATGGGTCTCGGCCGTGATATCAGCATCATAACGCCAAGCATATCGATGCGCTTCAAAGAAGGAGCGCAGTGTCCGCAGCTGCCACCCGAAATTTGGAGCCTGATCCTGGAACATGCCAACGATTGGGAGTTGGCGGAGGCGCTCGGCATTTACACCTCACTGCCGATACCGCCGATCTGGACACTTTCTCCCAAGGATGAGCTAGTTCATCTTAGAGTCTACGACCACGAGCTCGAAAAGACTGCTTTGACTGGTACCAGCTCAGAAATATGCAAGAAGCTGTCCCAAGCGCCAAGCGAATACAGTCACCTATCAGCCCTATTTATCAAAATGCTCTTTCGATTCAGGCACGTAGCAGTGCTCGAGTATATTGAGTCCAATAGACCCGAGCTGTTCGTAGCCCTCGAGGGAACTACCATCCCCACGAAAGTCTCATCGTTCTTCCCGAGTACCAAGCTGCTCCAGTATTGGAAACACAGCCAGTGGTTTGCCGACAGACATGTGTATGATGCCGAAGCTGTCGATGGAGCCTCGAGATATGGTCATGTGGAAATACTGGACTGGTGGTGGCGACAGTCTGGGATGCCCCTGCGGTACACCGAAACCTCGCTGGAGCAGGCCAGCGCCAACGGACACATTGCCGTTCTCGAGTGGTGGCAAGATGCGGCCTTGCAGGACGACGACGTGGTATTACGGCCTGGCCGGGCTCTTCTATGGGCCGCGCAGCTTGGGCGGGCAGACGTGCTGCGATGGTGGCATTCGTCCAAGATAGCCGTTGCCTACGAGAACGACGTGGTCAGCACGGCCTGCCAAAATGGACACGTTGGGGTGCTCGAGGTCTGGCGCATGGCCAAGGGGGATGGGAAGATCTACGTGGATGATGTGGACGTCATCTCGGCAACGTCATACTGCCACGAGGCGGTCCTTGATTGGCTATACTCGTTTTCCAACGCTCTGCTGCCGGGGATGAACGGTTGCGGCCGGCCAATTGAATTTCGCGTGTGTGACATTCAGGCGAGCCTGCATCGAAACTCGAGAGAGCAGAGGAAAGTCAGAGCATGGTGGGCCAAACACGGCATACGACCTGCCGCCACGGCAAATGAACGATCGAGAGATATTGCGCGGCTTTGATCTCTGATTGGAATCATATCAAGGGTCAGATCACGGAACGGCGGAACTGACAAGGTCTGGGCCTCCATGCGTGGCTTATATTACACAAGCCATAGTCCACATGACCAGGCGCTCTCTTCGCCTATCAACCCCTGGCTGTCGAGTCTGGGCAGTTTTAATTCCCACGAGGTATAGGTGGAGGGCGCCGTATCCCACTCCGCCATGCACGGAATAGAGACAAACTCGTACAAGCTCAGATGCAGATATAATGAAATACGGAGCCTCGAGGATTCATGCTGGTGAGCTGACTCGACGGTGTGTTTCGGCGGGGACGGGACCCTGGGAAACTTAAGGGTTGCCAAGAAATAGGCACAGAGTTCTAGATGCCTTCCTATTTGACTTTCGCTCCAAATGCCGCGCCGGCCAGCTCCACAAGGCAGGGGCATTTTATATCAGGGATCTCACCGGGGGCAAAGATGGCTTTACTGGTAATTCGCACGGGCGCGGCGGACAAGATGACAAGGCTTCTCGATTGCCCGATGGCTGGTTGGCGAAAAAAGGGGCGGAGCCCAGCAAAAGAGAAAAACCGAGTCAATCTAGGATGAATATTCGTTGTCTTGTGCTGTTCGGCAATACTAATAGTAATAAGCGAACGAACCTTGTTTTGTGCCCCTGGTGCAACTTGTTGTCTCTTGTCTCTTGGGTACGAATTATGCTACGCACGAATACGCACGAATACGCACGAAGACGCGCAAGAAGAACCATCTTGGCTGGACAGGGATGCTAGGAAAGGTCTACTTGGTACGAATTAGTCTTCGCGCAAAGTTAGTTGCAGAATCTTTTACAAGTTCAATTTTTGTTTCTTCTGGGGCGTCGCGATCCTTGAAACGTGGTTTGACAGGCAATCTTTGTCAATATTGGTAGCGAGGGCGGCCTCCACAACCGTTCATTTCATCGTTTATGCTGGCATTTCTTGGTATAACAGCGGTATTCATGGCAGGGATTGTAGGTTCAAATACCGACCAGGATCTTTATGCATTTTGCTTCGATTGAACAAGGACGTTGTGCATCTGGCTGCGCGCGGCAGATGCTGCCCGGAGCATGGGAAGGAGTCTGGCACGGCTGATCAGAACCAAGGGGCCGTCTGTTCGTATGGCAGTTGCGCAAACGACGACGTGAGGGGCCTTATGAGACACAGGGTGGTAAACATGCCAATTGCCTTTGTTCACGGCAGACGTCCCTGGCCTGCTCCCGGATGCCGAGGCCCTTGCGACATCTGTCGAGTGCCGATGGCAGGGTCACTAGGGAATAAGACAACGGCTGGTGGAGCGATTGACTTGAGCGATGAAGGGATGATGGCGTGGCAAAGCTGTACATAGAAATTTGTGCACGCAGACGGAGTAGGTTCGTTAGAGTTGATGGTATTGGCTTCCCACCATTCTACCGACCTTCTTGGTGAAGCAGACAGAAGCCATTCCTGGCGCTGTTGCATGACCGGCCGAAGGGTGTCTGAATGCGTAACGTGTAGAATCGCTCGTCGGAGGAGGCAGTGCTGCCGGTAGATGACACTTTGCTTTTTGTTGATCTTGAAGAAAACCCCTGTCTTGGACATTTCCGCACCCCCAGGTTGCATGAGGCCCCCAAGTCTCACAGCCCTGTTTGACACCTGACACCTTGCAAGGTCGCGTTTGACGGTTGACGGGGTTGACGGGCCGCCAAACCAAAAGCCTCGTCGAGCCTTGACAAACGCGAATGCCGACCCCCTTTTCCCTCCCTTACATGACACTTTTTCCTTCTCTGTTGTCGTGATGGCCTCAATCTGGCCCCCCCTTTTCACTACTTTCTGCTGCACGCGCCAGATTCAGACTTTTGCCGACATGCAACTTTCCAGGATGCCCCTGGCTCGCTCCAAAAAAGACCCGACGAAATATCCTTTGTCCCTGATTCTTTTTGGCGATGGGGCCAATCCGGAGCCAAGAACAAGCTAAGGCCACCGCCGCCCACGAAGAAAGCTCGCTAGCCCACTCCCGAACGCCGTCATTTGCTGCTTCTCTTCCCTCTCCCTACTTCTCTTCGGCGGCCCCTAGACTACCTTGAACCCCAAGAAACGGCTCGACCCGGTTTTCATCCCATCCTGTGGTGCCAGACGCCGGCCACAATTGTTCGACGCGGGAAGAGAATGGCGTGTGCGTGTGCGCTGCGCTGCGGGTGGGCGGTTTGGTTTGTTTGAGTGGGTGCTTCTCGTGTGCCTCATTTCTCTAGACGGCATTGTTTTCCCGTCAGGGAAACAAGATCGAAGAGGATATCCATGCTGGAAAGGCCAGCACTTGCCTCGATTGGTTTGGGCGCGCATGGCGATTCATGCGTCGCGCGCTCTTTGGAACGGCCAGTCCGCGCGCGCTCGCAGATCCGTGGCCCACATGCCAAATTCGCAAAACTCCGGACGATTGGATAGTGTCCTCGAGTGCTCGACTAGGGCCACGGCCGCCAAAAAGGGACGAGCAAAAGGACCTGGACCTGCACTGGGCTGATGATGGCTTGCTAACTAGCTGCCTTCATCTGTTCTTCCTTTTTCGGCTGTCCATGCTCCGCGCGCACAGTCGCTGTGGCTGGACCTCCACGACTTGTTGCTGTTCACACATTCAAAGACAGGCGCCTCGGCGCACAAATGCGATAGCCCACGCACGTCACCAGGCACCCAAAGGACCCCAAAGACGGACCCCAACGTTCCGCTGACTCCCGACTATTATTTGCTCCCAGTCTGGCATGGCAGACCCGCTTGATCGGCTGGCCGCATATACAACTCTGAGTCCTAAATTGCCTGTGGGGATTATTCTTTCTTGTTGTCGACCTTGCTGCTAACTACCCTTTTTGAATTTCGCTTACATCTGCCCTGTCACTCCTTTGTCCTTTTCTTGCCATTCCCGCTCGCCCTCATAACTGGCTGGGTCCCGCTGTCCGTGTGCGCCTTTGCAGTCCGTGCCGCCGCTGCAGACATCATCGGCTCACCATAGCGCCAACTTTAGACAAACGTTGGCGTGCGACTACGAACCTGCATGTGCGCCACTCACCCAGACGGCTTGCAGCATTCAGCCTTGACCCCTCCCCTCCCCCAGACCGACTACTCATTCACGCTCGCGACTCGTCAACAACGACGTAAATCTCAACCGCAAAACCTACCGCTTATGTTCTGAAACCTGCGTTCGATACGCGCGGTGCTTACCAGCCTGTCGGCGCAGACCAACTTTTGCCGGCCGTGGCTACCTTGGCTCCAAAGTTGCTCTCACCGTCGACAAGATGGCTCGGTTTCCTTTTGTAAAGGGCCGCAAGAAGTCACCGCCTCCACTGGTTCTCACGGAGCACATGAGCAAAGCTCACAAGATCCTTGGCTCGACCCCGATCAACATTGATTCTCCCAAACCCTGGGATGACGCCTTTTCGGCATTCAGCGGTGGCACCGGTAACAGCACTGCATCTAGCTATGCCAGCTCAGACAATGACGACTCCGATCATCATGTAGCCATCGCATCCTCAGAAGGCGACGAATGGATCCACGACTCAGGGATCCGGCCAGCTGTTCCCGAATCGAGCGGCTTCGACAATGCAAATGGCCATGGAATGAGAGATACAGCCCACAGTCTAAGAAAGACGCAGTCCTCGTCCACCATCAGATCTTCGTACGACAGATCTAAACAGCTATTGTCAGTTTCTCAGCAGACCTCGTCTCCCTCCATGATCCAAGGAGTGCCGTCCAAGGTCCACAAGATGCTCGACCTGGAAAGCAACCTCGCCACGAAATCGAAAAGGAAGCCACCGATGCTTGACTTTTCTAATCTGCGTGCCGTCTCTCGTCTATCGCGCAAGGCCTCACATGCTCCGCTACGCACAGATGGCACTGTTTCTACCGCTTTCGAAAGCACCGCTACCTTGTCTCCTACACCTCTGGCACCGCCAACCAGCAAGCCGCGAAAGATTCAAAAACGAATCACAAAGGGTAGCCTGGCTTCACCAGCCCTTGAACGGCATGTTCCAAGAATAGCAGGCGACAGACCTCCTGGAAGCCCAATGAAGGAAGCACCATCTCTATATGATCACTACGAGCAGATGACTTTACGCCAACTGATGCAAGAGGCAGAGTCCCTGGAGGGCGAGCAGCAAGCGATGGGGTTAAATATGGAGGACGATGAGGAAGTCGACACAGAGAATGATGAAGAGCCCTGGACAGCGTATGACTCACCATGGCTCCAGGACATTCTACCACCAACTCCCCAAACAGCATTCATGACGGGTCTAAAGCCTGCAGCATCTCACCACAGAACCACCAGTACAACCAGCAAAATGACCTCAAGCACCAAGCGATCAAAGACCCTCGACCGTTCTGATCTGCAAGAGACAAGTATGCTGATGCTATCCGACTCAGAAGAAGATGAAGAGCCTACGTTGCCACGGTCTCAGACGACCACCCCGAGCCACTACTCACCAGCTGCCACTGTGTCCCGCGCACAATCATCCAGAGCCTCATCGCAAGCCTCAAACTATAAGCCAATGCGTAACTCAAAGAAAACCAGCTTTGCACCTGTCGACACATACATCACCCTACCCCAGAGCAGTAGACTCAGCACCGATACTGCGACCCCGCCGAAAGTTGATTCACGATCAAGCACACCTTGTACCGGCACGGCTTCGAGACGCACTTCATTAACATCTGAAGTCTCCAGCGCTTCGGCTCTGCCTCCGGGCTCCAATTATATCCAAGAAGCACGTGCCGTGACCATGTTGGCTGGCCGACGACCTTCTCGAGTGGATAATGGCGAGGAGAATAGCCCAGACGGAGTATCATTCATGACTAGCCTGTCCCCTGCCGCTAGAAGAGCCCTCAATTTGGCCCAGACACCACCGGAAGAACTCACGCCACCACTTAGTCCCACCTCTGTGGACTTCTTCATCCGCTCTGCCCGATCCTCAATTGATGGTTCTGGAAGTCAGAATCGCTACATGGCTTTCACTCTAGAGGAGCAAATTCTGTTCTCCTCCCTGAGAAACAAGAAACAGTACGGCAAAGAGCAGTCTGCTGAGATCGCACAAGGGTCGAAGAGAAACACATTCGCAAAGGAAAGCATAGAAGAGGAGAATGAAGAAGACGATGAGCTTTTTTCGGGAATGGGAACCATCGCGGGCGAAGCCATGCTTCATTTCGGGTTCCCTGTTCCGCCCTCTGCTCGCAGACGGTCATGCTTTGAGGATGCCCTTGACACATCTGCCAGCATGAGTAGCCGTGCGTCCACGGCGACATCCGATAAACTTTCACAGTCAAGCATGGGAGAGACTGAAGACACACATCGGCGACATCAATCTTCTCTGAGACCTTCGATCACAAGGGTTCCCTCTCGTGGTATCCTGAAAGCTCCCGGCTTCCAACGCCAAGAGCCAGAGCGGCAGGAGACGATGATGGACCTAGACGAGGCTGAATCAACCCTGGACATTTCAGACCTTGCAGAGTTTGGATACCTTGCTATGCCATCTTTGCAGACGGAAAATTTTGAATCCTCAGCAAAATTGGGCTCGTCTGGAGGCGACACGATGCTAACACAATCACTTTTATCGCTCGATTCAGATGCTAAAGGCATGGATCGTGCCCATCGTTTGCCGGGTGCAATGGCACCTGTGCCCGAGGATAGCGAGTTGGAGTATGAAGGCAAGGACATTCCGCGCCCGGATAGCCCCATCTCCCCCGACGCCTTCCCGGCAGTACCTCAAATAAGAACAACACTGAGCAGCATGGCGCGACTGAGTGCTGTTGGCTCAACCTCAATGATGACCCAGCCCGGGTGGTGGGGAGACGACGACTAAGCAAATCAGTATTGATATTTATTGTTTACGATACCGGTACATATTCCACGACGATACGACATTCACGATGGCTTCGAACATAGATCTCACCGGGACTCTTTTCTGGACCTCTGTACCCATACCTTTTGTCTTTATGATCATCTAGGATGATGACCCTGCAAATTCGCCATATCGATCATGTTTTTATTTTTTTTATTTTACTTGCTCAAAAAGCGAAACTCACGACAGTTTGAAGGGAGGGGTCTGGAAGCCCTGCTCCTTCAGCCCCAATATACCCGCTCTGATAAGCGCCAGTTATTTTATTATGATTCCATTTTACTATTGATATCCATCTAATATTATTATTTCTTAATTTACTAATTAATCTACTTCCGCGCCCAGGCCTTTTCCTGAACTGGGACCAATTGAAGCTCGGGTAGTAATAATACCAGTTGGCTGAGACTCGTCGCACAGAGCTGGTGGGGCTACTAGGCTCGCAAACCCGGCAGCGGCGCGCGGAGATCACGTCTCAACTCTGCGCATCAAACCCGAGAAAAGAGTAAGAAATTATGGCAAAAGACATAGACCTGACGTGACGCCAAGCTCAGCCACCCTAAAAAAGTCGCTCACGGAAAGATGACCAAGGCGGCGCCCATGGAGGAGGACTGGGCGCGCGACAGCTCCGACGACGATGGCGACCCGTCGATGCCCGCGTTCCGGCTCCACGCGGTGACCGAGGCGCTCCTGGCGGACCTCGACCCCACGGCCACGGCGACGCAGGAGGACGGACGCTCCGTCGACCGGCGGAGGCGGGAGTTTGGGCGTCGGCGCGGAAAGCTTCCGCAAGAGGGCCCGGCGGCCGCGACCGGTAGCACACCGCTCGTTGGAGGCGACTCGGTCGCGTTGGGGCCCGGGTTTGCGGCGATGGCGAGGCCGCCGAGGAGGCCGCGGGGACGAGTCAGCCTCGACGTGCAGGATTATTTGGACCAGAGGGAGCAGGATGAAGAGAATCGCGGTGAGAATGAGAGGCCGCGCCTTGAGCTCGAGGTGGAGGCAATTCCGCGCGCTCACAACGACGGTGAGCACAACAATGGCATGAGGTCGCTTGAATGCGGCGGTGGCCAACAGAGACCCGCAGGAGAACTGGGCTCCTTGAATACATCTATACCGGAGCGACCAATGCGCAGAGTTGTCATCTCGCGCTCAAGGCGGGCTGGGGGGTCGCCCAAAACCTCATCAACACCCCCTCAGTCGCAGCGGCCCGGCACGGTGGCGGCCGTGGTGACGACACCCGAGAAGCAGCCGGTCCCGGCAACCACCACCAGACACCGACGGATTATTATCCGCGGCGTCTCGTACCGGATCCTGCGCAAGCTGGGCCGGGGCGGCAGCGGGCGCGTCTACGAGGTCATGGCGCCGGATACGCGGACGTGGGCGTTCAAGGCAATCCCGCTGGCCGCGCTGGACGACGTCGCGAAGCGCCAGATCCAGAACGAGGTGGCGCTGCTTCAGAGTCTGCGATCGACGGACAGGGTGGCCGCTCTTCACGACTGGTGCGTGGACGAGGCCAAGAATGCCGTTCACATAGTACGTCCGTCCGCCTCCGTGTCCCGACTCGTGTGATGATGATGACTATGATCTAACAGAAATTTAAAACAGATCATGGAATTAGGCCAGATTGACCTGGAACACGTCATCAGGGACCACCTCGAGCGCGAGCCGCGGCTCGACCCCGTCTTTGTCGGGCACTACTGGCGCGAGACGCTGCGGTGCGTGGCGGCGCTGCACGCGCACGGCATCGTGCACGCGGACATCAAGCCGGCCAACTTTGTGTCGATGGGCGGGGTCCTCAAGATCGTCGACTTTGGCGTGGCGCACGGCCTGCCGGACGACACGGCGCACCTGTACCTGGAGAACCCGGCGGGCACGCCCAGCTACATGGCGCCGGAGACGCTGCGGGCCCTGCGCGAGCAGCGGCAGCAAGCCTCCCCCACCCGGCAAAGATGCGACCGCGTGGTGCGCTTCGGGACGCCGGCCGACGTGTGGAGCCTGGGCTGCGTGCTGCACCTGATGGTCTACGGGGCGTCGCCGTTCGCGCACGTGCGAGGCCTGGCGGCGCGGGTGCTGGCGATCGCGGACGACGGCGGGGTGCCGGTGGAGGCAGGGGGGCAAGGGCTCGGCGGGGTGCCGGTGCCGGAGGCGCTGAGGCGGACGGTAGAGGCGTGCTTAGACAGGGACCCGGGGCGGAGGCCGACGGCGGCGGGGCTGCTGGCGGGCCGCGCGGACGGGATGGTAGCAACGGAGGCGGCCGCGCGTAGTGACGACGATGGTGGTAGCGTGATGGGGAGGGATAGGGTGAATGTGGTGGGCAGGGCGATTGGCGACGTGCTGGAGGGTATGGCGACGAGGCCGGTGCCGAGGACGGTGCTGGACACGTGGGTGAGGGAGGCGCTGGACGAGGTTGGGCTGTCTTGAAGAAGCGAGGTTGGGCTACGCGCGGTGATTGATTGATACGATGACGACTAATGATGATGCATTTTCTCTCACCTCTGCTGTGAATTCAGGTTTCTTGGTGATGACAGGGCAGCAGCGACATGATGCTGAGCCGACTTCACATGCCAAAACCGGGGAGAAGCTGGGAACCACTAGTAAGGTCGGCTGCATATGTCTTGTGAAACGGAGGTTGATTCGATACGTATAGCCGTACTCAATTGGGGGGGGGTTTGGCTTATACGGCGAACGGCGTGGACGCTCGCTTCTCAACAGTTTTTGGGCCACGCGGCGCGCTGTCACATGCAAAAGTTGGTCAATCATGAGAAGGAAATGGTTTGAGGATGGGATGCTGGCTTCCGGGGAATGTCGTCCGGCCGGCCCGGTCGGACGACGCGCATGTTGCGCAGCACGCCCGGGGCCGGAGGCGGAGCTTGAGTACGTGCCGATGTTGCAGACCCATGGCTCGGGATTAAATGCGAGGAAGGCGACGCAAGGCTTGTTACTAAAGCTTAGGTATCGATGGATGATGGGCGCGTGCCTGGACAAAAGCAAGCAGCAAAGCGGATTCCAGGTTTGGCCCGGCCATCCGTGGGTTAATGAATGTGACGATGGGATGACGGCTTTGGAGGGACGCATGGCCCGGATCGGCAGTTGTGTACTGGGATGCAGGCTGTAGTTAGGCTGCGGGTGTCTCTGCAAGGTGTCAGAGCGGGTGCTTCTCAACCCTTGTAGTACTGCAACGTGGCGGGTTATACATTTGATCTGCGCTATTGCAGTCCTTGCTGGGCATGGCTGTCATTATTTCTCTCAGGGACTCACATGGTCCAAGTATTATTAGCATCCCTGCATCTGCAGATGTGGGCGCAACTGTCAACTCCACAGAGGCTTGTTGCAGACTCCAGAAAGAGGGGCAACCGCTGCATGTAGGGGAATCATGGGTATGGTGAAGTCGGGGAAGTCCAATGTCAGTGCTGTCATTTGTTTATTGTTGAAACGGTCGGGATTGCCCATGCCGATGGAGTTGCACAGCAAATATGCTGGTTGGTGTAGAAGAAGTCTCAACAGCGCCCACAACTCAGCCCTCAAAGGATTACAAGACAAAATCCTGCAGCAGACCGGAGAGACATGTCTCGACACAGCAGGTACACCACGGAGAGACATTGCATCGTTGACTACCTACGGATAGCTATGTATGTACTGTAGCTAGCTTCCAACTAGGCAGCAACCTTACCAGCTCAATCCCCCTCCCTACCAGCAACTAGACAGAGCTTTGACACGGCTTGATGGCCAAGTTCCCAATTAATTGCTTGTCTGATCGGCTGACCGTCCGCCAACCTTCCATTGGCTCTACTGGTTGTGGTCAAGCCCACCCGCCACCGCGCCATCCGAGTCCGGGGCCCCAGAAACCTGTCGACTTTTTTACTGGGTTGGTGGGCCAGCCTACTACTTCACATGCTTGTTGAAGGATCAGCTAAACTTGGGCTACTAGGGTTTAAACTACCAGTTAGTTATTCGGTGGGCTGACTCTATCACTGCGGTTCATCATGCTCATCAAGCTCATTGGGGCGTGAGGGGTTCCGGGGGGAAATGAGGCGTGGCAGGGCAAGGGCAAAGAAGACGTTTGAGCCTCACTGGAGTTGACTTTTTTTTATTTTCAGGTTGGCTTGCTCTCGAGACGATGGCGAGGGGCGCCACGTTTCCCCGGTTTAATAGGCAATAAAGCTCGAGTTGGTGGTGTCTAAGCTTGAAACAGCTGCTGGACTGGCCCGAGCTGGAGCTTGTTCGTCCGGGACCACCGGTTTTAACTCCCAGTATCCGTACATACAGTACGTACAGTAGCTATTAAAAAGGCCCCTCTCGCCCAGAGCTGTGGAGGGAGGAGGCTCTCTTTTACCTTGATGAATACATGACAGCCGTTTGCACATCACCAAGTATTCGCATCTTTCAAAAATGCTCATCGAGGCTGTCAATATCAAGACGGTGGCCTTGGCCATCCCCGCTTGCCTGCTATTGTTCTTCATCATCAACTGGCTCACCATCGCGTACAAGGTCGCCAAGTCGCCAGGCATCCGGGCTCCTTCGATTGGAGACAATCCCTTCTCTGGTGAGCACCGCCCTTGCTTTACTCCATTCATTCTCATCTGTCAAAAGATACTAATGCCGCCCAGCCCTCAGCACCGCCTTGACCGCAGTCCACTACCAGAACCAGAACCGCCTCTACGAATTCTTCCTGCGCATGTTCTCCGCCGCCACCCCCGCCTCGCCCAACGCCGTCGAGATCCTCTTCTTCGGCCGCCGCATCATCTTCACCCAGGAGCCCGAGCACATCAAGACCGTCCTGACCGCCAAGTTTGCCGACTATGGCAAGGGACCCAAGTTCCACGAGGTCTGGGCGCCCTTCCTCGGCGACAGCATCTTCACCACCGACGGCGCCCAGTGGCACGACAGCCGCACCCTCATCCGCCCAATGTTCGTCAAGGACCGCGTCCGCGACATGGACATCTTTGCGCGCTGGTCCGACAAGCTCCTGGAGAAGATGCCGCCGGCCGGCGAGACGGTCGACATGTGCGATCTGTTCTACCGCATGACGCTGGACCTCACCACCGACTTCTTGCTCGGCCATGGCGTGGGTAGCCTCGACAAGTGCGTCAAGTCTTTGCTTCTAAATCCGAAACTGCTATTTACTGCCTTACTTGCTGACATACTATTAGCCCCAATAGCGAATTCTCCAACGCCTTTACCGTCGTTCAGCGACTCCAAATGATTTTGACAATTCTCTTGTACGTAGTCAATCTTGCCTGCCCACTGTTTATCACCACATTCCTCTCCTACTGACAACCGTACAGCCCATTCCGCCACTTTGTTCCCCAAAAGGCATACCGTGACGGAGTCAAGACCCTGGAAAAGTTCATGACCCCGTATATCCAGCAGACCCTGTCTCTCACGCAAGACGAGCTCGAGAAGCTGTCCAAGTCGGACAAGGGCTTCACCTTCCTCCACAACATCGCCCTCTTCTCCCGCGACCCCAAGGTCATCCGCGACCAGATCATGGCCGTCCTCCTCGCCGGCCGCGACACCACCGCCGCGACGCTTTCCTGGACCATCTACGAGCTGGCCAACTACCCTGAAGTCTGGACCAAGCTTCGCGAGGCTGTTCTGGAAAAGGTCGGGCCGACACGCAACCCGACCTATGAAGACATCAAGGGCATGACTTACTTGACTCATGCCATTAATGAGACACTACGCCTGTACCCGGCCGTACCTTACAACATCCGCTCCTGTCGTATGTTACTCTCACGTTCCCGGATTTACACGATTTGACGGCTAATGTCGACTTTTTAGTGCAAGATTCTACACTTACCGGCGCACCTGGAAAGCCCGACATTGCGTGCTTTAAGGGCAACCACGTCATCTACAGCACCTACGCCATGCAGCGCCGCCGCGACCTCTATCCCCCCGTGTCCGAGACGTTCGCGGACCCGGACGTCTACAGCCCGGACCGCTGGGACCACTGGACGCCGCGGCCCTGGCAGTACGTGCCCTTTAATGGCGGGCCGCGCATCTGCATCGGCCAAAACTTTGCCGTCACCGAGATTGGCTACGTCTGTAAGTGAAGTTCATCCAGCACGAAGCACCGTCACGGAAGAGGAAGCACCGATTACTGACTTTATGACGTAGTGGTAAAATTACTGCAGAAATACGAGAGACTTGAGTATCGCGACGATTGGAAGGCGCAGTTTCACAAGGCAGAGATTGTCGGCTGTCCGGGACGCGGCGTGCCCGTGGCGTTTTTCGAGCCGGAATCGAAGAATTGAGGATATATTCCCAGGAACAAAATTGTACGAATTTATGGTTTCTTTATATTAACTATTAATAATGAGGTTGAATTGTACGTACCGACTGTGAACATCGCCAATGCCGTGTAAGACAGGGGGCGGCCAAAAAAGGGGTAAAGAAACGGCTGGCTGATGAAGCGAATTGAATCAATATTTAGTCAACAGAACACTGCAAACAGAACACTGCAAAGAGAACACTTCAAAGAGAACACTGCAAACAGAACACTTCAAACAGAACACTGCAAACAGAACACTGCAAAGAAACGAGGAAACGTTAGGAAAGAACCCGTCCTGCGTTCTGCCTTTTGTGTGTGTGGGTGTGTTTTCTTTCACAGCCCACAGGCGCAGGCATAACAAACGGCCATCTGAAGCTTGGGTGGAGCTCTCTCTCTCAACTTTGACATCCATCAGCTTCACATTCATTCATTCATTCATTCTTCATTCACTGGCCCAGGCCTTGCGACCGGAAATATCATCTATTCAGCATACGCCAATTCCTATGGCATTACTTTAGCTCTTAGCCTTCTCTTTCTCTCTCTTTTTCTACAATCGCTACCACCAAGCTCTCTACTCCCCCGATCCTTTACCACCACGCGTGGATAACACATCATGCCTGACTTCCTGGAAGCAAACGGCGACGCCGCCGCCGACGAGTATGCCCGCCACATGCGGCTGCTCCCTGGCAACGACGGCGAGACAAAGCTCGATCTCGCCAACACGCCCATCTTCAATGCCACAGTCAGGGACCAAGCAAGCCGTCTCTCCGGATCATCTGCCTACCGCGCCTTCACGCAGTACGGCCTGCTCGGCGGTATCTCATATGGCCGCCGTGGAGAGGTCGGCGTCGACGCCGGGCAGCATGCCGCGTCTGATCCTCGCCTCTTCTACAACGTCGCTACTCCCTCTAGCGTATTTATCTGCGGAAGCCAGGGCTCGGGTAAGAGCCATTCACTGAGCTGCCTCCTGGAGAACTGCCTGTTGCCGTCCGACGCCAACAAGCTGCCGCGGCCGCTCACCGGAATAGTGTTCCACTATGACACCTTCAACTCGGACACGGGCGGCTCTCCTTCCGAAGCAGCCTATCTGTCATCGAATCCCAATGTTCAGGTGCGAGTTTTATGCGCACCCACGAACCGTGTCAACATCCAGGTGAGAACCGTCCCATGCTCCACTGCGCACGAGAATCACTCGTACCTAATCAGACCTCCTGGGAACATAACAGAGAATATACAGCTGCCTCCCCAATGTCGTAGTGAGTGATTTTCGAATCCACGAGTCACAACTCAACACCGGACGCATGCTCGACCTCATGGCCATGGGGTCCGTAGCCGGCGATTCCTGGCCGCTCTACATGCATTCGGTGACGCGTATCCTGCGTGAAATGCGCCTCGAGCAGCAATCTCACGGCGTAGATGGTGGCTTTGATTACGGCGACTTTAAGCGCCGTCTTACGGACGAGGCGCTGATCGGCACGCAGCTTGGCCCGCTCCAACAGCGCCTTGACGCGCTTGAGAGCTTTATGGTGCCTGGGGAAGCGACTCAGACCCGACTGCGCTCCGGCCAGGGCAAGTATGCCGAGGTCGGTAGGTTCGCCCAGCGCGCCGGTCCCAGCGCGGATAGGACGTGGGTTCCCAAGGTGTGTTCGGAGCCTGTCTGCCATCATGGGTAATAGACTAACGGATTCACCGCAGGCCGGACAACTGACCATTGTAGACCTGTCATGCCCTTGCATCACCGACGTGACTGCATGCTCGCTCTTCACCATTTGCTTGAGCTTGTTCCTTGAGCAACAATCCGCCGTCGGCCGCGTCGTCGCCCTCGACGAGGCACACAAGTACATGACGGGCTCCATCGAGTGCGACACGCTCACGGAAAGGCTGCTCTCGGCGATCCGTCTCCAGCGCCACCTGGCAACTCGCGTCTTCATCTCCACGCAGGAACCCACCATCTCCCCCAAGCTGCTTGACTTGTGCTCTGCCACCATTGTGCACCGCTTCAGCTCGCCCGAGTGGCTAACCACCCTCAAGGGCCATCTCGCCGGCGCCTCCTCGCTCGCCGGCGCCACAACCCACGATTCGAGCCGAGACGACAAGGCCAACAACCATGTTGCGCTCGTCAGTCCGACCTTGCGCAGCGGGACGGACTCCACCTCCTCCGATCAGCTACTATCCGACATTTTCCAGCAGATAGTGTCGCTACGGACTGGAGAGGCGCTGCTGTTTGCGCCAAACGCCGCCATTGGCGTGCGCATGGAGCGAGCCGGCCTGGACAGTGAGGATGAGGGGGACGCAGAGAGCGCGTCATCTGAGTCCTACAGCTCTGACGACTCGGGAAGTAGCGCGGATAGTGCGCACAGCGCTGATGAATCCGTGTTATTTAACAGGGACACAGCGAATGCCCCATCAGCGCGAAATGCTGTGCGCTCCGCCGCTGTGACGGACTGGCGTCCTACGGAGGCGATTCGTCTCGGAAGCGGGGTGATGAAGATTTTGATTCGGCAACGTGTGACCCAAGACGGTGGACAGTCGATCATGTCGACCTGAAGCAGGGATATCATGGACCTTGGAGGATACCAGGGCTGCCATTACGCGGTCTTTTTGAGGTCGTTGTAGCTGAGTGGTTAAGAGGGCGACGGGCCTCGACACCTTTGCAATATATGTAAAAATAACGACAGACTTGCTGTGATGAACGCGGCATAGACAGCGATAGATAGATCTGAAGTGATACATGAAAAGCGGTATGTTGATAAGATGAATACACAAAATTATCATCTAAGTGACCGGAGCGAGTGGAGTGATCCTACCGAGTGATGGTGACGACAGCAGCCTTGTAACTTTTGTATTCTCGGATGCACTAGATGCAATTGGACAGCATGCCATCTTGGAGACGCGTCCGCATCCCTGATGCGATGATGCCCTATGTAAATGTGACCGTCAACAACTTGCGGCTTGATCCAGGGTAGGTATCCCTTGTCATGACCAGCACAGCTTCACAGCGTCACGGCAGCAGTGACGTCATGTCGGTGAGTTTCTGGACTGAATATTGACTGGCGCAGCAAGAAATGGTATGAGACGGTATCCGCGTACTCGTTCGGATGCAGTGGCAGACGAAGGGCTGCGTGATGAGACCAAAAAATGAGACCAAAAAATGTGTGAAGCGAGGATGACGGGGGGTGCCACTGTATGCTGCACGTCAATACCATGTCAACATGCTTGCGTAAACGCCTCATCGCCTCATTGAATGGGGAGACAGCGCCCATGTGCGGCGCAAAGTTGGAATATTGGGTACCGATTCCAGTCTAGCCATACGAGTTGCACGTTGTGACTCTACTGATGCAGTTGATATTTGTCAAGGAGCGCGGTGCATGGCGAGGATCCGAGCACAGCAAATAGCGCCGAAGTAGCTGTACCAGAAACATGCGATTCAAGCCCCGCCATCATCTGTGATGTGCATTGCTGTTTTAACTTTGTCCAATATTTTGCTAATACAAGTAGACCTGTACGAATGCAACTCGAGGCAAGCCATAAACCTCAAGGGTTGGGACCAGCAGCTGAAGGGGCTAGGGCGCGGACACCCCAACTGATACAAGGGCGGGCTTGATGAAGCACCGTGCGTGCGCCCGCAGATGGCGGGTAAAATCGAACCATTTCAATTTTCTCTTCTGGGAAGTCGCCGAGTTTAAAGTCGACTTGTTCTAGATGGAAGACGGGCATATGATGGGGCAGCTGTGTAAGCCCCAACGCCGTGCTGGTGCAGCACGGCAGGAAAGTTGCCCTGCATCATGCACTGCCCATGCCGGCATGATGGATGCCTTGCGTCAAGCAACCTAGAAGGGAAGAAGAAGATGAAGCAGGAGGGTGCTACCGAGGGAACGTGTCTCGCCTCGTGCAGATGCTCGGTGCAACGTGACAAGGGACGACGGGTGGCGAGTGACAGCTTTGACAAGTCAAGAACGACGAGATCGACGATGAGCTTGCGTTTGTTTGCCCAGTACCGACTTGAAGCAGAAGGGCTTGCGAAGAAGAGGGCACATGATGAGCCAGTCTAGACCCTGGCCTCTTTTTTTTCCCTTCTCGACCTTTGATGGAGTGACAAGACGGAGGCATATGTTGCTGCTCTTGCTGCCACTGCATGCAGCCCTTTTACGAGCTGAGCGGTGAATACGGACATCGGAAACTTTTTCTTCATCGTTGTTTGCGCAGCTGTGACTTGATGTCAGCAGCGGCATTATTATGCGTTGGCTGGCTGTGTGGGGTTTGCCTCGCTCTCGGGAAGGGAACGTGCAGGATTGGACCAGAAGTTGACTGGTATGCATGTACATGGGATTGATTATAGTTACGTGAGGCTGCTTCTCCGGTGAACGGTAACTTTTGCCGGGGATAATTTTAGAAACTTGTCTTTGACGCATGACGATGGGGGCCATCATTCACTCCCCAGAGGAAAGATTTTAATACGAGGTTGTCGGGCCGCCGATCGCGCCGATCTATTCTTGGAAGACAAGGGTCGTGGTGGAATGAATGTGGGTTTTGGGTGCGCGCGCGCGCTGAGACAGGCGGAATGGAAATGAGTTTGCTTCACTTTTGTATGACAAACAATTATGGTTAATTCTTTCCATCGTCTTTTTGTTTCGGGCGGAACCATTCCATCGATGGATGGATCTTGTCTAAGCGAGCTGAGAGGAGCGGCTGGCTGGGCTGGCAACGGGCTGAAGGCAGCGGCGGGCAGCGGCGGGCGGCGGCGGCAAGTGGGCGGTGTTGAAGCCCGTGTTCCCGAATGTCCCGTGTGGTGGCGGCTCAGCATTCTTCATTGTCTTTGCCTGACAGGGCTGGCAGCTTACCGTCTATGTATGTATGTATGTGTATGTATGTATGTATGTGCATACATAGCTGCCCAGCATTCGATAACTTGACCAGTAAAACCGACGAGGACCCTGCGTTTTCATGGTCGATTTTGGCGTTGGCTAGCTTGTGGCTGGCCAAGTGGCATCCCCAAAATACGAAGCCGTGCTACGTCATATCCTTGGCCAAATGTTACCTTGGGCCGAGCGTAATCTCGACAAGGGTACGATTTTCTTTGAACATGATGTTTTTTCTTCTCTCTCTCCCTCTCTGAGTGTGCATGAGCAATGTCTCGAACGGGATCCTCCAACGACCGTGGCACCGTGCCACTCTCCATTGTTGCCGGCCGTTTGGCATCTCGGTCGCCACTGAGACATACTTATATAAACACCCACGCCCGTGCACCTTGCTGTTCTTCTTTTCTTTGATCAAGCCCTCTCCTCACACAAATAGCATCAAGACACCTACCTACCTTCTTCTCCTTAATTGCAGTACGAGTTTTCCAACACCCCGGTACCCCTACCAAAAACACCTGCTTCCTCTCCACATACCCGCATCCAAACGCGTCCTCGTCCTCGCAATGTACGGCCTCACCACCGTCGCCACCACCGCGCTCCTTGCCGCCTCGGCCCTTGCCGCGCCTGCCGCCACCATCGACGGCACCGAGTCCTGCACCAGGACCTCAACCCGCGTCACCACCTTCAACGTCAAGGACTTTGACTTCCACGCCAGCTGGACCTTCAGCACGCCCGCGCACCAGATCGCCGGCGGCTACGTCAACTTCACCCTCGGCAACGCCGCCCTCCCCTACGTCTACACGTGCAGCGCCGCCTCCACTCAGCTCGAGGACTTTTACTACGGCAACTTCATCTACAACTGCACCGACCCGACCGGCCGCCAGACCCGCGAGGGCACCTTCACCTACTCTCGCCCGACCACCACGCTGGCGATCAACCAGACCTGGGAGTGCCCCGAGGGCAGCCGCTTCTGGGCCGAGGGCGCGGCCAAGCTCGACCTGCACTGCAACGAGACCAAGTGGCAGAACCCCAACTGGCAGCCCGGCCAAATCTACTCGTCGCGCAGCGTCACCTGCGACAAGCTGACACAGCCCGTGCCCATCACCAACATGCGCGCCGCCGCGTAGGCACTCTGCGATCCTGCTGACGCGACGAGAAGAAAATACGATGGAAAAGAAAGATTATACGGCTCAGCGTTGGTTTATTGTTATCTGACCGACCACGCCATTTTTTTTTTGGCTGGTCTACGACTCTCCTTACGACTCTTTTCACGGCACATGGGACATATTAGACGGGCGCGCGCGGATTGGCATTACAAAAACAAGTTGCAATTTTACATGGGGGACTCGGTTAGTCGCACGGAGCGCTGCCTCGGCAAGGCAAATAGTAGTCATAATATAATTCGGAATTCCCAACACGGCGCATCATGTGGTGATATCCTGTGCGACGAGCGACTGCCAAGAGTCGATTTATTTCATGCACCGGTCCCCGTCTTTTCCCAAGATGATGGGTGACACTGAGACGCGACTTGCTGGGCCCTGACAGGAAACGGGCGCGCGGCGAGGAGGGATTTCTGCATTGGGCAGGTGGCGTCTGTCATGCGAAATCACGCAACGGGCGCCGTCCCTTGTGTCTTGCAAAAATATGATGCGCGGACAAACACTTTGCACAAGGTTAGAAACGGCTCGGCTGGGAAGCGGGATGGGGATGGTCGCCTCAGCTGGCGGGCAGCAACGGGATACCACCATCGAACTCGGGCTAGGCGACGATCACGCCCGATGAGCTTGCGATGGCAAGTTTGGTTCTCATCGCTTCACGGGCGCCCTGGTGGTGGCTGCACGTGGTTCGGAGGCGGGAGGCCGGACGGCGGCGGCGGTGGCGGCGGGCGTTGTGCGTTCCCCCCCCTGCGCGAGCGGAAAGCTTTGCGTTGGTACCTAGACAGCTAGACAGGTCAATCAATCAGGAATGAATTCCACGCCCCGTCAGACAGAGAGCCCACTAAACAGGCATTTCCGAACCGTGCAAGCCACGAAAGCGGCGGCGCGCGCGCGCCTTGAAGGAGAAACAAGAGCAGGGCCCGAAACTCTTATTCGTGATGCTTTAAGGGGATCCACGGCTAGGCGGAGCTCGCCCAGCTAAATTTGCTGAGGCGGGCGCTGTGATTGGCCGTGATGGGTCCAGCCACGATCGCGTCATCGTCCATGCTAGTAATGGAGGCTTGTGAGGCTTGCCCGTCAAAAGTCGATGTTGAATTTTTCTGTACTCCCGTATCAATGTTACTAGGTGATGTGCCTGTCGCGATGAATCGTTGCTTTTTCCGGCCATGTGTAGATTACATAGAATTCCCGGGTAAAAAAACTCCCCAAAAGAAAGACGGCATTAGGTAGCTATATTGATACAAAGCTGACTGGAGATGGCCTCAACTCTCCAGCCCCATCCCCCCCATCCACCCGTCTTCTAGAAGCCGCAGTGTGCCCGTCATACAACTTCAGGGTGCGATGGCACAATCACGCAAGCGGATCCAGCCCGGTCCATTTGCCTAGCTGAGGGCCTTGGCTATAAGCATCCGTCTCGGCTGCCCATGGTGCAATACCATGATGGATTCCTCAGACGGAGCCACCGAGTCGTGCCTCCCTCTCCCACTACCAAAGCCGTTTTCCGTTTAAATTCTCCCCGATTCCCCCTTTCCCCTCCTCCGTCTCGGTTCATCTTCATACCTGATTCCCCATACTTTTCTCCTCTCGTTGAAGTATCTTTTTCCCTTCTCCATTGTGGGGTGTGTGAGTGTTTGCCAGCTGCAGCCGCTCGCAAACGACCATGGCTTCTCGCAAGGACGACACGCCTTCGGGCGCGCAGACGCCCCTCAAGGCCGCTAGCGACACCGAGATTGGCGTCGTTGGTAACATTAGCGACATCGAGAGCTGTGAGTTCCTTTCCCTCTTTCCGTCCAATGGTCTCAAAGGGCTACCACAACGCCAAACGGAAGAACCTTGACTGACCGTGCCACAACAGCCCGCTACCAAATCGCCCGCGACAACAAGCGTCAGCTCGGCGTCCCCTCGGCCGCCCTCCTCATCTTCAACCGCATCATCGGCACCGGCATCTTCGCCACGCCCGCCACCATCCTCGCCCTCTGCGGCTCCGTCGGCCTCACCCTCTTCATCTGGGTTGTCGGCATGCTCATCGCCGCCGCCGGCACCGCCGTCTACATGGAGTTCGGCACCGGCATGCCGCGCAACGGCGGCGAGAAGAACTACCTCGAGTTCGTCTACCGCCGCCCGCGCTTCCTCACCACCTGCCTCTACGCCGGCTACGTCGTCCTGCTCGGCTGGGCCGCCGGCAACTCGGTCATCTTTGGCGAGTACATCCTGCACGCCGCCCGCGTCGAGGTCACCCGCTGGAACCAGCGCGGCATCGCCCTCGCCTGCCTCACCGCCGCCTTCCTCGTCCACGGCTGCGCGCTGAAATGGGGCGTGCGCCTGCAGAACACGCTCGGCATCATCAAGATCCTCGTCATCGTGCTCATCATCGTCGCGCCGCTCGCCAACCTCAAGAAGGTGCGGGAGAACGACAGCTTCCGCGACGCCTTCAAGGGCACCAACTCGAGCGCCTACGGCATCGTCACCGCCCTCTACAACGTCATCTGGAGCTACGTCGGCTACAGCAACGCAAACTACGCCCTCAGCGAGACCAAGGACCCGACGCGCACGCTCAAGCGCGCCGCGCCCCTCGCCATCGGCACCATCTCCATCCTCTACATGCTCGCCAACGTCTCCTACTTCGCCGCCGTCTCCCGCGAGGAGATGCTCGAGTCCAAGCGCCTCGTCGCCGCCTCGCTCTTCCGCAACATGTACGGCGAGTCCGCCGAGCGCGCCCTCTCCGTCTTCGTCGCCCTCTCCGCCTTTGGCAATGTCCTCAGCGTCATCTTCTCCCAGGGCCGCCTCGTCCAGGAGCTCGGCCGCGAGGGCGTCCTTCCCTTCTCCCGCTTCTGGGCCAGCAACCGGCCCTTCAACGCCCCGCTCGCCGGCCTCTTCGAGCACTGGGCCATCACCACCATCACCATGCTCGCCCCGCCCTCCGGCGACGCCTACAACTTCGTCCTCAACCTCATCTCCTACCCGCTCGCCATCATCAACGCCTTTGTCGGCGCCGGCCTCGTCTACCTCTACCGCAACAAGGAGAAGCGCAACTGGCACCCGCCCTTCAAGGCCACCCTGCCCGTCGCCGCCTTCTTCTGCCTCAGCAACATCTACCTCGTCGTCGCCCCGTTCGTGCCGCCGTCGGAGGGGCAGAACGTGTACGAGAACCTGCCCTACTGGATCCACTGCGTCGTCGGTTTCGGCGTCATTGGTGCGGGTGGCGTGTACTGGGCCATTTGGACCAAACTTCTGCCCAAGATTGGTCATTACCAGCTCGTGCAGGAGACGTACATTGATGATATCGATGGTTGGGAACGTACACGCTTTACCAAGAAGCCGCTGGGCAGCCACGTTGAACCAATTGATTCAGATCGTCGCACTTGAAGTTGCATAGCGTTGGTTTTCTTACTCTTTTTGTACACATTCTATGATAATACAATATTAGCGACCCAATTGTGGTTCCATTCTCGTAAATAAAAAGCCATGCGAGGTCCCAAAGTACTGTGTTTGTGCCGTCCTGGGCATCCTAACCTGATAAACCAAGAGTCAGGAAACAAGAAACAGATCCAAATTTCCCAGAAGATGTCCTCGTTGCCAAGTCCAAAACGCAAATCCCAAAAAAATAACGCACAAGGGTGAAAAAAAGGAAGAACAAAAACCCCGACTTGCTTGCCCTTGTTCTCGCCCACCATCATATATTCATTCCTCCTCCTTCTTCTGCATGCTTGTTGCCTCCCGCAGACGCTCGTTCTTGCGGCGGTTGACCTTCATGTTGTTCACCTTGTGGGTGAACTCGCCCTTCGGATTGTTTGCGATGCGCTTGCACCAGCCATTGCCGGCGCTGAGCAGTGACTTGACGAGCTGCTTGGAGGCGCGCAGGCTGTCGCAGATGGCGGCCACGCGGTCCCGAAACGTCGCGTAGGACTCCTATGCCCCATCCGCGCCGGACCAGTAGTCGACGATGGCGATGCCCTGCTGGGCGGCCCGAGCGTATTTCTGCCCCAGGTGTGTCTTGTCAGCATCTTTTTCTTCGTCCGTGATCCTACTGGTGTAGAGTGAGGAGCTCTACTTACAAGCAAACGCCAGCAAATCTCTTCTACGATGTAGTCGGATAGTACCCGGCTTAGGACCTTCTTCTGTTGCTCCTTGCGCGACGGCACCTGTTGGAGCAGTTGCGCTCTGTGCAGGTCTCCCTCCGGCAGTGCCATGGCCTCGCGCCACGCGGCCATGCTGGCCACACCTAGTGTCTTGCTCATCTCGCCGTAGTCAGACCAGTCCCAGACAGCGTTGTACATGTCGCGGATGTACATCTGCTCTTGCTCGGTACACACGGGGAAGGTGTCGTCCGTGGACGGGTCGGTGCAAACGGCGGGCTCCTTGGCATACATGCGCATCAGCTCAGCGTGGTTGGCGGCGCCGATCTCCGCCGAGGGTATGTGCTGGTGGAAGATACCAGTACCTTCGGCGTCGATGAGCTGACGGAGGGTTTCCTGTTGGGCAGTCATTGGCGCCTTACTGCGGTTGGGCTGCTGCTTGATCATGCGTTTCTTGGGCTTGGAAATGCCGCCTCCACGACCGGAGACGGTGGAATTGTTGTCATCTATGGTGTGAGTGGACGTTGGGGAGGGGATGGACGCAGATGAGTTGGATGAGGACGATCGCCGTTTGCGCCTGAAAGGCGAGGTCGGCGATGGCGGAGCGACCAGCTGACCAGGGACCTGCCCAACCGCAGCGCTGGTGAAGCTGCCAAGTGGTGTTGGGGGGCCGTACTGAGGCATGGTGATGCTATGATGTGTGGTATAGCTGTAGTCGTGCTGTGCGGACGGCCGTGTCGGTGAGTTCTCCTGTTTGAAAACTCTCTGTGGCGTTTGTCGAGCTTGTGAAGGCGTGATCTGAGTAGTGAAGCGAGTATCTAGAGTCTGCTGGAGCGATGCAACTTGGTTCCTACGATAGGTATGTTGGTGAATGTTTGTTCCTTGAGTGAGAGTACCTGCTTACGTCTGAGGCTGACCAAAGAATTCTTCAAGCTCGTTGCCGACTTGGCTGCCAGAGGGCGTATTCCAGAAGCCCTCTTCCCAGCTGCTGGCACTCCCCCGGACGTCGACGTCATTGCGATAGCCCGCCTCGGGATCAGCCAGTTCAAGGTCCGCGGAAGCTTCAGTGGCCGGGAACGGGTTGTAAAGGCCGAAAGGGAGGTTGCCACCGCCGCTGAAGTTGGGAAAGTAGCCTGAAGCTTGGCTCCAGGAGGAGCTCACGAGGTCAGTACTCCCTCCAAGGAAATCGCGGTGTAGATAGAGTTCATCGAGGCCGTCGGGGCCATCGGCGCTTTCAGCCATGTTTTAAGTAAAGCAAGGATTCAGAAGAAGTGCGGCTTGCAAAAGAGAAAGTAGAATGAAGACGAAGTTGCAAAGTCAGATCAGGTGCAAATGCATAGAGAGGGAGGTAACGACAGATGAGTGAGCTCAGTTGTTCTTGTATTGCCAGCAAGTGCTTGGTTGGCAACGACAGTGTTAGAGGAGAGCCAAGGAATGAGAGCGAGTAGGAAGGGGGAGGGAAAAGGAGAAAGGGAGAGTAAAGAAACTCAAATAGAGAAGGGCAGATTCACTAATTTTTATGTTACTATTACTGAGTATCTAAAAAGCAGGTGAGCCGTGAAAGTAGGCAACTGGCAACATGTGGGTTTGTTTATGGCTTCTCGTTGTGGACTCTGTTGCGAGGTGCAAACGGCGCTTTGTAAGGTGGGGTTCCTTATTAAGGTGCAGCTTGTAATTGTAGTGTCGATTGGCGAAATGTAAGGGCGACGTGAATTAGCATTGTTTTTTATTTTTTCGGCTTTAATGCGAGCGTGCGTATGCAGGGACGGCCTGGACGAAGTTTGGGGCGGAAGGCTAGGTTAACGAGAAAGGTGTTTGTTTAGCTAAGCAGTGATAGACGTAGAATACAGCAGGCAGCGAAAACAGACCAACAGATTAAAGCTTTCTGTAGTACTGGAAAAGAAAAGAGCATGCTTGTCCCCGTAATAACTACTAGGTAGCAATCTCGTTCCTTGAGGTCATTGATACCTACGCGAATGTACGTATCATTGATCTGGTGCGACCGAGATCACTGGTCGGTGGCAACAGTCTGAATACAGTCATTTAAGGTTTCATCAACAGTACCGTATTCCATACTGAGATAAAAGAAATTCCACAAGGAGGATGAGAATCAGAAACAGAGGTTATATGCACCGATAGCGTCGATCTCGGGCTGCGACATGCATGTTGGCGGTGGGCGCTTCCTGTCGCGACGACGCAAAACGGCAAGGACCCGCGGTAGCCAAGGTGAGCTGCCGACGAAATAAGCATTTGAATACAATCAAGCAAGGAACGAGGCGAAAAGCCGTCAATGACGGAAACTGGCGGCTACGAGAGGCTCACGACGACCCTGGATCGCCACGTTGCGGCGGCCGGGATGCAAGACGCCAAGCCGTGGAGGAAATTGGCGACGATGTATGGCCGTGAAGTCATTGGTTGGGACATTGGCGTGACGGAGCAGCGCTGCGATTCTAGAACGCAAAAGTCAAGGCGCTGTCAGGTTTGGAGCGAAACGAGAGGGCGTTGCTGGGCATGGTTGTCGGAACAAAGGGACAAAGCTGGGCTGGTGGCGTTGGGTCGGAATAGAGCTTGGCTGCGCAAAAAGAGTCACTGAGGGGGCGGTGGCTTGCTGGGGTGGGGGTGGAGGACGATGGCTTCGAATTCAAGGTTAATGAGATGTTTGCCTGTTGCATTGCTGGGAGGGCAAAGAGCGGTAGATGATTGTATTGGAGCGAATCGATGCAGCGGTGCGGTTGTCGGGACGCAAGTCGTTCAGTATGTATGTAGGGGGTACCTAAGTAGAACAGCAAACGCAGAGGGAGCAAACGCAGAGGAGTTGAAGCCGTCGATTTGTTAGCAGCCCCAACCAAGCTCGTCCGTTTTAGCGGCTGGCAAATGGCGACGCCGCTAAAAATAAGTGTCGCTCACAAACTGCGGGGAGGATCAAGTCGGCTTGGCGAACAAGCTTACCTGTGAGTTACTAGTAAGTAATCTGTACTTGATTTGCGTAAACAGCCTCCATAGTGCCACGAATTCGTAATTACGACGGAAAGATTGTCAAGGCAAAAGCCTTGAGAATCCATGTTGCGATATTGGTTTGTAAATGAGCCAGGCGCAGGGTTAGCGTCCACAGGGTCAACCGCAGGAAAACAAAAGACAAAACTGGAATCCAGATTGCTACAGAAAATAAAAAAGTCCCTACCCAAGTATCAAAGAAGGCGATATTGTCTCTGCTCTCCGGAAGGGTCGGCAGCTGACATGCATTGTGGTTGCAGCAAGAGACAGCAAATACCGATCACGGCTCACCAGCCCAGTCAACCAGTCCAGCAGCGAATGAGCGCTTGTGATCGATCCCTAGGGTCTTCTCAATCCAGCATCCATTCCCCCGGTTGTCTAAATTGAATACATCGCCGATACTTCCAATGCTTGGCAGGACCGTTTGAGTAGAGCTACGTAGCCCGGTAAGGACCTGCGTGTTGGGACCTGCGTGTTCTTCTCGGCATTCAATGTCGGAAGTGAACTCGCAAGCCACAAACCGAATTCCAGCCTCAGCCGCCAGCCAGCCACCAACAGCCCAAGCCAAGCCGGGGAAAATCCAAGCCCTCCATCCCCCCATCCCCCCATCTTCATCTCCAGTTTGCACGAACCTCGGACCCTCCAATAACAACAAACGATGGGCGCCATCCAAATTCATTCTTCCCCCAGAAAACTTCGGGGGCGTGTACTGGTAGTGCGCCACCAGATCCACACCCGAGCCGGCCCCAAGACTAGGTAACGACCGAAATGACCGACGTCGCAGAGCTATTAAGACAGCCTGCTGCCCTCCGCGGTTCCCTTGATTGAGTCCTGTCTAGTTCATCCTCAGGCCTACCGAAATCTCGAGGACGAATCCCCCTTCTCCCTCCCCCAAAGCCCCTCCTCCTTCACCATGGCTGTCGCCGTCGCCAACGAAAAGACGAGCAGCGGCTCGCTCAACGAATCATCCAACGACAATGCCGCGGTTGTCCTCGAGACCGCGCCGGTGCACGAGGTCCCCGTGCCCGCGGGCACCACCGAGCGTCGCATCCTCACCAAGATTGACCTCCATGTCGTGCCCTTTCTCTGCATCATGTACCTGCTTGCCTTTCTAGGTACCGCACCCCCATTTACTACCCTTCACCTCTTCCTTCGCATCCGACGCGCCTCTACTGACAATTACATTACTATTATCCTCTCAGATCGCGTCAACATTGCCAATGCCAAAGTCTTCGACCTCGCCAAGGACCTCCACCTCGAAGAGCCTGGCAACCCCGACAGCACCAAGTACAACACAGCCCTCGTCATCTTCTTCGTTCCCTACTGTCTCTTTGAGATCCCTTCCAACATCCTTCTCAAAAAGTTCAAGCCCCACGTATGGCTCTCCATCAATATGCTACTCTTTGGCTTCACCACCATAATGCAGGGACTCGTCACCAACTATAGCGGCCTCCTCGCCACACGCTTCTTCCTCGGCGTCTTTGAGACGGGCATGTTTCCTGGAGGTGAGAAGTTCTCCCCTTCCTAGAGAACCTGCCGTCCCACCTCACTCATGCTAACCCCTACCCCAGCGTTTTACCTCATTGGCATGTGGTATAAGCGCTCCGAGGCCCAGAAGCGCTACTCCTTCTTCTTCAACAGCACTACCCTAGCTGGCGCCTTTGGCGGCCTCCTCGCCGCCGCCATCGGCAAGATGGACGGACTGCGCGGCTACAAGGGCTGGCGCTGGATCTTCATCCTTGAGGGCGCCCTTACCGTCTTCGTTAGCTTCTTCATCTACTTCCTCCTCCCCGACTTCCCCGAGGACGTCAAATGGCTGTCCGAGGAGGAGCGCACTTACGTCAAGGCCCGCCTCGCTGCCGACCAAGGCAACCATGCCATCGAGCGCCCCATCAAGCTGCGCGACATCCTCGCCGTCCTCAAGGATCCGAAGGTCATTGCTGGCGGCTTCGCCTACTTTGGCATCATCGTTCCCGCCTACGGCTACGCCTACTTCGCCCCGGGCATTATCCAGACCTTCCATTACGGAAAGATAGAGACCCAGCTGCGCAGCGTCCCGCCTTGGGCTGTCGCGTTCGCCTTTTCCATGGCCATCGCTTACCTCTCGGATCGCATCCGCCACCGCCTCACCTTTGCCCTTAGCGCCATCGCCGTCGCCATCGCCGGCTTTGCCATCCTCCTCGCGGTCCATAACCACACCAGCGTCCAGTACGCGGCCCTATTCCTCGTCGCGAGCGGCGCCTACACAGCAATGCCCATCATCGTGTGCTGGTTCAACATGAATCTCGGTGGTCACCACCGCCGCGCCATCGGTAGCGCTTGGCAGGTCGGTTTCGGCAACCTCGGCGGCATCATCGCCGTCTACGTCTTCCTCCAACGCGACTCGCCACGCTTCGTCCCCGGCTACAGCGTCTGTCTGGCCTGGTTCGTGCTCTCGGCCGCGGCGTGCTGCGTCTACGGCTACATGTGCTGGAGCGCCAACAAGAAGCGCGATCAGCTGCCGCCGGATGCCGGGGCCGCCCTGACGCAAGAGGAAAAGGACGATCTAGGCGACAACGCCCCCGACTATCGCTACCTCCTGTAGCGGGGTGTGTATCTTGTATATGAAGGATGAATGCACGGCTTCCGATTTATGTTTGGATCTACCTGTCATCAGCCATTGCTCGATGTCGTTTCTACATCAAAATTAAGGCTCGGTCGTTTGTTGTTTTTATATACCCATTTGCGAAGCTAATAATGCGAGCAATCCATGTCCTGCATTTTGGAGCATTGCTGTCCGAAATTTCAGCGCATCGCCCTTTGAATTGTAAACAAAGGCAAAAAATTTAACAAAGACTGTCGCTCGGACTGTTCGAATCGGTGGACCAAACGGCGGGCCAAGCTTGACATGCTCCGCCCAGAGACCCGGACGTGGGCTCTGGTGCCGGTAATGACGCCCGCCGCGGCTCGCAACTTCGGAGGGAGGAACAAAGCCATTCATTGACAGCCGAGGTTACTTCTGCGTGGTATACAGCACGGTGTTTGTGGAGAGATTCTACACGAGCACAGGTCAGTCACTCTTTGCAGAGACCTATGTACTATGCCTACACATTTACATGATTCAATACCGACAAAGCAAACGCAGTGGGCTGCAACCACATGTAGTTTATGCACTCGAAGTCGAGCAAAGTGAAGAATGAAAGCAAGTTTTCAAAAGCATCCGAGACGGAAGAAAATACACAGAAAACTGCAAACGGGATAAAATGTCCGACAAATCCCGGCTCACACGATCAACCCGTCCTCGTCCAAGACTGCCTTTGATTCCTGGTCAATGTCCGGGTTCCGGAAGGTCCTCATTTCGGCGTACCTGATCGTCCAGTACGCCAGGTCCAGTCCGCCACCCGGCATGCCCGCCTCCTCGGCCGCGTCGCTCAGCTCCCGCAGCACCGCCATGCTGACGCCCTCGCCCCTCCCTTGGCCCCTCCCCGCCGCCTCCCACATGCTCGTCAGCGCCCGGCGGTAGTCGTCCACCGGCAGCAGCGCCACGCGACCGATAGCCAGCACCAGCCGCGTCCACTCCCGCACGAACCGGTGCGAGAAGGACGTCTGCGCGTGCCGAAACTCGACCGTGGTGTTCGCGCGACCGCCGCCGCCGAGGGCCGGCATGTGCTTGCACAGCACCGGCGCGACGCTCAGCGGGTCGGCCCCCGGGCGGCGGTGCTCGAGGACCTGCCGCAGGTCGTCCCACGTGGCGTCGTCGCGCCAGATCAGCGCGAGCACGCGGGCCTCGGCCGCCGCGAAGGAGGACGGGAGGTGCGCGCGGGCGCGCGACGAGAAGAGCAGGGACGACCGCTGCCGCCGCCGGGACGACGACGCGCGGGGGACAAAGTCCGCCCCGAACATGGCGGAATAGGGAAACGGGCGCAGCGAGCCGAACCGGGGCGGGTCGCATAGAGGCTGCAGGAGCGGCTGGTCGAGGAGCAGCGCGAGCGTCAGCAGGCGCTGCGCGTAGGCGACGGTGCAGCCGCCGGGGACGTCGGGCGACAGGTGGACGTGCAGGCCGCAGTAGCAGAGACTGATGTGCGGCGGGCCCGAGATGTCGGCACCGTGGAGGGCTGTCAGCGCGGCGCCGAGGGGTGGCAGCCCGGTGGTGAACACGTCCGCCTCGGATAGAATGGGCGAGTTGAGCTCGCAGGCGATCCAGCGCCGGTACGGGGGGCATTTGGTGAGGCCGCCGGCAAGGACGACGACGGCGTCGGGCGGGGTGGCGTCGCGCAGCGGGTTGCGGCGTGGGCACTGCAGCGGCGTGGTGGTTATCTGGTAGCAGGCCGGGAGGCCGGCGGCGTGGAGGGAGCCGGCGAGGCGGTGCAGGCAGGCGTCCTGGGATAGGCTGGTGCGGTCCCGGCGGTCGAGCCCGCGGAGGTGCGCGGCGTCCCAGGCGGTGTCGGGCGGCGCGACGAATTCGATCTCGATGCCGACTTGCAGTTGGCTGTCGGTGGTGAGAGGCGGTGGTGCACCGGCATCACTGTTGTTGGCCATGGTGGATGGGTGGGCGGATGGGAATCCATGGTGGGCAAGTTGACCAAGTCCACGGCGTCTTCGCTTTTTAAATCACTTTGATGAGGGTCTCCTTTGTGTATCGATGAAAGTGACTAGCTTGGGGAGATCCGAGCTGATTCTTTCGTGCTTGCGAATCACAACACTCACCCGGTTCGGGTGTAACGTGCTTGAATTGAAGCTGTATCAAAGCATGCATTGTATGAGTTGGATGCTGCTTGACTGACTGTAGGTAACATGAGGCTGTGGAAGAATCGCACAAAGCAAGGATCAAGCCCTTTGAACTATAGCATGCCTGGTGTCATGGTGAATATCTACACAAAAGAATTGATGATATGGCCACCCCCGACAGCTGTGAATATGGACAACATGCTGCTGCCAACGGCAAACCACATGGGTATTTTCCAGGACATAGAGCTCGAGCTTAGCCAGTTTCCAGGGTGCACTGTCATCAACTACCGCAGCTTCAAGCTCCGCCGCATCATCATTTCCTGGTTTTGCCGTAATCGGCTTTGATGATTGGTCCGATTTAGACGATGCATGTGTAACACTTTCTTGACTGGGCGATTGGGTTGCAATCAACGTAGACTGGAGTCTGCGAGGCTTGCGGTGGCCTGGCTGTTATTATCGCAATGACTGTCACCTTTGTCTTGCGCTGCCTCGTGTCGATAGCCCGTATTCTGACTCGTTCAATGCCTCGGAGAGCTCACTGTATAGTCACAGGTGACGCCCGGCGTCATGCGAGTGATAGTGGCAGCAAGAAGCTGTGCCTTTGCACGTGTTGTCTTCTTGTAAGCAGATTCACGACTTACTGTTGTGCTAAGACTGAAAATGGAGGCTATAAGAGCAATTCACATGCAGTAGGCATAGAAAACAAATAGAATTTCGAATAAAGATAAATAATAAGCATATATGATGTGAAATTTGAACGCAATTTGACGAAAAAAGTTCTCAATGAGTAACCCAACGTCTATGTACATTATGTTGAATAATGTAGGATTTATAGTGAGTTGATCACGAAAAAGCGGCACGCATATCTTGCGTATAGTAGAATATCCGACAAAAGAAAGCCCTAAACAAATAAACCATATCTACACTGTGTTGGAACAATGTAGGCTTTGCAGTGTGCTCATCCCTGAGAAGCGGCACGGGCCGTTATGTGCGCATATTCCTAAGCAGCACAAAATGTGTTGCCACTGCCCTGGCGTTTGTCTAGCATGATTAAGCCTGCCAATCCCATGTCTTGGTTAGTAGACTATAATATGGCTTCACTGGCGCCGTTTTGCCGTGAACCAAAGAGGTCCTGGCTCATAAGGGCCGCAGAGTTCCATCTTATAGAGCAGAGCAAGCCCCGCGATGCATTTACAGGACGCTAGCTGGGGCGCTTCGCAGAACAAAATAAAGCCCTGTTGCGTATCGACGAGCGAAACACAACATGGCCTTGTTTTGTAGCCCGAATACGCCACAGCTGGGGAGAGCAAATGCATCGCGGGGTTACTCTGCCCTGTAAAATGGCCACTTTGGGGCCCTTATGAATAAGACCTATAAAAGTAAACGTGAGAAGATCGTAACGGATCCTTGTTATTATGCGAAAAGAGGGTATTAAAACATTACCGAGTGTTCGTATTGGCTGACGATATGGAGGTGTGCTAGCACACGGCGTAAGGCGGCGTCGCCTCCGTCTAGATGCACCGCCCCTAAGATAGCCTCTACTGCTGTGGCCATCATCTTGCTCGAAACAAAGACCGTTGCGGGATCCTTGTGGACGCAAAGGTCGAGCCCGTAGGAAAAGCCTGTCTCAGCGAGAAAGTTGTTGCTTAACGCTTCGTTACGAATGGACGTCCATATAGCTGCATCATTATTAGCAAAAGAGTATTATGCAAGTTCTTCCCTAATAAGTGGTTACCTTTGCTGGAGTTTTTATGGTACCAGTCTTGGCAGAGCATAGCGGTCGCAATACTATTGCCATACACGGCGAGGCGGTCGTTCTTGGAAAGCGTCTTGTACTCGCCATTGTCGATATAGACCGAGGCATTCGGTCCGGCGTTGTTCAGTGAAACGGCAGAGAGCAGCTTGTTGGTAAAAGTATACTGGATTTTCTGCTCGCATTGCGCAATGCCATGTCCAAATTGAGAATCGAATCGCATCATATAGTAGTCCTTTCTTATGAGTTGCGTGGTAAAGTAAATGATAACGAGGCTACTGATGCCGAGGTTCTTGATAACGAGGCTACTGATGACGAGGTTCTTGATGACGAGGCTTTTGATAACGAGGCTTTTTCTAAGTGAGGGGAAGTGTTGTGATTTATGTGCAAAAGTGTTGAGCCATCCCTTTGGTGCCGTCAGGCTCCAAGACCCCTTTGGGCGCCGTCAGGCTCCAGGACGGTCACTGACAAGGATACGAAGCAGTCATAAGCCTATGTCTTGCAGGTGCTTACTTTTTAGTGGAATCTTCTAGTAGAATAATGTACTGTTTTTATCCATAATACAGATAAGTACATTGAGAATCAGGTAATGATCCTGTTTAACTGTAGGTAATATAAGGCTATATAAGAATTATAGAAGTAAATATAGTTTTTTATTAAACTGTAATGTGTCTTATGCTATAGTGAATAATTATATAAAAGAACTAATAATCTGGAGTCTGAGCGGAATGCTCCTCCCCATGCTACATCCTAACTTCACCGGGCGGCTCCCAGACCCAACTCCTCATACCGGCCTTTGAACTCGGCAAACAGCTTATTCAACCCCGCCAGATTCAAAGGATCCTTGTCATCCTCCTGTTCCATCCAGCAAAGCATGTTGTGAATGTCAAACGCAATCGCCAGCATGTAACCCAGCCGCGCCTCGCGGTATACCCGTAGACCATCATCGTCGGCGTCGCCCGTCCGCTCGCGCCACCGCGCGGCGTACACGTCGCAAAAGTGTCGCTCCTCGGCGTCGAGGTACGGCCGACAGTCGGCGATCTTGCTCTTGCTATCGAACCACTTGAACATCTTTTGCATAAAGTGCCCGCCAATGTCCAACGCGCGGTAGTTGGAAAACGCAAACTCCAAGTCGACCAGCGCGATCCTGCCGCTCCCGTCGTCCGCGGGGCCGTTCTTGACGAGGATGTTCATGGACTGGATGTCGTGGACGCACCAGCCCGTCTTGGCGGACATGGACCGGAGGGCGGCGACGACGACGGCGCACCGCCCGGCGATGTCGTAGTCGACGAGCTCATCGATGGGCACGCCGCCGTCGCGGGACAGCATCTTGAGCCTCTCCAGCCCGTGGTACTTGCGCAGGCCCTTCCCAATGGCTTCGTAGTAGCTCGCGACGGGCTTCTGGGGCAGCGCAGTTTGGAGGGTGTGGAAGGTGGCGAGGCTGCGGGCCACGTCGGCTCGGATAGCCTCGTCCTCGACGTCCTCGGGCTGCAGGTGTCGCGAGTCGAGGAACTCGTCGATGCGCCCGCGCGTGCCGTCCAACGTCCGGAACAGGCCGTAGACGCGAGGGCCGAGGCCGGTCAGGCCATACTTGTACGTCAGCTGCGCCTCCTCCTCCTTGCTCGGTACAAGGTGCCGGAAGGCTTCAAAGTCGGAGAGGCTGGTGCGGTGAAACTTGATGAAGAGCTTGAGGGGCTCCGTGGCTGGCCTGGCGGTGTTGGGAGCAGGCCGCTCGACGATGCAGCTGGGATTGGTGAATGAGGTGCTGTACGTGACGGTAATGGTTGCTGGGTCTTGATCCGGCCATTCTTTTGTCAGAAAGGCGGCGATAATATCCCTGGCGATTTCCTGAGTGGGAACCTTGTCCGCCGGGAGAGCGAATTGAAGCTGTGTCAACGGCACCATTTCGGAAGTCAAATTGCGTTCAATTTTTTGCTGATATAAATACACGTTTTTTTTAAGTCTTCTTCCATTTGAATCTTTCTCACCTCGCGCAAAGATGCATAGATAGGTAGTAGGAGCACGGCGAGTGACTCAGCCAGCTAGTTCTGGGGCTAGATAGTAGACGATCCGAGACCCCGCTGCATGTTGAACATCAATCGCAGCTGTTATGCTGAATAGTGAGCTTCCTTTTCAAGATGGAACATTCTCCTGGCAATTTTTTTCATCTTCCGGCCTCGATTGGCCAACCAAGATTTGCTGTGCTGCACGGGTACTCGGCATGTGGCTGCAGGTCACATTACCATCCGGTAATGCGATCGAGAACACTCAACAAGTCCGATTGCCCACATGGGAAAAATTCACGAGAGACGAAGGAAATTATACGACCTCCCTTTTGTAGTTGTTCTTGGTGGAAAAGACACGCCCTACAAGTAACATTCCGTGCCCCGCCACGCCCTTTGCCCCACGCCGGCCGGCATCGCAAACGGCTTCAATCCAACTTCAACAAACTTCCAGCATATTCCGTCCCGGCATCCATTGGCGTATAAAAAAAGTCCACCTCCCATCATTACCCCATTAAGCAACTTCCTTTGAACTCAAGCACTTCCATTGATCACACTGTCCATCATGTCCAACGGTGTCATTCGTCATGCTCGCAGGGAGGGTAAGTTCTCCAGCCCCGCCGATTGAACCCCCCACGACCGCTCCTCCTAACCACAGCCTCCCGCAGATGTCCCCATCATCCTCGACCTGATCCAGGCGCTCGCCGACTACGAGAAGGAGCCTCAGTCCAACAAGGCCACCGTCGAGTCGCTCAACAAGACCATCGCCTTCGCGCCCTCCGGCGCGCCCTCCGACCCCAACACCACCGGCTACGTGCCCAACACCGAGGCCACCTCCGCCAGTCGGCCCGCGCGCTGCTTGCTGCTCGACAACCCCGAGGGCGAGACCGTCGCCATGGCGCTGTACTTTTACAACTACAGCACGTGGCGCGCCTGCCCGGGCATCTACCTCGAGGACCTGTTCGTGCGGCCGTCGCAGCGCGGCCGCGGCTACGGCAAGGCGCTGCTGGTCCAGCTCGCCAAGGAGGTCGTCTCCTTTGGCGGCGCCCGCCTCGAGTGGTCGGTGCTCAAGTGGAACGAGCCGAGCATCAAGTTTTACGAGAAGATTGGCGCGCAGGGCATGCATGAGTGGATGACGATGCGCGTCACCGACGACGGCCTGACCAAGCTTGCCGGCCTGCTGGACTGAGGGAAAAAAAAAGGCTGTGTATATAGATGAGTAGATAGAAAAAAAAAATTCTTTTATAATGGGCTAGACTCCGGTAGATGCATTGTAGTAAAAATACAAGAAAAAAAAATGTACAAGACAGGCTTTTTTGGCGGCAGCCTGTCACGAGGCAGACTTCTTCAGCGGCTGGCCATTGACGTCAACACCGTCAAATATGGATCGCTGCTGCGGCGTAGCCTCTCGGAGACTGGCTAAATCTCCAAACGTAAACTTGTACTGCAGCGTCCGCGGGTCCTGCTGCATCTTGGGCGTGAGCATCCACGTGCGGGCATATGCCCGTCGGAACCACCGCGGCGAGAGGCCGCTGCCCGAGTGCGACCGGCCGTACGGCCCGACATCCTGCTGGCCAGACCGTGCGATGCGCTTGGCGCCGCGATTCCTCTCCACCGCGGCCGCCGTGTGCGCTGCGTATCGCATCAGCGCGGCAGCCTCGCTCTCCTCCTCCTGCTGTTCGGCGGTGTCAGCTCCCGCGCGCGCGCGCCGAGCAGGAACCCGCCACTCGCCCGATTCCTGCGCGCCGCGGCTCAGGCGCCCCAGCAGTTCCCACTCGCCCTTGCCGAGGGGCGGCTGCATCTTGTCCGCGCTGCGCCGCCACCAGCGCGCCTTCTTGGCGTTGACGACGCACTCGGCCGGCGGGTCGCCCCAGATGTTCTCCTTGGGCACCTCGACGCTCGGGTTCGTCGACTTGATCGCCGGCCCGAGCAGGTGGGAGGCGGCCCTCGCCTCGCTCTGGCGCTGGCGCTGCGAGGCCAGCAGCCGTAGCAGCTTCGGCTGATCCCACTTCTGGAAGAAGCGGTTCTTGGGGTTACCTATCGCCCTCTTCTCCTTCGTCTTGCCGCCGCTGGCATCCGTTGTCGCATCGGCGGTCCCGCTCGTCAGGGCCTCGAGGGCCTTGGTGTCCTGGGCGCCTTGAGGGACGACAAACTCGCTCATCAGCTGGCGCCGGCGCGTGCCGGTCCGGCCAAACGCCTTGGAGATGAGACCCTCCATGCACTTGCGGTTGCCCGTGTTGGCGGCTGACAGCGTGCGCAGCACCCGCTGCGCTCGCTCCCAGTGCGGCTGGGCGCGGGGGTCATGTTTGCGATGCTGGTGGAATCGGGTCTGTATCAGGGACTGGATCGTAGGGCGGACGGCGGGGGGGAGGTACGAGCATTCGCGCAGCAGCTCGCGGTATATGGACAGACGCTGTTGCGGCGCTACTGCGGCTAGACGCGGCGCGGGCATTGTCTGCTTTGGGCGACGGATTGATGTGATGATGATGCTTGAAAACGAAGCCCTTTTTCCTGGATAGCGAGGTGGGGCCGGGGTGGCCAAAACACCCTGGGCCGGCCAACACCGGTGATACAACGCGAGTTCATGGTCTATATACAAAAATAAGTGCAGTGAACTTCTCAGAGTCTACTTTGAGTAGAAGCTCGGTTTAGTAGATATAGCTGGCTAATGATGATTCATGCCTATTACTGTTGGGCGGCCCGATGCTAGGCAGTGTGCTGGAGTCGCCACCAATGTGTTCTCTGTGGCTGAACTTATAAGCCTTTGGAATGCACTGTAGGCAAGAGCAGCGTTTCCGTGGAAGTATTTTCCAATGGGGTTATGATAGGTCATGACTGCTTCGTCCGCACGAATTTGTTTGGCCGTAATGACGCTTGCATGCTTATCCGCTCATGGCTAGAGGGCGTCGCTGCGATTGGTCCAAGATGCGTGATACCTGCATATCGCATGCATCTCGTGAAGCTTGCAGACCAAACATACATAGAAGCACCATCACGCTCCATCTGATACTTTACGGAACAACCAGCCACTGATTGGCAGGTAGAGTCTAGTTAAGGATCATCGGCCAGAAAATGCTTTTTGGTTTTAGGGCTGGCAGCTAATGGATGAAACTGAAACCACTTAAGGATGGCCCACAAAAAGGGCAGGCTGACCAACGCGATCGTGCGCGCGACACGGTTGGTCACGGTCGGGTCAGACACGACCAGACACGAAATCACGAAACAGACGCGTTTTCTTTGCCGCACTCAATTAAGCAAGCGGGCAATCGTCATTCCGCTGCGTAAAACCGCTCCATGGATACGTACATACGACAAGCATGTGCGTAATATCCGAACACAGGAACCGTAGGGATCAAGTGACGCTGCAGCATCTGCATAAATTAGAAGCCAGATACCTAGGCAATGTATTCGTAATAGGCAGACTGAAGGTTCCGTCGTTTTCAACAGCTCGCATGGCGCGACTGCTTTTGCCGTTCCTCAGCGCTGTTCTAATTGCCGTAGCACGGTATTAGCGCTCAGCTCCCTCTCCGTACAGGGCAACCACCACTGAAGCCCCTCTCCACCCCTCAACTGCGGAGGTTCGTCGGCCAGGTACCTTCTACCTCTGACCAGCTTTTACAAACTTCGCTTGCTTCAGCATCACTTTCAATCATCCAGTCCTTGACCTTACCACCACCTCGCTGTCCATCCCTACCCGCCATAGCGTATGTCTTTACGAGAGCGCCGAGCACCATCATCTGAATTCGCCGTCCTAACGGCATTCGGTCTCCGCGACACGCATCGCATCGCGCGTACCCTTCGAACCATATGCGTCAGCACCATCACCATCACCCCCATCTCTCCGCCATATGATAGCCGCTGTCCACCATGCCGTCCGCTCCGCAATCTTCACAGCAATCTTTCACCATGAGTCAACAGTCGCAGCAACAGTTCCCTAATTCCTCTTTCCACCGCGGCTTCGCGCTGAACGCCGAAGGCCCTGCGCCGCAAATCTACTCGGTCAGTAGCCGACGCAACCCGACGCTCCAGGGCGCTTTGTGCTGACATACCAATCCCTAGGCCTCCTACTCTGGAGTCGATGTCTACGAAATGGAAGTAAACACAATCGCCGTCATGCGACGACGCCACGACTCTTGCCTCAATGCTACTCAGATCCTCAAGGTCGCTGGAGTCGACAAGGGCAAGAGAACCAAGATTCTCGAAAAGGAAATACAAACTGGCGAGCACGAAAAGGTACAGGGTGGCTACGGGAAATACCAGGGCACCTGGATCAAGTTCGAGCGCGGTGTCGAAGTCTGTCGCCAATATGGCGTCGAGGAGCTTCTCCGCCCCCTGTTGACCTACGATATGGGCCAAGACGGTGGCGTTGCTGGCCAGGGCGATTTCAACACGCCAACAAAGGAACAGGCTATGGCTGCGCAAAGGAAGCGCATGTATAACTCGAGTGCTGAGGGACGACCGAATGGCGTTAACGGCACATTCTTCAAAAACATCTCGAGCACTGCTTCGCATGCCGTCGCCGCAATCAGCAAGGCTCGATTCGACTCACCCAACCCTCGCAACCGCACCGGTCCTTCCCATCCACCCAGCTTTAGCAGACAGCCCTCTATGCAGAATGGTGACGAATTCCCCGGAAATTCGCAGCAGAGCTTCGCCTCGGAATACAGCCAGCACGTTGACTCTACTTACTCGACACAACAAACCAATGGCATGCCTCCCATGCCTGACGCTGAGCCGCCACGGAAGCGCCAACGTGTCAACATGACACCGAATGAAAGTTTCGCGGGGTACGGTCAAAATGTTGACGCATATGCCAGTGCATTCCCAGGATCTCCAACCGAGCCCAACGAGTCATTTTTATTCTCACAACAGAGTGCCGTACAAGACCAAACAGCCATCGAGGAGGCCAGTGGGCCCCAGGCACCGCTTCCGTATAACATGTCTCCCGAAATTGAGGAGAAGCGAAGCAAGCTTATGGCTCTATTCATGGATTCGGCCGCATCTGATACTTCAAAACACCAGTGGCTGCTCACCCTGAGCCACAGCGAGATTGACATGCCCATTGACCCGCAGAGCCACACTGCGCTGCACTGGGCGGCTACCCTTGCACGCATGCCTCTTCTACGAGCCTTGATTGCTGCCGGTGCTTCTCCGTACAGGGTCAACGGTTCCGGCGAAACAGCCCTTATGCGCGCGTGTGTCGTGACAAATTCTATGGACCACGGGTCATTCCCCGACCTGCTGGAAGTACTGGGCGGAACCATCGAAGCCAGAGATCACAAAGGCCGTACTGTTCTGCATCACATTGCCGTCACAAGCGCCGTCAAGGGCCGGAATACTGCCAGCCGTTATTACTTGGAGAGCTTGCTTGAATGGGTTGTTCGCCAAGGCAGTGTGCCTAGCAGTCAGATTGTCGGCGTTAATGGTGCCGCACCCAACGGCGCTCAGGTTACCATTCCCAAAATGGGCATTGCAAGATTCATGACTGAAATCGTCAATGCTCAAGACAGCTGCGGGGACACTGCCTTAAACATCGCTGCCAGAATTGGCAACAAGAGCATCGTATCCCAGCTCCTTGAAGTCGGCGCTGATCCCAATATTGCCAACCGCGTGGGCCTGCGCCCAGTGGACTTTGGCATTGGTGTAGAGAACCCGGCGGAAAAGCAAATCAGCGAGGCCGTGTCTGAGAATCCCAACGGTCCAGGTTCGAGCCAGAAGATGCGCGAAAGCAGCGACGACATTATCGCGTCTATCAGCCACCTGTTAGGCGAGACTAGTTCAGCTTTCCAGCAGGAAATGAAGACGAAACAAGTCAACCTGGACTCTCTGCATACTTCGCTGCGAAGCACTTCAGCAGAGCTCGGCGAAGCGCGCCGCAAGATTGAGCAGCTAACGGCGTCGGTGGCCAAGCAGCAGCTTGCCCGCCGAAAGGTCGCCAACCTGGCACATGCCAGGGAAGACGAGCAGGCGCGCTTGATGAATGAGCAGTCACGCTCGTCGCAGCCCAACCCGTCATCGTCGTGGGAGACAGAGCTTGGCGCGATGCTCGAGGCGGCTGAGCAGCACAGCGCATCGGGAGGCTTCGGCGCCGAGGGTATGCTTCCTTCCGCAGCCGTTCTCAAGGCCCGCATCCGCGCCATCGAGGCCCGCCGCGACGTCACCCGGAAGATGGTGCAAGCGCTTCAAGGCCGCAGCCGAGACGTGGAGGTCAAGTATCGCCGGATCGTCGCCCTATGCACCGGCGTCGGCGAGGATGACGTCGACGCCGTCGTTGACGGTCTGCTCAAGGCTGTCGAAAGTGAAAACGAGGAGCTGGAGGTCGGACGCATTAGGCGCTTCTTGGGCGGTGTCGAGGGCGTCGTGCACTAGTAGCGCGCAGCTGTCCTCGCAACCGGGCAACCACTTCTTCATTGGCACCTTTGCGCAGCGTCTGTATAGCTTCTCTTCCAACCCTTTTTACGTTTTGTCAGTATACTATGCTACGACTGTACTATTTTTGAGACTACTGCTTTTTTTCTCTTACGGATGACGGAGTTTGGAAAGCGGCGCTTGTTACGGAAATGATTTATCCTGGGGTGGTAATTGTGGAGGGGTTTGTCTTCTTTTGCTTTCCTGGTCTGCTCTTGGCGAGCCGTTGTTTGTTTTCTGAATCGAAGCAAAAGCCTTCGCGTCATTTTTCTGTCTGGAGTTCAAATTCGGGTATGTTGTACTTGTTTACGGCTACGGCTTGCCTGTTGCTTGACTGTCTTTGCGCGGCATGTTTTCTGTTGGCATTTCAATCATGACGATGGTGTAATAAATCCACATTTGCATTATCCGCTAGTCAAATCAAACCTCTGCACCATAGCCTCTTCGTTGTTGCTGCCTCAGATGGCTCAGCTTTGAGCTTATTAGACTCTCTTTTGAGATGTAGGTTGTTTATCATTGGTTAAATGGAACAATTTGATGAAATCAGGACGTGTCTCTCTTCCTTCAGAGACTGTGCCGCACAATACGCCGCACAATACGCCAAAAACGCCCACGCAATGCCACAAGAAAAAAAGATTGATGACCCCCTGGCCGTCCTCAAGAGGTCACTCCATCTCGGTATACACCCTCCCACCTGGCCTCCACGGTCGTAATCTTGCCCTTGAGGGCCTTGATCTCCGCTTCCAGCTCATCCATGTTGCGGTTCAGAACGGAAATCTCCTCGAAGCGACGCGCGCGCGTAGCCGCGCGTAGCATCTCCTCGACCATGAAGCGCTGCTCCTCCAGGACGGCGAGTCCCTCGCGCAGGCCCTTCTCCTCCGTCTCTAGCTGGCTGACGACGGTGCTCACCTCGCTCGCCGCCTGCGAGGCCGTGTCGGACTCGGCAAGCTCCGTGTAGCGCAGGCCCGACGAGCTAGAGTGCACCGAGAGGTGCGTGGCGGACCTGGGGGTGGAGCGAGACGACTGGTTGCGCAGAAGCTGAGGCAGGCTCTTGAGTGGGAGCATGTTGGTGTGCAGGAAGCTGCTCGCATACGTGTAAATGGCCGTCTGTAATCGTTGCTGTGTCGGGCTCTGGGTTGGCAGGTCTCTGATGCGCTTCGCTGCAATGCCGTATTTGCCGAAACTGTCAATGAGACGTTTCCGAATTTTGCCTGCTTCTTGAATCTGCGCTCGTGTCGGTGGCGGTTTAGTCAAATCGAGCTCCCCGTTTTCCAGTTTGTCTGGTTGCAGTGCCAATAGAACGCGATGGAACGAGGGTAGTAGTTGGCGGATACCTCTCTCAAATTGCCGTAGCGTCTCGTATGCTCTTTGATCTGTGGGCTTCAATTGTAGAGAAGCCTGGAAGTCCCTGCCGGAGAATAGCGTGTGGTTGCAGTCCTGACACATACGTATATCGACCTTGACGAGGCCCGTCGTGGGAGGCGGTTTCTCTGTAGGCAGATGTGAGGCTGCGCTCGTCAGTGCTGAGTCTCTATGCAAGATGATAATATTGCTGGAGATACTTACGCGGCGTAACGTCGAGACTGACTTCGGAGGAGCAGCCCGTCTGCAAGTCTGCGCATACCACTCGACCGCATATGCGGCAGTGATGTCTTCTAAACGTCCAGGTGCCAAATTCTTGTTGGCAGAATGGGCACTTTAATACTGATTCATCGTCCTCCCATGGCACGACAGATTGTTCAATTGCCTTTCGTTGGTTGTTATGGCCCGTCAATTGGCTTACCGGTGATAACAGAGAGCCCGTTGATTTCTCCGGTTGGTCGATTAATAATCTCGTGAGTTTCGTCAGTCGCTTCTCCAGCCGTGAAACATCAAGCTTCTGCCGTTCAACGCGCTTTCTCCGTATTTCTGTAAATGCGCTTGTGTGGTCTTTAGAGACGCCCGTATGGTCGTTGTAGCCATCTCTTGACTTGTAACAGGTCTCGCAAACTCGGGCCCATACGCCGCGAACGGGTTCGTGGTTTGCACTGCGGCTGAGCTTCATTTGGTACATTGTATGTTCCTCGCAGAATAACCGGCCGCAATTTCGGCAGTTGATGCTGCCGTTCATGGGACCAAGGTTCTTGGCACATGTTGGGTCGGTACACCGATCGTGGCCTGTTGGCCGTTGCCAATGGGTCCTGGTGATGAGCTCCTCAGGATCGAGATGGATTTCCTGTGATTTTGCGGGAGCATGAGATGGAACTTGAAGCTGGGGTTGGCCCGACTCGTTTGATTCAAACACCTCCAGCCCGCGAAGCTTCTGGTTGATCAGGGACAGGGGTTGAAAGCGTTTCGCCTTTTGGACCTGCTTGTCGAACCACGTCTTGACTTCGTCCTGTTCCTCGGCAGGAAGTTCTTGATGGGTATCGTCAATGTGTCGGTTTAGTTGTAGTAGAGTGACCTAGAAGATTGGCTATGTAAGCGTGTTCGTGTTCGGTCGGAATGCCGCGTCATACCATCTCCTCGGTGCAGATCGGACAGACAAGGCCTCCGTCGCTGGATAGCCCGGCTTTGGGCTGTGCGCCCACGCTGATGCTGGATCCGATATCCTGTCCGAGGTCCGTCAGGCTTCCGCTGACAGGCGGTGACAATGACGAGGAGCTGATCGAGACGGTGCTATCGGACGGTGCCAGCGGGCTGGAAGCACGAGGGGCAGCGGGTGGCGGCGCAAGGCCCTTGCCGCTGCCCAGGATGCGACCGCCTCCGAGCTTCCGGCCGGACATTATCGTTGCTGCTGGCTTGTATTGAATGCCCGCCAGTGCAGCAACCCGAGACTACCTTTGGTGTTCGAGCTGCCTCTGGCGCTGTTGGCATCGAGAACTGCGAATGGCTTTGTCGGGGTGGGATGACGATGGCAGGTGGCCAGCAAGCCAGCAGGTCCAGTTAGCAGGGCTCTTTGGTGGAGAAAGTGGCTAGCAAGGTCAGGTAGCGGGAGTGGGGGCATTCAGTAGTCCTAGAGGTTAACTTGGGGATAAAATTGAAATGTAAAGAAATGAATAATTGAATGCTAATTATTTTCGCATTTGCGTAGCCCATCGAGTGCGTAGCCCGTCTCATCATGAGGAGTCGTGTCGCGGTGACCAAATTGGAGTGTGAGCACCCAACTGAGAGGCGATTCGCTGAAGGCCTGTGTCCAGCTCGGCGGCATGTCCACTAACATCACCCACTAACACATCACCCAACCAGCGCCAGACGGCACGCCTCCGGACCGTTTATCCACCCCTGCTAGTGCCTTATCGCCGCCTTATCGGAGCTCAACCTGTACCTCAAGGCCAAGGACCCTTCCGACTCCGGCTCATTTCTGCCCATCTTGAACTTTTACAACCTAATATTGCAAACCCATCAACCATGCCAAAATCGTTTCCAGAAGTGCAGCCCGGAGGGAGCCTCATTCTTGCGTGGCAAGTCAAGGACAAGAACGTTTTGGTTGTCGGCGGTGGCGAGGTACAGTCCTTTCATGCTATCTTGTATCCCCTTGCCGACCAGGAACTTGTTGGTACTAACTATTACAACAGGTTGCCGCAGGCCGCATCCTCAACTGCCTCAATGCCGACGCCAACGTCACCGTCGTATGCCCTGCCGCCGGTCTGAACAAAGAAGTCGCCCACCGCGTTGCAGAGAAGCAAGTCACACACATCAACCGTGTCTTCGAACCGTCCGATCTCGATAATGCGGTCATGGTGCTCGTGGCCATTGACGACCCCGATGCGTCAACAGTCATCTGGAAGTTGTGCAAGGAGAGGAAAATCCCAGCCAACATCGCAGATGTACCGCCAGAGTGTGACTTCTACTTTGGCAGCGTCCACAGAGACGGTCCCCTACAGATCATGGTCAGCACCAACGGCCGTGGACCTCGGCTTGCAGCGACCATCCGCCGCTTCATTGCCAGCAAGCTCCCCAACAACGCCGGCAATGCCATCGACGTCATTGGTGAACTGCGTGCCAAACTCCGAAGAGTTGCTCCCAAGGTGGAAGACGGCCCAAAGAGAATGCGCTGGTGAGCCGCCGCCGTGACAATACTTTTTTTCGCCAGAGGCTAAAGTGACGAAATCGGCTAACCTGATTCAACGCTAGGATGTCTAAAGTGAGCGACACTTACAAGTGGGAAGAAATGTGCCAGATGACAAACGAAGATCTGGAAAACCTGCTATTATTCTATCCCGCTAACAAAGCTCCATCTATGGATATTATCAAGTCCCTGCGAGATGTACGGGATGTTGAGGCGCTCGATGTTTTTGAAGGATCGTATGGATTTAGCATTGGTGTTTGAGGTACCACTGGGCATATGAGTGAACATACTCGCGGCGTATTCTTAAAATTGGATTCAGTAAAAAACCACTGCATTCTAAGAAATGGTAAATATTGTATATTAAAGCAAAATATAGACTGCCGAATTCATCCTCTAAACATTGTTGTGCCTAGAGTTTGTTGGTATCACCTGGTGCTTAGTCAGCTCCACTACTGCCAAACATGGTGCCATCCAAACAAGATCAACTACCTGTGAATGAGACGCGCCCACGCCCGAAAACGGTTGCGGCACTCGCAAAGTAGCCAGAGATTCCCAGGTTGACGCGTCATACTACTCAAAACCACTATCAAAACACAGAACTACTTGCAAGGAGTCCTCCCTGTGGCGCATGATGGCGGATCAGGATGTTACCACTTCGGATACCTTCTCCAGCGAAAGCCCAATCGTCGATGATGTGATCCCACCCTTTTTCAACACCACATTCTCAACACATCGAGTCTCGCCGCTATTTATTGGAGCGCAACCTCTGGATCAGAACCGACTTGATCTGCTCGCCCACCGCTTGCGAGATACTCTTGTGGGGGACGTCATTCGCGGCATTCAAATCGGACTGGAGTCTCTCGAGACGCCCGCCGGACAGGTTGGGCCGCTGCGCTATGTGAAGTTCCGCTGGTTCTCGCCTTCGGACGTGCTAGGTGACCGAGATGTTCTTGACGACGCCCCTGATCGCGCAAAAGGCGAGGCGAGCGACAACTCGGACAAGGGCCTCTGGGTGGAGATTCGACACGAGAACGCGGCCTACGTCGCTCTTCTGTTGCCTGGATACACAACGCTCAACCCGGCCTCCTCAGTCAGGCCATCAGATTGGGCTATGCGACCTGGAAGGGCAGCCACGGATAATGTGGTTGACGAAACAAGATTTCTCAATTTGCCTTTGCTTTTGCTACGCATGCCGCAAGCGCTCAAGCACGTCATCGGCGACTGGCTCTCCACGACATTCGATTGCCGCGTCAGCAAGCTCTCTCTGGGGACAAAAACGATTGTCAACATCTGGGAAGGGTGGATTGAGACTATGGGCCTGACCACCAAGGGCCCTGACTTTGTCGTCACGCTGGCTTTCAACGCACCGCTTCGCGACAGCGGGGGCGACCTGGACTCTGATTCTGATTCGGACGCGGAGCAGACGCTGGAGCCGGGGCTGCGCAGCATGAGCGTAGCGATGGCGCCTCACGACCTCCGCCGCTTCCTACGGACGGGTGAGCGGCTGCGGCCGGAGAATAGCGGCACGCCCGCCCTGTGGGAGAAAGACGCACGCGAGCGACGGCGCCTGGCCGGTGGCAACATGGATGACGGCTGGGCCTGGAGGAGCGCAACAAGCACCGGAGACCAGCCCTTCACGGCGGCGCTGGGGCGGTACCTGCAGCACCACCTAGGCCTGAACATGTTCCACCCCAGCGTGCGGGTCGTCCAGATCTCCTGCGCCGGGTTTGTGCTCGCGCAGTCGCGGCTCAAGGTTCTCCGTCGCGGAGACTTGACGGATGATTTGTCCCGTGCAGCATGGATGTTTGCGACTCAGCTCGGTGGAAGGATACGCGGAGATGAGCTGCCCTCTGTTATCCCAACACCTGTACCTTGAGACAAGATCAAAACGGGACGACGCAGGCGATAATAAGATCAGGGCTTGACGGGGCTATTCACCTATCGCCCAAATTAGGACGGACAAGAGGTCACTTTGGCCACACAAAGGAAGCAGATGACCCCGACCTACAAGCATCCTAGATTTATGCCGACCTTGATCACTTTGGTGGACTTGCTCGCGTCACTTGCCGCTGCCGACGTTTCATCGACGGTGTAACCGAGTCGAGGCGAGACTAGCCACCAAGTTCTGCTAGTAACGAACGGGCGTCCTGTGGCTCGCGATATTGTTGTCGAGAGGCGGAGAAGCTTTCGTCCAGTGACGCGTTTGCTGGCCGAGCTATGGCAAGGGCCAGACCCAGGCCTTTCTGCAGAGGTTAGCCCGGAGCCGCCCAGGTCGGTTCGAGACCGTCACCGTCCGCCTGAGTCTATTTACCCCTAGGACCGCGCCGCTGTTGATCCAGTGGTATTCTCAGCAGGCCGAGCGCCCAAGGAGATAGACACGAAGAGTGAGATGGAAGGGTGGAAGGGGAAGGAAGTGCTGGAATGAGACGATTTGCTATCTCTTTCCTAGGAAGCATGGCATATATTCACTTGAGTCTTTACCTCTGACTGTATGCCTATGGGAGACTGCCCTTGCGACATACCTATAATGACAGCAAGTATTCCACCCACGTGGCTTGCTTCTTCTTTTTTTTAGAGAGACTAGGTAACTTTCTACTAAGAGAGTTTTCCTTTCTTTGCGTTCTATGCGGGCACTAAACAGAGAAGACTCGTCCGCGTCACGACGCCAGCCCATGATGCTGAACCTTAAGAATTCGATCCTGCCATTATAAACGACGCACCATCCTGTTCCCAACTCTCGCCCTTTTTTTCCTTTTTCCCCCAGGCACACGTCAATTCCCTCCCACAGTACGGATAAGTCCCCCTCACCCCAGCTTCGTACGCCTACTCATCCCAGCCTATCGGCAAAACAGTCCACCAGATCGAGTCCCTCCTCACAACAACTCCTACGTCTACGCGTATGTTTGTCTCTGCACGCCAGGCTCCCGAATGATTGATCTGGAATCCAACAACAGGTCGGTCGCAGTCCCTCCGCCCCCACCGACGCCCCTTGTGCTGCCGTCCTCGTCGCCGCAGCCCGCCCCCCGGACTCCCAGCGAAGGCGTGAAAGCCTCTTCGAGCGAGACCAGCCGGCCAAGTGAACTGTGGTCGCTCCCGAACCTGAATTGGCGTCGCGCTTTATTCCTGATCCTGCTCGTGACCGTTCTCGGCGTAATCGCTTTCTGTCTCAGCGGCGAACTTTAGGTGCCTTGATCCCGGCAGCCAAGGAACACAACGAGACGGCGATCTCGCGGATCGTCTTCGCCCAGCTCGCTTCCTTGATCACTTTTATCCATATACTCTTACCTCGATCCATACCTTGCGCGAGGAAACATGGACCACAACGACATGTTCGGGTGGAATCCCTTAAACGCCGCTCCAAGCAGTTCTGGGCAGCCTCGCGAGCTCATAAATGGCATGCTTCTCGCGTCCGCTTCCGCCGAATCCGACCCCGACACGCGTGACTCCCCATCGGGCTCCAAGCCTACCGAGGAACAGGTGGCCTGGGCTTTCGGCATTTTCCTCTTGCTCATCGTCCTCCTCATATGTGCTCACGTTGCTCGCTTCAGGGCCCAACGCCGTCTGCCGTCGGAGGAGGACGGGACCCAGCTGGGGGACCAGGACGCGCGCGACGACGACATCTTCAGGTCGGACGAGAGACGCCGGCACTACTGGCGCGCCAAGGTCCTGGGCAACCTAGCGGCTGGTGAGCCGCGCAGAGCCGAGTCCGACCAGCCGCCCGCATATCCCGGTTTCGTTCAGCCGCCCCAATCTCACAGTTTCATTCAGCTGCCCGGACGTCACAGTTCTGTTCAGCCACCCGGATATCCCAGTTTCGTTCAGCCGCCCCGTCCTGCGCGTACTGCACAGAGCAGCCCATACCATGACAACACCTTGATCAGGCCACTTAACGGATTCTCGCTCTAGTTTTTCGATGCCCTCCACAAGTTTTGGTCAAATGCGGTGTACTGTTATAACAGGGTTGAATGGCTTGCTGGGACAGGAGAGAGTGGGACGCGGGCAAAGCAGGTCTAGACAGTAAGTAGAAAGTTTGAGCTCGCGTTGGAAGGGTAGTTTGAATTTGGTTGTTAGTGTGACAGAAATTTTTTTTTCTTTGTAATTCTTTGATTCTAATAGAATAAAGCTGGCAACATTTCATGTGCGTGAACCGGGTCTCACACCTTGTCTGACATGGGCGGCCGGGTCGTCAATTTTTATCTGATGAAGCTGAATGCCATGCTTTCTCGAAGACGGGTTCTAGATATCACCTTGGCGGTGTGTTGCTGACCTCCCACAGGACTGCTCCCGGGCGGCTTACTTGTGTCAATAAATGGCCTGCAGCATGCCAGGCCCGGCCGCCCCCCGGTGAAGCACGGCAACGGGTCGTGGTGGGTGGGCTTACCACTGGCGGGAAGTTACGGCTGTCTCTATTGCAGCAAATTTACAGAAGGCTTTCCGGTTTTCTTGGCGTAAGATTTTCGATCCACCGCGATGCCGACAATGAAGCTTATACTGGGGTAGCGACGGGATCCAGTAGCTTATTCGTGGAAAGTTGATCGATGATGAGGACTAAGTAATTGGCCCGTGGGCTGAGGGTTGCAGGGCGGCCCCTCTGAGGCCCCGCGATGAAGTGTCTTGCAGTCGAATGGAACGGATGTGTAGGCTGGATGATTGATGATACCCTGGTTTCGGAGTTGTAGTAATAGAGATTTGAGATAAATAGCCCACGTTGTCAGCTCACTTACTCTCAAGCACTCGCTGAAGCAAGCTTCTTTAATCACAACCAAATTCAGTTATATACAATGGCTTCTCTTCGCTCTATTCTTCTCTTATCCCTCGCCGCCCTCACCACGGCGCGTGACGTCCCGTCCAACGTCCGCGACTTTTACAACAGCCTCAAGAGCAAGGGCCAGTGCAGCAACAAGCTCAAGTCCGGCTTCCACAGTCGCGACGGTGATAATGGCTGTAAGCACTCTCCTCGATCACCATCTCACCCTCACCGGCTACCAGACCAACTGTACTGACCCCCCCACGCCCACGCCAGCCTTCTCCTACTGCGGCGACCACCTCGACGACTACCGCGTCCTGTACCTCCAGGGCAAGAAAGGCAACTTTGTCAACATGGACATTGACTGCGACGGCGTCCAGCACGGCCCCGCCGACGATGGCCGCTGCCAGTCCTCCGACGACACCCAGGTCCAGACCTCCTTCAAGAGCATCGTGAGGGGCTACGGCGTCGGCGTGGACGACCTCGACGCCAACATTCACCCCTACGTCGTCTTTGGAAACGAGGGCAGTCGCAGCAACTACCCCAACTTTGACCCGAAAAAGTACGGCGTCGAGCCGCTGTCCGTCATGGCCGTCGTTTGCGGCAACAAGCTGGTGAGTCACGCCGTTCTCGATTGTCCGCGATGGTGAGTAACATGGGCGAGCGTAGATTTACGGCATCTGGGGCGACACCAACGGCGACGACGGCCCGGAGGCCATGGTCGGCGAGGCGTCCATCTCCCTCGCCACCGCCTGCTACGGCAAGTCGGTCAACGGCAACAGCGGCCACGACCAGGACGACGTCCTCTTCATCGCGTTCCCGGGTGCCGACGCGGTGCCGGGCAAGAACGGCGCAAGGTGGAACGCGAAGAACTACGGCCAGTTTGAGAGTAGCATTACCAGCCTTGGCGACAAGCTCATCCAGCGCATCGGCGGCGGCGGCGGCGGCGGCGGTAACCCGCCTCCGTCTGGCGGTTGCTCGTGGGAGGGCCACTGCGAAGGTACGCCACGATTTTCTTTTTTCTCTCTGCGAAAATTGGTGGATATCCATCATGCTGACAATATTCTCCTTCCCCGTAGGCGCGCGCTGCAAAGACGAGAATGACTGCTCCGACGACCTTGTTTGCAAGTCGGGCAAGTGTGCTCGCGGTTAAGGAACGACACCTGATGTAAGATGGAAGTGCGCTGCAGAGATTGTATAGACAAAGACATATATATATATATATAACAAGAAGTAGGCTCCACGTGTCGTAACTAGTACCCCTCCTGTTTTATACCTTGCTCTCGACCATTGTAATCCTGCCCTCCACCGTCGGCGCAATCAACCGCGTCCAGTCGACCAGACAGCCGCCGTCACCTGCCGGCCCGCACACGCACGACTTGATGCCCGCCTTTCGCGTCCAGCGCGCCCAAAATTTGCGTAACAGCAAGATCTCAATGTCCATCTCGTTGTCCGGGTCGGCGCCCGCCTCCGGCTCCGGCGGCGACTCCGCCACGCCGTCCTCGGCGATCTCGTGGAGCGTCTCGTCGTCCTCGTCCTCGTCGTGCGGCAGCTTGTTGTGGCCGAGGCGGGCGAGGATGAAGTCATGCCAGCTGTTGCTCCGGGCCGTGTCGCTCTCGTACGACGTCTTGCGCGAGAGCGTCAGGCTGCGCTCGAGGTCCTCCGAGGCGGGGGCAGGTGTCTGCGCCTGCGTGTTGCCCTTGAGCTTGGACGCCACGGCCTCCCAGTGCTCGGAGAGCTTGCGCCACTTGCCGATGGTGCGCAGGGCCATGAAGTATTGTCGCAGCATGGTGCTGATGAGGATGCCGTTCTCCTCGTCAACGAGCTCCTCTGCTTGACCGCCTTCGGACTGGACAAGAAGACTGTCGTAGCCGTCTACTTTCGTGATTAATTCATTGTCTGTCATCTGAAACACACCAGAGATTTAGGTTAACGTACCTTTGCCGCGGCCCATGTATCCTCTTGTGGCCAGGAGGTACTTCCTCTCTGGCTCGCACAGCTTGCCGCCAATTTCTAGCGAAAGTACTCGTTTGTTTCTCTTGCGCGAGGGGTCGAATGAGAATACAATATTCGAGACTTGGGGAAACCTTCCTTCTAGTGCCGGGTACGTGGAAACGCCATTCTCGATGGCATCCCAGATCGCCTGGCCTGTCACGCGCAGCAAAACGACGGGGTCCTCAAAGGGAAAGCACGTCGTCACGTCCTTCATCCTTACCGCCCCAGGCGGATAAATTTGATCTCCGCGAATCGTCCCAGACGCCATGATGCAGCAATCGGCGTGGTAGTGCTGCCGCATGATGTCGCAGACAAAGTTGCCAATGTTGGACTCCTTCATCCGGACTGTGCTGAAGCGCGCGTCCAGCGGCATGGCGCTCCAGCCGATCGGCTTCGCCAGCGACTTTTTCAGGTCCGCCGTGAGATTCTTGACCAGCTTCTGCGATGGGTAGTGCTCCTTCACATCGGAGGTGATGTCGCGCCTCCAGATATTGAAATCCCACTTGGTCGGGCGGTCTTTGCTCCGGCGGGCCTCGATGTAGCTGAGGTTCTTGAAATCGGTCCCCGAACGAAGCACGTGGGTGCCGTTGATCAGCTGGTGGTTGTAGTAGTGGTCATGCCCGCCGAGGATGATGTCGATCAAGCCGTCCGTTTGCTCCGCCAGTTTGACGTCGTTGGGCTCGCGCATGTGGCTGAGGCAGATGATGATTTCCGCACCGTCCGCCTTGAGCTTGGGGACGAGCTCCTTTGCGGTGGCGCTGGCGGACTTGTAGATCAAGTTTGGTGGCAGGCTGTTTATGGTTGCGAGCCACTCGCGCTCTCCCAGGCCGATGATGCCAATTTTGATGCCGTTGGACGAGGTCGCCATATGCGTCGGCTTGGCGTTGCCGAGGGGTACGTCTTTGCCCAGCGCAGGGTCCAGGACATTAGCAATGAGCCAAGGAAATTTACATTTTTGCGTCAGGGCCTCGAACTGTTTGACGCCAAAGTCAAAGTCGTGATTCTAGCGATAGGGTTAGTGTCGTTAAGTGCCAAGGCGGGGGGTACGAGGACATGAGATTGGCTCATGATGCACTCACTCCCACACAGGCAACATCCGTGCCAATGGCATTAAGTACCGGTATCATGTGTTTGCCTATTATTCAAGATCAGAAGATGATTGTGGATGGGATTTATCCTCAAGACTGCATCATAAACGCACCCTTGGTGACACTGCTCTCGAGACTGGGGTTGAACGCGTCACCAGAGAAGAGAGTAATGAGCTTGGGCTGACCAGCAAACCGGCTGCCATTTCGATACTCCTTACACATCGTCATAAATCTCGGGAATCCGCCGACTGGCTCCGCGCTTGAGGGATCGACGTGGTAGACGTCGTTGTAGTGCAGGATCCGGAGATCCGGTGCGTCACCTCCGTCGGAGCGGCCCGACGAGTAGGTGACTTGGGGCTCCGAGGTGGGCTCTAGCTGTCCCATTATGACGGATTAAAGTACCTGTAGAAGGATGGACTTCAATTCACTTAGCACAGGGAGTCAGAATGTCGCGTGCTTCATGGGAGTCCTAGGCAGAGATGCCCAAGCAACTAAGTACCTTGTACATGTACATCGCACAGCCCCAGCCACAGCCACAGCCCGCGACGAAAGCGGAGCCGCCACAGTCAAACAAAGAGCTACAGCACAAAGTGGCGCTACTACCCGGGACACAATGAATGGCTTTCAGCAAGATGGCTTTATTTCGTGCCTTGTCTTCTATTTACTCCTGCATTCCAATACTGCAAGGATATAATATTAACAGAAATCTAACAAAATCGTTTCAAACAAATTCGAAGCGCCTTCCTGCTTGGTGATTAGAGTGCTGCCTTGCCCCTTGACTCAAACGGCAGCAGAATGACGATGACTCCCGCAGCAAGAAATAGTGCACCACTGGTATATACGGGCGCCGAGGTCTTGAGGTTCGCGAACATGACGATGATGGGCTGTATTCGAGTTAGAGAAAGTTGAGGGAGAGAGAGAGAATGCACTTACGGCCATGATTCCAAACACGCGGTTGCAGATGGCAGCCAGCGCATTGCCAGTGCCGCGCTGCGGCGTGGGGAAGACCTCGGGCGTGTAACCGTAGAGCACGGCGTACATGACGTTGCTGCAAAAGTTGAAGGCGCAGTTCCAGCCGAGGAGCGCCTCGCTGGTGGTCGCCGTCGTCGAGCAATAGAGGAAGACACCGGTGAGGGCGGTGAAGATGGAGAGGGTGCCCTTGCGGCCGAGACGGGGCAGCTCGACGAGGAGGCCGCCGATGAGGGCGCCGGGCACGCCGAGCGTGGAGATGATGAGGGTGTTGCGGTAGGTGATGTAGGTGCTGCCGTCGCCAAAGTCGGCGCCGCGTGAGTCCTGGATGTACGGCAGGAAGGCGTTGTAGAGCGGGAAGGCGAGGCCGATGAGCGCCCACAGCAGCATGATGAGCGAGGTGCTGACGGCGAGGCGGCGCGTGGAGAAGAGCGTGCGGACGTGCTTGCCGTCGAGCTTCTCGAGATGCCGGCGGACGGCGGCGGCGGCGTCGGTGCGGGCGACGTAGTCGTCGGGCTCGCAGGCGCGGAGGTCCTCGACGGTCAGGGTGCTGGTCTTGCCGTTGATGCGGGCGACCTCGTGGACGACGCGGACGGCGTCCTCGTCGCGGCCCTTGCCGATCAGGTACTTGGGCGACTCGTGGAGCTTGAAGAGGCCGAAGCGCGCGAGGAACATGAGCATGGTCAGGCCGCCGACGGCCACGAGGAAGTAGCGCCAGCCCATGTTGTCCTTGCGCAGGCAGACGGGGGCGTCCTGGGCGCAGGTCAGGTTGCCGAGCAGCGGCCAGGCGATGAGGTTGCCGACGACCTGGGCGACGGCCCAGTCGAGGGAGAGCACGGTCAGCAGGTACTGGTGGGAGGCGGGCAGGAACTCGAGGAAGATGGCCGAGTCGACGGGCAGGTTGCCGCCGACGCCAAAGGACCAGAGGGCGTTGAAGACGCCGATGGCGGCGAAGGAGGGCGCGCTGGCGGCGACGAGGCCCCAGAAGGCGGTCAGGCCGAGGGTCAGGTTGAACGCCCACTTGCGGCCGAAGATGTCGCAGCCGAAGCCCCAGAAGGCGGCGCCGGCGAGGAGGCCGATGTTCTGGGCGAGGACGAGGAGGGGTGGTCGCGAGGGCAGGAACTCGTCGGCGACGGGCTTGAGGATGAGCGAGGTGACGACGGGCCATAGATTGTCGCTGGCCCAGCCGAAGCCGACGACGATGAAGAGCTGCCACTGGTACCAGCCCATACCGATGTCCTGGACCTGTTTGGGGGGAGATTAGTATTGGACGGCATTCGCCATAGCCATCGCCATAGCGAGCTGTGAATGGAAGGGCTGCCAACGTACTGCGCGGTTGAGAACCTTGGCCTTGGACTCATACACGGGATCCAGCGACCCCTTGGCAATCACGGTCTCATCGTCGCTAATAATGTCGATGCTGCCATAGTCGGCGCGCCGGGGGTCCGTGTCGTCGGACAAGGCTGGATCGCCACCCATGATTAGTGACTGCGACTGCTATATCGCCGGTACTATGACACTGAGGAACCGTCCGTCTGTCGGGTTGGGTAAGCTACCTAGGCCGGTCGGCGATGAGGTCGGATCAGGCAGGTTGCAGAGAGAGAGGTGATGCAGGACGACAAAGTCCAGAAGGTAGCTTTGGATATAAGTTTATTGGAGTTGGTACTGTAAATCTCAAGCTGCATCTGGCCTGGTGCTCCCCCCTCTTTTCCCTGCAACGGTCTACTTTTGACTACGAACTTTGCATACCAAGGATACACTACTCGTACATGGTTTAGTTAGTAGCAACTTTGTACCTTTTTTTTTTCTCACCAGTATTAAGAGCAAGAGGGACGAACTACGGTATTGCGCCATTGGTGAGACGGCTGTGGTGATTGGCCCGGTGGCGTTCTCTATTGTTGTGCTGTGACCATTCCCGGCGCTGGGCGCATGCGGCACGACGACCCTAGCAAGCCCTGTTGTGGAGAGCTCTGAGGCCAGCCCGAGACAAGTTCAGACAGAGGTGAAGAACTAGCAATGAAGGTTGAAAATGAGATTGTCTTGACCGTTTGCTGTCCGAAGGGAGGGAGGCGGTGTCTACTGGGAGTCATGAAATGGGCTGATGTCGAGAGTTGAAGCTCTATATTGGTAACTCGTCAGTGGTTCTCAATCACGAGCTTCATCGATCATGTGCAGTGTTAGGCTAGATTTCCATTGCCAGGTTCACAAACTCACAAACCCCATGTTCAGCGATGCACAGTGAGACATGTCGATCATCCCACCCACCCACTCACTCCACTGACAATGGCAGCTCTGAATCAAATCGAGCGTTTCTCTTCTCATCATCGCAAATACACGATGCAAAGAATATTCTACAAAACATCAGATTTTCTCTGCACAAACGTGCTTGAAAATAACCCAGCCGTCGCCTCTTGAAACTCCCCGAACCCAGAAAATGCCCTGGCCGTAAAGTGTATTATTAGTGTTCGCAAGCACGTCATCGGCGCATTTGATTCCAAACTCTACCTTGCTAACTAATCTGTACCTAGCTTATAGCGTTTATTCTCGTTAGCCCAGCCCCGGAATGCCCGAACTCCTTGTCGGCCAGCCAGCTGAGCTGCATTGTCCAGGCAGCGCTTTTGACACCATCGTCACTATCATCGCTATCATCGTTATCGTTGTCACTGTTGTCGCTGTTCGCTTACCAAGCGATACACCTGTTTTTATCAGAAGACGCCTCAACAAATTAGAGTGTTATGCTTGGTTTACTACATACTGCGCACGAGACAACTGCCCTCATTAACGACTTACCCTATAGGTAGCTATGTGTCTCCTATTCTTTTCTTACCCCATTATATAGAAAACAATAATGTTCGAAAGTTTTGCTTTTCATTTCCTACAATCTCTCGCCTTCTGAAACGCGCTGTCGGCCTTGAGGTCGTCCACCGCGAGCCCGACCTGCATCGCCCTCAGCACCACCACCACGTACGCGAGCGCCGTCGCCAGCACCGTAAAGTTGTTGTGCAGCAGGTCGCTGTAGTCGGCCGCCCCGTCCACCGTCGAGAAGCCGCGCAGGACCCTGCCGAACCGCAGCATGTGACACCTTGTCCAGCCGGGAGAGTCGCAGCTCGCCGGCAGCGGCTTGAGGAAGATGCGGCGCCCCGGGACCACACGAGGTGCAGGTCGGGGGTCTCGGTGACGGCGACGCTCCGCTTGAGGACGAGTTGGTGGTGAAGCGGCCGCGGCGGCATCGGCCGGCCGCACACCCAGAGCCATTCCTGAGCGCGGGAGAGCTGCGGGACGAGCAGCTCGCGGCTGAGGAAGGCGGTCATGTCTGTCAAGGGTGACTGGATGTCGTCGCCGACCTGGCCGCCGCGGGTAGTGCGTGTGCGCATCGACGCGGGCAGTGCCACCGCCTCGTCGACAGGTTGACCGGAAGTGCTGGTAGACGCATGAAGACGTTGGAAAATTTTGATTTGAAATGCGGCGGGATTTTTCACCAGTGTTGCTTGTCCGTTGTTGACACTGCTGAACTGACAAGTATTTGACCGTTGCCAACGAGGGTTCGGTAGAGATGCATGTAGACCCCGGTCTGCAGTATGTAGTTGACATCAAATTGAGATAAGCAGAGTCCAAGATACATTCACTAAGCCAAGTGTTTGTAGAATGGACACTTTGGGGATGCCCTGGTGGAGATTGCTGCTCTTGACTAGACGCAAACGATTCCTACGGCACCAGTACACCCATCAGTTTTCATGTACCATATACGAGACATCACAGCCGTATACGTGGCGGTGCAAAACAACAACATGCTGCAGAGTTGATAGGCTGGCCTATAGTCGTGATGTACTGTAGCAATCCTACGGGCTGACTGGTCATGCAAGGAAGCGCTGTGGCGTGCAGAAGCCTAAAATTTAACACGAAAAACAACAACTTTGCCCTTTGAAAGCCGAATTGGACAGCATTCGTGCAAGTCTGTCTCACCCGCAGATGACGAGAGACGGGCTCTGCCTCTTGGCCGCTGCGCGCTCGGTTGCCGTGGGCAGACACTTCTTCATTCGAGTGAATGGGGAAATAATGGTGATGTATTTTATACACTAGAATAATTCGTCGCCAGATGAAAGTGCGACGTAGAGGCTTTCTTGCGTCCATGCTTGGAGGGAGCGACAACCTACGCTACGCCGAGGCTGCTTCGTGTATATGACAACAGGCATGTATACTTGTCCTCCGGATCGATTTATGCTGCGCTGTTACCCAAAACCCCGGCCCAGATGTCGCCTAGATGTCCGCCCACAGCAACAACACGGAAGCAGCAATGACCGGCAAGACGCTGACGAGCTCGCCCAGCCCGGCAAACTCCGGTGGGATCCTGGCATGCACAAACGCGCCCGCGGCGAGCAGCACGGCAAAAGTGTTGTACACGAAGCTCCACGCGAAGTTGAACCAGATCCGACGGACCGACATCCGACTGACCTTCATGATGGCCAGGATGCCCGCCAGATGCGGCCTCATCAGAACCACGTCCGCGGCCGATTGTGCAACGTCGGCGCCGCCCTGCTGATTCATGTGCACGCCAATCGTAGCCGCAGCCAGGGCGACGGCGTCGTTGGTGCCGTCGCCGCAAAAGATGACCGAGCTGAGCTTCTTGACGTACTCGCCCTTCTCTGCCGGCGTGCTGCGGGAGAAGACGTTGGCGGCCGGAATGTTGAGTTTGGCCGCGCATACCTGGACGGCGCCATCGTCGTCGCCTGAGACGAGGTGCACGGTGATGTTGCGCTTCTTGAGGGCCTGGACGGTGGAAGAAGCGTCGGGACGCAGCTCATCTTCGAGACCATACGCTGCGGTCAAGGTGCCATCAATAGCAAAGCAAAACACGGTGTAGCCATTTGCGAGCATTGGCTGAACAAGATCGTGATTGGAAAAATTGAGCCACCGAGAGTTACCAGCTTGGAGCATCTGGTCGCCAGCGAGCGTCTCGACGCCTTTCCCCGTGAGGCTCTTTGCCTCAGGAACAGCGGATGCCGTTACACCGTTGGCTTTGAGATGGGTCGCGACAGCAATAGAGACAGGATGTCTGCTGTTCTGTACGAGGCCGAGGAGAAGAGCCAGTTTGCTGTCATCCAAGCACTGCCCTGCCGTCACTGATAGCTTTCCGCGTGTCAAAGTTCCCGTTTTGTCAAACACCACATGGGAGGTCTTATAGCCAACTTCAATCGCATCTGCAGATTTGAAGATGATACCATTTTTCGCAGCAACACCGCTGGAAATAACAACGACCATGGGGACAGCCAGGCCAATAGCGCAGGGGCAAGAGACAATGAGGACCGTAATCGCGTAAGTGATGGCTTGAATAGCACCCTCCGAGCCGTTTTGGTGGCGGACAGCGGTACCTACGGTAACCCAGATGACAAAGGTGATGATGGTCAAGGTCACTACGACGGGAACAAAGTAGCACGCGACCTGGTCAGCGAGGCTTTGCAGCTTTGGCTTAGACAACTTCGCTTCGTTGACCATGGCCGCAATCGTATTGATCGTGTTGTCGCAGGGGAGGCGATCGAGCCGAACAGTCAAGACACCAGGGCCATTGATGGAGCCGGCAATGACCGCGGATTTGGGGTGTTTTTTGACCGGCTTGGATTCGCCCGTGAGCATGGACTCGTCGGTCTCTGAGGAGCCAGAAATGACAGTACCGTCAGTCGGAATTTTAGTATCCGGAAGGACCTTAAATACGTCGCCATACTGAAGCAGACGGACGTCAATCTCACGCTCAACACCATTATCAACAAGAACGGCGGTCAAAGCTTGCAAGGTCTCGAGGGAAATGGTTTCGACGGCCCTCTGGCGAGCCAGCGCCGCAACCCATCGCCCAACCATGATGAGTGTGACGAGAAGCGTGCTGGTCTCAAAGAACTGGCCGGTAGAAAGCGGTCTACCTGCGATGAGGTATCCGAAAGAGACAACGGAGAAGACGTAGGCAGCGCTAGTGCTCAGGACAATGAGCAAATCCATTTCGATGACACGGGAAAAGACGAGAGCTTTGAGGGCCTTCGGATAAAAAGGGCCACCAATAACGACTTGGACAACAGTGGCCAAAGCAAGCGAGGCAGAGGCGTAGGCGATATCGTTCTTCGGCAGCGGTGCCCAAGTCATGACGAGGACCGGAATTGTCAGAATTGCAGAAAGAAGTGTCATCCATCCCATGTGCTTGACGTGTTTACCACCCGCTTCAAGCGAAGCATCGCCGCGCGGAGGTGCAAGGCTAAGCGGCTCTCCCCAGGCTCTTGCCGCAAGGTCTCTGGCGCCCACAATCTTGGGGTCAAACGTGACGCGCACAGTCTGCTTGTCGACGGTGGTTATGTCGATGATCCCATCCGGCCAAGTCTGGTTGATGAACTTGGCTGCCTCGCCGTCGGGGACAATCAAATCGAGACTGAATCCCTGGTTTTGAATTCGCTCGCATTTAAACTCGGTAGTTCGCTCCAGGTGCTTGATCACTTCGGCCACCGAGCCGAGGCGAAGATCAAGATTGAATTCGGCACGCGAGAGAACGAGACTCGTTTTAAGATCCTTGACGGCCAGGAAGCTAGCTAGAGTCCGACTGAGTTTCGTCTCGCAACCGGTGCAAGTCATTCCAGAGACGCTGAGGATGACATGCTCTCTGCCGTGTCCCTGGTCTTCAACATCGGCAACGGCTACAAGGCCAGCCTCAGTGTCAGGGTTGCCCACCGTGGCAGGTGTATCACAGCAGGAGTCCGCACAACTCTCTGCTGCGGCAGAAACATTTCCGCAGCATGAGGCTGCGCAGCTGCCGGAATCGACGGCTGGTTCCTCACAGCAAGCATCAGCGCAGCTTCGGGCTGCAACGCGGGGCACTTGGCAGGAAGACCCAACGCGCGGGGGTTTAACGACAGGTTTTCCGCAGCAAGAATTGCCACACACCTGTTTAGAAGCTTCTGGCTCGGAGCAAGATCCAGCGTTTTCGCGTGCCTTGTTGGCCGCTGGCTTGTTGCAAGTGTCTCCAGCGACAGCGGTTTCCTTGGCCAGCTTTCCATCGCATGAATCTGCCGAGATGTTGACACTTTCAGCAGGCTTCTCGCAATAACCAGCGGGAAATTTCTTTCCAAGAGCGACCGGGGCGTCGCAGCAAGACGACGGTTCATTCGCGGACGAGGCGAGTCCGCAGCAGGGTCCAGCGCCCGCCGAGCAACCACCGCTCGGCTTGCCGCAGCAAGACGAGGCCTTCTCTTTGCCCTTACGAGTCACCGAAATCGTTGGCGGTGCCACGGTAGGCGAGCAGCAAGACGCCCCACAGGCTGGCTTGGGGGGTGCCGCAGTCGGCCTGGCGGTGCCGTTGCCCGAACCCTTACCGCGAAGCCGGTGGCGATTCTGCGCGGCATGTTCCTTGGTGATGCCGCTGCTGCTGCCAAAGGACTCGAGAGACGAGCGGGAGGAGCCTCCAGAATACGGTTTGCTGCGCCTTCCGCCACCGCTGCCGCTGTAGCTGGAGTGGCGATCGCGGACATCGCAGCACGTCTCCTCGCCGAGGGCAATCAGGGCGCGGCAGATGCATCCGAGGGTGCTGAGGGTGATGCTGTAGCGGTCGAGGACGGAGGTGCTGTGTTTGGGGCAGGCCTTGCCGTCGATTACTCCGTTGCAGGCTGAGAATAGTGGTCAGTTTGTGGGCAGGCAGGAGAGTCTGCATGAGAGTGAGGGAGGGGGCGGGGAGAGGAGCATACTGTCAGGGCCGCCGCCCTCGCACTCGCGCACGGCGAGGCGATCAAGGCAAGAGGTATCGCAGCATGGACTTGTTTTTCCGGCGCAGCAGTCGGGAGAATTGTCCTTGTCCTTGTCTTTGTTCTTGCTGGTGTCCGTTGCGGGAGCGTTGTTGGCAGAGTCGACGCAGCACGAGCTGCGGCAAACAAGTGCTTCCAGAGGCACCGCTGGGGCAGACTCGGCGGTTGCAGGGGCACAGCAATCAGAGCCCATTTCCGGGATGGTGTCTTTGGTTTCGTTTAGTATTTTTGATATTTTCCAATTGTGATGTTTCTTGTCTGTTGCTTAGTAGACGTTGCTACAGTCGCACATTAGCTAAGCCACCGCCATTCATACAGTCAGACAATCACCTCACGCACTATATAGTAAATATAGGTTATTATAAAATAATTATATTTATAATTTTATGTATAAAAAAAATCAAATTATTACTACTATTATTACGGTTTTTATCAGGATAGATGAGAAGAGTGCTCTAATTCAACTATATGCTTTCTGTGCGTACGCTACGAGTGTGTTATGGGAATTATCGTTGCCCCCTCACTACTACAGTGGGTTAACAAAAGTTTCGATCGGTTGCACTAACATGTAGTAAAATGCGATTTTAAGTACCTTATAACTTTATAACTATAGATACTATAAATATATAATAATTATAGTAAATATATCCCTATATAAATACTGTATAAGTTATTTTATTTTAGTTTTTATTATTTTAGATTCTTCTAGAGGAGAGTATAAAGTTTACTTCCCTAGTTGTGCCCTGTTACAGACGCACCGAGGTGCTGCAGATGAGGGGCAGGATGGCCCGAGGAAGTGATTACGAGGGCGCAGGAACAAAGGAACTAGTCACGTGACTGGATCACTGGGGATCACGGTGATCCAGCATTGATCCAGGATCACTAGGATCACGAGGTGAGCCAAGTGATCCAGGTAACAAAGTAGAGGATAGGATGGGTATATAGGGAAGGGGATTTCCAGTAAATAGCCAGACTAGATCTCTACTGATCAATCTAAGCGATAGTTCTACTATTAGGAGTAATCTCCTAACGTGACTCACGCTACGATACTGCTCATCTACACTCTGTTGTGCATTCAACCGACTCACTTCCTAAGAAACAGATTTACTGTGGATTAGAGAAGAGCCACCGTTACATGCCCTAACCCCTTTAGCTAGGTGCCCCTTCTCCCTTATAATGTGTTCCCTACGTCTTAATCTAAGCGTGTGTCCCTAATAATATTATAATAACTATTAATATATACTCTGTATATATTTAATATAACTCTCTACTTAAGAAATAAATATACTATAGATTAAAGATAAACTACTATAATAATAAGTCTTTAATTATTATATTATTTAAGACTACTATATTAAAAGTTATAACTTAGATTAGGAAACATACGTCTCTTGTACGTATTATCTAAACATATAACGCGATGTGGTATGTATTAAAGAGATACTTAATTTTACCAGACTATTGCCAGTAATTTTATGTATTCTGCTAACAACCAGGTTCATATCCAGGGTAGGGTTGCTTTCTACGGCCTATGCATGCAGAGGCTGGATAAAGACAGAGTCGAATCAAATGTATGAAACGCAAGTTAAATCTGAAAACACGTATTTGTTTGTTTAGTAAAAAATTTGGCATTGATTTGTTTGATTTGTTTGGCAGTTTGTTTGATGTGATTTGATTTGAGGGCAGTGCTGTAACCGCGTGCTTGTTGTGGCTAAACTCGCTGCGCCCACGGGGTCTCCTGTTGATCCCTAAAAAGACCACAAACGTGTCAGACCTTTCATTGTAAGGACTGGCGATCGATGGCCTTGGAAAGGGCGAGGACCTCCTCGGGCTTGCGGTGCGGAAAGGCAACACCCAAGTGCCACGGAAAGATAAAGTAAGACCAACGATGCATGCGGTTCATATAGGTTTGCATCGCGCCGGTAAGCTCAATGTATTCATCCTTTGTCTGTAGTGCACTCAGCGCATCAGAGTACTTCTGACCGATTTCGTGCATGCTTGGCAGCCCCAGGTCCGCCATGAATTCGAATATATCGAAGTTGCCGACCAAGAATTCCCTTGTCAGGCGATTCAACGCAGGCAGCGGAATGTCATCATACTGGGCAAGCTTCAAGAAACGGTACATAGCGTCGCCACCAATCACCATCAAGTACGCTTCGAGATGTACCATGACTGTAAAGTATTGCTCTCCAGTGCCTGCGCCGCTGTCAATCACGCCCCAGCGAACTTTTTGGAACTCGACCGGCTCCTCTAGCCATATGTGATCAATCTCCTTTTCGATAAGTGCTTTTGCTTCGCAGCAACCGCTCACAACTTCTGTGGCTGCTTCTGAAGTCGCAGGGTGTAGAGGCAGGAGCTTCGCAGGAGACTGCTCGCTGGAGATGACGACTTTCAGAATCTTGTGACGGGGTTGCGCAACGGTCTGCTCATAGACGAGTTTGCCGATTCGCTCCAATACCAGCAAATCTTCCTGAAAAACCTCCGCAAATTTGTTGATTGTGGCACTCTCTGTGATCTTCCCGTAGGTAAGGCAGATAGACTGGCCTGGCGCATTGAGGTAGACAGCACCCTGGTGCCGCTGGACCATATTGTTCCGACCAAGGTGCACGATTCTGGTTGGCGTCCAAAACGTCTCGCCGGCAATTACAACATGGCCCAGCACACTCTCGAGTGGCAGTTGAGCCTGAAGATTTTGAACAACATCTGGATTTTCGTCGACAAGCAGTGTTGCTCGAAACGAGAGTCCGACCTCAGGGACATGAAATTGAATTATATCTGATGGATCAGACATTGCGGTAATTTTCGAATAAACGTATCAGTCAAGGTCAAGATGGATTTTTAATCATATAGACAGGTCTCTCAGTCCCAGCGAGGTGTCAATGGCGCTTTAATAAGACCGTGGACGTTGCCACTAACTCTCACTTGGTTCGAAATTGGGCCGCTATCCTACCTGCCCAATGTTGTATGTACAAGCTGGACCATACCATAGTTATGTGTCATCCAGCCCATGTCAGAACCCCGCATGGGACGGCACAGTGTTGATCGAATTACAGTGGGATCTCAAGAGTGGCTGTGGCCGATCCTTTCATCGACCATAGAACTACCCCGTTTGAGGACGGCATGCAACAAATTATCAATTCCGCGCAGACGGGGATTTGCAAGTGGAATCTAGGGTCGGTCCTCACAAGCAATACTACTCGTGCCACGCCCCCACCACCATAATTAAGGACACTAAAAAAAAAAAATATTTCAACTTTTATGTTTAATTATACTTCATTACAAAAAAGGCGGAATATGAAGTGGGGTCGTTCCCTCACAGCTGACGAGTCGAAGGAACTAACTGGTTCTGTTGTTTGGCATTATCTTGGAGTTCAGTTAAAGTACTCTTTAATAAAATCAACAAGGCGCCAGTTTATCATTTAATCTTCAGTCAACAGTGCTTAAACCCATAAGTTTGTACGTACACAACTCAATATATTATAGGGAATGTTTATCTTCGTCCGAATTATGCTTTTCACAGTTCTGCCACAACAACCTCTTTAAGCTGCCGCACCAATAGGAAAACACCACCTTATGCACCATCGAATAAATCCTCTTCAGTCATTGCGGTACCTAAACTTTCGGAAAAGTATATACGAAATGTTAAGCCTGGTGGCGACCAGCAGGTTCCTCGCCGTATCCGATATATGCGATGGACAGTTTCTTGCGTACATACTGCAATGGTATGCCATCAGCCGACGGAGGTCCTATACTTTGGGGTGAATTGATCAAAGATTATCGTACTTACGTCACCTGCTTTGAATGGTCGACAACACGGAGGGTTGTTGTCACTGACTTGGTTTTCCAATACGGAAATAGTCGTGTTATAATCTACACCGAAGAAGAATGGAATAGAGTATCGTTCTTCCCCGGTAAGGTTCATCACTCGGTGAATGGTCGATTTGAACCGATTGTTCGTCCTAAACGGCCGGATTTAACTTCCATTGATCAGACCATAGATTCATTCCTTCTTACCATAGCGCCAAAGAGTCCGAAATATTCACAATAAAGGTTCCCGGCATTGGCGGGGCGGTTATCCATTTTCCATCTTGATCTCGGACTTGGAGAGCTGGGACGTCATCTTGCGATAGGATTGTAAAGCATTCATAGTCCTAGATGAGAAATCAAAATCGTCAGCCGTGATCAGCATCCCGTGTGAAGAGCGCCAGTGGATTGGCTATTACCGTGTGAGCTGCAAGCCCAGGGACCTCCTGTCCCTCTATCGGCTGCGGGGGATAATGCAGCATCCTAGAGGTGACGCCCGGATATTCCATCATGGAGTCAAAGAAATCTTCTTCTAGATCCAGTGCAAGCGCGAACGTCCTCATTAAAGCCCTAGCCAACTCCAAAACCTCGCCAAAATAACGATTATACGACTTTCGAAGTCCCGGTACGATATGATCGCTGGGCCATTGGTTTCTCCCAAGGAGTCCGTAGGTATCATCAGGAAGGGGGTCGTCAGGTAACTTCTGAAGATCTCCTGAAATTTCGTACCCTATATCAAATGCCTCTGAAAGAGCTCCGCGCGGGGTTTTCTCAGTATCTGGCTCAAGATCGGGCTTGGAAGATTTCTCTCCATATAACGGACTATAACCGCGAAAATTCTGAGGATCGCCAGTTAGATTCTGCTTTGACACCAGAGCTGTACTGTAAAAGACGTACCGTAGAATTGCCCAGATAGTATTCCATCTTTTGTCTCTCTTCAAGGCCAAAGAATTGGTGGGCCGCTTTGTATGTTTCGTTGATCAATTCTTCTGATACTCCATGATTCTAATTGGTACATATCTTATTAGCCTTAACACAGCAATTCAAGGTGGTTTAGCAACCCGAATTACGGACCTTGACATAAAAAAAACCAACATCGGTGCACGCTTTGTCGATTTTTCGAGCAAGTTTGCGGCGCTCCTGGATGTCAGGGCTCCGTAAGGCACTCAAGTCAATAACCGGGAGTGTATCAAAAGCACTTCCTTGATGGCTAAAGGTTCGGCGATGCGCCGGTGTAGTAATCGAACCCATAGTTTGAGAGATAAACTGTAAGCCGGCGAACATAGAAAATGCAGCTTGGGCAGAGGTAGCATTTGACGTATGTAGCGCTTGATACCAAAGTCACACATATATAGTCAACTTACATTCTTCTACCGAAATTGTAACGTTGCATCGCCTCTTGTATTGCTAGAACGGATGTACGTAAAAGAATAACACCTCTTGCATATCTAGAATAGCTAGTTAAGACATAGGTCCTCTACTTGCGGTCTAAGACACGCGTACATATGCGCCAACAGTTTTGGGGTTAAATGCCACAACACGAATTCAATATTTGATTTCATATATTCGTCTGAAACTAGGTACTTGAAAACGCCAAGCCACATCATTCAAGGAATCAACCACGCATTGCTTTCGATATTGCCACCAGACCCTTCTCTAGGCTCTCTGCGGTTGGCCATCCGTACCCAAGCCGGAAATAGGTATCAGGCCATTCAAACCAATGGCCAGGCCCCACGTACGTGCCATGTTCCGCCAGCAATCTCTCGTAAAACAAGCTTGTGCCTCCGGTAGGCTCCTTCGTCATTCGCATGAAGCCCATTACACCTCCAGTCGGTCGAACCCACTCGATGAGGTCTTCCGAGGCGGCCCATGCCTCCACCATATGCAGCCGCAGTTTCATTTCTTGTATGATTGGGTTCAAAATCTCGTCGCAGCGCTCCAAAATCTGCTCTGCCACGTACTCGTCAATAACGCTAACAGTGATGCTGATCTGCTCTTTAGCTGCCAGGAAGACCTCTAGGATTTCTTTGTTTTTGGACGATATCCATCCGACTCGTATACCAGGAACACCAAAAGCTTTCGACATGGAAGAAACCCCGACAACGTGTGCTCCAAGCGATGCAGCGCCAGGTTGTCGATCCACATATGTTAGCTCTGCATAGGTCTCATCGACCAAGACGTAGCAGCCATGAGTCTTGGCCAACTCCACAACTCTGCGCAGGTCTTCACCTGGTATAGCTGTGCCTGTAGGGTTGTTCGGAGTGGTAAGACTAATCAGCCTGGTATTTGGTTTGATTGCCGAAGCTATGTCGTTGACATCAAGCTGAAAATCCTTTTCAAACTCCAAATCCACGTAGGTTATCTCGCAGCCTATCGCTCTGGGTGTTTCGACATTGCTAGCGTAGTTTGGTCGAGTTATGATGAGATGATCTTTCTGACTGAGAAGAGAAGTGGCGACGATGAACAACGCGGAAGACGCTCCTGCAGTAATCAGAATATTCTCGGCTTCCAGGCCATATCGCTCCGCAATAAGCGAACGGAATCGATGACTGCCCAGGTGGACACTGTACGACAATGGAAGGTCTTTGGGTACAGTGATACCTAGGTCGTTGAGGCTTCGGTCGCCGACAGCACTATCGCAAAGGTTGTGGTGAATCGTTTGGCCAACTTCTTCTGGAGCCTCAATTTCAATGGCTGTACGTCGGAAATGCATGGTTGTGTTGGCTGATGTAAAGGGCAAAGCTGCCTTTTCCAGTAGTTGGATGATGCTGAGAAGGTTTGAAATACGAGGTATGATATTTTAATTAGGTTGAACCTTGAAGAGGTGTCAAGTCCCTAGTTATAATGTCGCGCGTAGTGGGCGAAACCACAGTAGGAAGTGGAAATCGGTTGTGGCCGGCGGGCTGAGATACGGGCAGGATACAGAGCCAGGAAAGTAACGGGAAGTCATGTACTAGCTCATGAGATTACTTACAAGAGACAGCAGTCAATTTACAAAGATGGAGGGACGGGATAATGTATACGTGTTGACGTGGCACGGAACCAGGAGCTCCACATGCCCCTGATATCCTAAAGATTCATACCTAAGTAGGCCGGGGTATGATAAGCCGTGACGTTCAGCCGTAAGTAAGCCAAGATGATAAACTAAGACCGGCAGAAGTTGTGGCTAGGGGGGACGGGACAATGTAAGACGTGTGAAGGTGGCACGGAACATGGGGCCCATATCTCCCAAATATCCTATGAAAATTCATGCCTAAATGGGCTGGGGTATGATTAGCCCGTGAAGATCGGCCACAAGCCCGATGATGAGATGAACTAAGACCGAACAGAAGTTGTGGCGAGCAGAGGAGCCCACCACTGTGCGGGGTGATGACATTTTCAAGACCATGCGGGATCAGTACTTGGGACTCGGAACCTGTATGCCTAACTAACCCATCCCCGATCGCTTCAGCGCTAGAAATCCGAGTTACTCTTGAGTTTGATGACGTCTAGACCGGTTTCCGCTCTTCCCTGGATGCGCAAGGAAGCGAAGCCGAAGCCAAAATTACAAACCTGGCCTGTCCCTGCTCGGCTCGTTTCTCAACGGCAATTGAGTCGAGAATCTGCCGGGGGGGGGGGGGGAAGCATTTGCATGTTTTTGATTAGTGTTGTGTCTTGCCCAATAATTCCTGGCAGTGCCCCTCACACCAAAATTATCAAGAATACGAGAGTGTACGCCAGTTCATTCTCGTTCCTTCGGCAACACCAGGCATATGGTGCCTCAATCAGGGTGTTCCCACTACCATTAGGCCGTCTCGAGGCATTGCACCTGGTTGACGGATCAACAGCTGAAAGCCGATCGTGCCGATCGTGACAGCACTATTCCGCATCTCGCCAAGTGCAGGTGCAGGTTTTCAACAAGTTATTAATTGTCCGTGTGCGGAAGTTGAGTTGATGGAACCGGCAAGGGCCATCCGTTCCCAAGCGGAGACGAGGACAGCTTTTAAGATGTTCCTCGGCCATTGATTGATGTTGTTGTAGTTTTGAACACCCATATACCACCCAATTACTATGATGCACGAAATAGCTCTGTTGGGGGGTCTTGGCCTCATGTATGCCGTGTACGCCTATGTCCTATCGCCCAGCTCTTTCTCGCCACTGGCATCAATTCCCACAGCTCACTGGTCTTGTTCCATTTCGAGAATCTGGATTTTATGGGCTAAATGGAATGGTGTTGAGGAAAGCACCCTGCTTCAGGCCCATTCTCGGTTTGGCGATGTCGTCAGGGTCGCCCCAAACACCGTCAGCATTGCTGGGCTCGACGGTGTCCGCGTAGTGTACCAGGGCGCATTTGCAAAAGCATCGCTATACAGCGCTTTCAATCAGTATGGGTAAGTACCGCAAGTGTCGGGGGTGTAAACGGATCTAACAATTCGTGTAGCTACGCTTGCCTCTTCTCCGCCCTTGGCTTTAAAGATCACTCGAGCAGAAAGCGAATTATTTCCAATGTTTACTCAAAGTCATATATTCAGTCCTCAAAAGCAGCTCAGACTCAGATTCGCTTCATTATATTTCGCCGACTGCTTCCACTGCTGGAGCAAGAGGCCGCCAGAGCATCCTCTGCAGGAACCGATGTACAACCCATCCTCATGGCCATGGCTATTGATGTGATCTCAGCCTATATACTGGGAAATTCCAACAGCACAGACCTTCTTCACGATCGGGAGTCTTGGGATGAATTGCATCGTCAATTGCTTTTAGTTCCCCAACGCTTTTTCTGGGTAAAAGAGCTTCCCGGTCTCACAAGTCTCTGTTCCAAATTCGGCATATCCCCATACCCCAAGGCGGCGGATGAAGCTCTTGAGCGTATTCGCCGTTGGATAAAGAATCTATGTGATAAGGCGCACACCTCGCTGTCGACCAGACCTTTTGCGCCTGGTCACCCCGCGGATGAACCGGTTGTATTCAAGGCATGTCGCATCGGCCTCGAGAAAGCTGCCAATAAAGAAGGTTCAGATCTTTTTGCTGCATCCGCTAACCAGCGAGATTTAATCACAGCCAGCGAAGTCATGGATCAAATAGTGGCTGGGCATAGTCTTATAGCCAAGGCTCTTTCAAGCTTGATGAGGCGTTTATCCGAGCTTGTCCACGTTCAAGATCAGCTGCGCCAAGAATTACTCAGACTGGAACCATCTATGAAAGCCGGCAAGAGTCGCGAATGTGCCTCTCCGGACGCCAAAGAGTTGGATGCTTTGCCGGTCTTACATGCCGTTGTCATGGAAACTCTTCGACTCCATTCCCCAGTCTCAAAGCCTCTGTCACGCGAAGTGCCGTATCCTTCATGCAGAATTGGCCAATATGAAATACCAGGAGGTGTACGCATTGAAGCCTCGCCCTATGTACTCCATCATGCGGAGAGCGCTTTTCCAGACCCAACACGCTGGGATCATACGCGATGGCTAGAGCACATATCAGAGGATAAATATCGTATCAAGACGATTCACCAATTTTGGGCATTCGGGAGTGGAGGAAGAAGGTGTGTTGCATCACATTTTACGCTGCATGGTACGTTAACTGCAAATTGAAGAACCGTTGCGGACGCCCCTAACTAAGATGCGAGTAGCGATCAAATACTTTATTGCTGGGATATATATGAACTTCAAGACCTCTCTTGTGGATGAACTCCACCACGGACGCCCTCTCCAGCCACTTGCAACTAGATCGGATAGGCTCTACTTGCGGTTTACCTCCATCTAAGTTACAACGTTTCAACAGCCCCGAAAATCCTACAAAGCGACCTTGAACTTCGCAATGTAGCTGTGAAAGGCCGCTAGTAAGTTGATTCAACTATCTAGTTCCT